CGGCAAACACTATCGGTACTTGTCATAAACGCGCGTCATACAGCGCTTTCCTGCAGGACCTACCCTTTTTTCACAACAGACCGAGCTGCTGGAACCTGCAGTCGAGCTAGACTTTCTACTATAGAGGCCAGCCGTCATGTCGAGGTCTGCACCTATCTGACAGCATCATCCCTTACCTCCAAGCAAGCTACGAACTTCCGCCCTCGCTCGCTAAAACTCGCTTTAGTCTCTTTCTTTGACAGTTCAATCCAGCTAGTAGTTTGCGCTTGCCTCATGGCGCCTCCGTCGGGACCCACATCCAAGCCAGACAACACTTCGCCAGCAGTGCGGCCGCCTGCGCCACTTCCCGATTCCTTGGCAGCGCCACACAGCGAGTGGCCCCGCCGAGAGCACTCCGTTAAGCGGCAGCCATCACCACCAGCAGCACCTGCTGCTGGCAACAACGTAACAACGCTGTCGGCGAGGGCCTTTTCCCTTGGCCACAGCTGCAGCACACGTGCCGCTATGAAGGACAGTGCTATGGGCAACAGCGATGACTACCAAGGTCAAAGCAGCAGCAACAGCAGCCGCTCAGATCACTTCACTCATCGCATTTGCAGTCCCCAGGTCAAACCTGGCGATGTTGACAACCAATCGGTCAACTCCACCTCAACCGCCACCGCCGCCGCCGCGCCGCCGCCGTCGCTGTCGCCGCCACCACCGCCGCAGCAGCAGCCGATTCGCAAGATAACAGCAAGCAAAACTGCCCAGCAGCAGCTGCTACAGCTGCTGTGGTCGCTGCTGCTGCGGCTGCTGCTGTGGCTGTCATGCCTGGGACTGAAGTGCGGACGGGGTGTCAAGGTGGGCTGCATGCGGCTGCGCGAGGCCGTCGTGGCGGCGGCGGCGGCTTCACCGAAATGCAACCCTCGATCGTGGCAGCGGCGCGGTGCGGCTGCGCCGGCTGCTGCTGCGTCTGGCAATGCTGCTGCTGCTGGGACGCAGCTGCTTGCGCACTCGTCAACCGCTGCGGATGAATGCGGCGAGCCTGAGTAAGTGAAGAGGGTCGGACGGGGGGTGTCAGCCGTCAGCATGCCGTACATGCATGCACGCATAAGGATGTTGCTGCGAAAATCTACTGCCGTTGCTTGTACCTGGTTGACGCACATGCGTACCTCGACGTACCTGTCACGAGACATGCGGATGCATGTTTCGTGGAGCCCCTATGCTCAGTTTTCTTAACACACCCCCTCCGCATCCCCCCCCCCAGGCTGCTGCTGTGGCGTGAGTTCAACGCATTGCAGTACATGCCCGGACTGCCGCCGCATTGGACGCTGCTGCTGCGCCTGTTTAGGCACCAAGTGGTGGCTCGACCCAGCAACGACACGTCTCTGGGCCTGCAGGTAATGAGCTGGGTGGCGGTGTGAAGCTGCTGTGTTGAGCTTACCGGTATTACTGGTAGTGTACTTGGTTGCCCGTTCGCGCCATGCGGGAAGAGCGAGAGCAGTCCCGATTACGATTGCGCTGATGTGCACCCTTGGACAATCATAGGCAGGCAGGCAATGGGTGGACGTACCTCACTTCTTCGGAACGGCATTCTTTACCCGCCTCCCCGCTCCCCCGGAGCGGTATGTGTACTTGTGCACATGCAGGCCTGGCGCAGCGGCGTGCTCCGTCGCTGGGAGCTGATGTTCCCGGTGCTGACCATCTTCGATGCGCCGGGTCGGGCGCTGCCGGGGGAGGGGTTCGCCGAGTGGCCGCTGTTCGATGTGTTCAAGGTGGCAGGAGGGGGGGAGGGAGGGAGGGAGGAGGGGGAGGGAGGAGGGGGAGGGAGGGGGGAAGGAGGGGGAGGGAGGGTGTGGCTTGAGGATGGGGGGGACTGTCAGGGCTGGTGCATGTCCTCTTATCGTCACCTCTAGTCTGGCAGCACTACCACGTTTCTGTCGTACGCACGGCCGCAGCTATCTGCCTTGTCTTACGGTGATCATCTTACACACACCGCCGCTCATGCACCCCATGTGACGTACAGATCGACCTGCGAGGCCTGGTCACCTGGTCGGATTACCTGGCTGCGATTCCTCACGCCGAAAGGCGCAAAGTACGACAACGAGTCAAGGTGAGCGCGGTTGGCCTTTTTTGTGAAGTGTACTGCATGCGTCCGACGCGTGTGACGTGTACGACATGCCGTGAAGTGTACGACATGCCGTGAAGTGTACGACATGCCGTGAAGTGTACGACATGCAACAACGCCACGACACACAATCCAATGCACATTTCGATGTGTCACTTCTCAGGGTCACCAGCCAACTTCGCCAACTGTGTGCATGCACTGTGCGGCAGCTCTCGAACACCCGAAACACCCCGATCTGCTGGGAGATGAGCGAACATGCCCCCACCATTCTAACCAAGGAGCCACCTTGCCGCGCCTTCGATAACACCGGCTCGTCCCTCTCTCTGAACCCCGCCCGCCTCACTCCTCATCCCCCCATTCTTCCTCTCGTCGCCCCGCCTGCTGTACCCCAATCCTCAGCTGTTCCGTTCCTTCGAGTCGGAGGGGCGGCTGACGTGTGAGGTGGTGCAGCTGGGGCCGCAAGCCTTCGGCAGCAGCAGCAGCAGCAGCAGCAGCAGCAGGCACCAGCAACAGCGACAGCAGGAGCAAAAGCAGGGGGCAGTGCTGAAGTTAACACACGCTGAGACTGCCGCCACTGTAACTCCTGCTGCCACTGCAGCCCATCCAAAGACAACAACAGCAGCTTCTGCGAAGCCAATGGCTGATGAAGGAAATGCGCCCTCGTTTCGACTGCTACCGGAGCAGCAACAGCTACAGCAGCAGCAGTGCAAGTCCTCCTCCTCTTCGTTATCCTCGTCAGACCCGGCGACGGACTTGTCGCCCCTGCAAGACCAGCACCCGACCCGCGGCAGCAGCCGAAACAGCTTTCAATCCAGCAAGGAAAGGTGCCGCAACGGCAGTAGCCCCCGCAGCAGCAGCAGTGGCAGCAGCACCAGCCAGAAGTCTCGTAGCGGAGGTGCTGACGATGCCGAGTTCTCGCTACCCGAGACAGTGACCCCTGGGTCGCTGGCGGCTGCTGAGGCGCTGCTGAATCAGTTGTGGCAGTTGTACGAGCAAACCGGCAACCGTAACGGTTTCGTGGAGTGCAACCGAGATCAGTTTGAGCGGTTGGTGCGGCAAGTGCCGAATATGAAGGTAGGTATGCGCGCGTGGTGGGGCCTGATTTGGCTTTCGTAGCTATGCCGGAGTGATAGCAAGGTAGGTAAGACTTGTGGTCTTTGGATGAAAACGACAGAATGATGGGAGTGAAGGCAGGTGTCCTCATGTGTTTTCTCCATCAATTGTCATCCCATCCAGATCATCTGAATCCAAAACGGAGTGCAACATGCGTTTACGTTTCTTGTGCAGGCGGTGGTGGTGAGGGAGGGCAACAACAATGGCGACGTCAACCTCTTCAAGAGAGGCAACGACGACCCGGAGGGAGCGCAAGGAGACCAACACGCCCGCTCCATCATCGCATTCGGGCTGGTGCTGCCGCAACGCGAGAGTCTGCAGCTGCTGTACGCGGGATTGCAGTACGACAACCCGATTGTACGGCAATCTAACACGTACTTCCAGGTATTTGCCGTACGCGCACGCACGCACGCACACGCATTTTATTTGCTAGGCAGCATGTTCGAGTGAAGACAATAGCTTATCGGTTTCTATCGAGGGATGGACTTAGCCGTCTCACATCAGTTTGTCCCGGGCGCGCTTTCCGTATCCAACCAACCGGTTTAAGAACAGAAGCCTCCCATGCACCATGTGGGGGCTCGAGCAGGGCCCCATCAACCTCGTACGGTCGTGCGGTAGCAAACACCACCACCACCGCCACCGCCACCGCCACCACCGCCGCTGCTGCTGCCCCTGCTGTTGCTGCCTCTGCCCCTTCCCGCAGATCATGTTCGTGGCCCTTCAGATGGCCCTGACTCACAACCAGGCGGTAAGGCAGCAACAGCTGCAGGCCCCCTCGCAGCAGCAGCTGCAGCAAGCGGCAGCGGATTGCAAGGAGCAGGCGGTGGCGGTGGCGGAGGGTCACGGAGTTGCAGCAACTGAGGAGGGCTGCTGCGGTCCTGCTGCTGCTGCTGCTGCTGCTGCTGCTCCCCCCTCCGCAGCCCCTGCAGCCCCTGCGGTTGCTCCTGCAGCTCCTCCGCTGGGAGCCCGCGTGGGGCTGATTGACTGGCTGGATTTGGGCCCGGGCAGGAGGTGAGGCGGGGGGGGGGTTGAGAAGGTGGCGGGGATCGCTTCGAGGGAGGGTTGGAGGGACCCCGCCGGTACACCGATCGGCTGTGCTGGTTGCCGTACACGCATGCGCATGCACGGGTTATCCGCACCGCACCTCTCCCACCCTGGATAGGGCGGGCGGGGCCGCGGCTACCATGTTTGCACCCCTGGTAAAGCCCACATGTCATTACAGCCCCGGACATGGGATTGGGGGTCCACTTGCTCCACCTGTTATTCGCCTTTCCCTCCCTCCTCCCCACCTCTTCCCCCCCTCCCCCCAGGTTCGTGAAGGAGCATCTGGGGGCGGTGGGGCACCCGGTCAGCATGTACACACGAGGCATAGGGCCCATCTCACGGAAGCTGTCGCCCGTCATCCTGGGCCGCTACCTGGATCCCAAGGCGCTGGTCAACGACCCGTAGTTTTGACCATTTTAACCAAAACTTACTACGCGGTCAACGCTTGGTCAACGGCCGGCATCCGACTTACGAAGTTTGCGTGCCCTTTTCGTTTCGGTTGGGGTGATAGTTGACTGGCTGCTGTACGGGTTGTATGCCGATGTCGGGGAACGGCGGAAGCTTCATTCGCTGGCTAGTTGTACCGGTAATAATGGTTTGCAAGGTTTTTGGTTGTCATGCTGAATACCACACCTGGTTTGCCCGTCCATGTTGGGCGCAGCGATGTGGCGCCGGGGCAATGCTAGGGAGATCTTGCACGCTGTAATATTAACTACTACCGGCAACTGCGTTGCCCATCGATTGCTGTATTACAACATCTCACATTGCGACACATGGTGTCGACTACCATGCACACTGCATGATGCTGCTTGGCGAAATTGCGGTTCACACTTAGCCATCCCCATTTACGCGTGGCACTTCTACCCATTCCACATCCTGCGACTCCAAAATCCAGAATCCAACATGACACGCCTGTGTAGCATCAGTAGTTTGTAGCTTTGCACCGCACCAGCCCTTTCGCCTCCCTTCCGGTGAACACCCTTCCATTCAAACATCCCCCACACGTCACCTCACCTTCCCCCGTCTGACACCCACATCCACCTCAGCAACAAATGAGCAGCGAGTGCCCTCCCCACGACCCTTCGCTGCCGTCTCATAGGTAGCGCGCGCCACCGCTGCCACATTGCCAACATCGCCAACTTCCACGCAAATCGCACCGCCTGTCCGTCACCCTCACCGCCAACTCGGCGGCGCTGATAGGCACATGCGCTGCGTTACGGTAAACGACACGCTGCAGGCAAAAGCTTGGTCAGAATACGCTGAAGCCTCTGCTTCCTTGCTCTGAGTCGCATATCACCCCACCTCCCTACAAGCAACCTTTGCTTCGTTACCGAGTAAAACAAGCTATCTAGCCGCCGCAATCCCACCTCCCAACTCCCATTCCCCCCGCCGCCACCTCCGCCTCCGCCGCTGCCCTTCACACAGCCTCACATCCAGTCGTCCCCTCCCGCTGCCGCCGCCGCCTCCGCCGCCTTCACCTGCTTCCTGGCCTTCTTGTTGAGGCGCGTCATGTCGCGGACCGCTGCGGAGGCCTCCTCGGCGCGCTCGGAACGAGCTCCCTTCTCGTATGTGACCTTGCGCCTGTTGGGTGGAGAGGAAGAGGGGGAGAGGCGGTGGGCAGGAAGGGGTGGTGGGATTAGGAACATATGGATTTTGGTGTTCAAGGTAAGTGGTAGCTGTTGGGGCTGGCAAATTGACTTATCCCTCCTCTCCCTTCCTCCAGACCTCCACCTCATTTTCTTCTGTTAGCTACCTTCCAATTCCCCTTTCCCTCCTCCTCCTCCTGTCCCCCTACCATATCCCTGCCCCCAAACCCCCTGCCTCCATCTCCCCTTTCCTAACCCCTAATCCCTTTCACCCCCCCACCTCCCTTCCTACCTCTTCTCCTTGAACGGCTGCGGCTTGCGCGGCTCCAGCAGTCCCCGCTGCTGCAGGCTCTTGAAGCGGTCCGCAGCCAGCATGGCGCAGGGCACCACCTGACGCAGGCTGCCAGACTTCTCGTCGCTGGTGAGGACCTGGGGGGCGAAGGTGGGGGGGGGGGCGGGAAGAGGGGCGGGGGAAGGGGAAGGGGGATTAGGTGAAGTGGGAAACTGAGCGTTAGTCGTTTCTTCTTTACCCCCCCTTATCAGTTTATCTAATCCCCCATCCCAAGGCGCAACACCACCGCTCCGCAGCCCGCCAGCTCACCTGCACCGCGGGCGGCTCGAACCTGAGTTTCCCCAGCCGCGGGGGCGCCACCGCCGCCCGCTCCTGCCGCAGAGCCGCCACACGCTGTCGCCGCAGCTCCTGAGGGGCGAGGGGTAGACCGAGGGGCGGGAGGGGCAAGAGCGAGAGCGTTGCAGAGGAGGGTTAAGGAAGAGCAAGGGGCCAACCCTCCTTCGCACCACCACCCCCTCCCTCCATTGCGGCCCGCCCAGCCCAAGGGTTATTTCCTCCCCCCACCTTCTCCTCCTTCTCCGCCCGCAGCTGCTCCTCCACCTCACGCAGCGACTGCAGCTCCCGCCGCTGCGACCGCAGCCGCCGCCGCTCCTCGGCTGCCTGCTCAGCAGCCTTGCGACGAGCCTGGGGGGGGGGAGGGGATTAATAGGAATGCACATTCCGCATGGGGGAGGGGAGGAGGGGTCAGGAAGAGAGGTGGGGTGAGGCGGCGGAGAGAGAGGTGGGGAAGAGGCTGGGTAGTGGAGGCAGGTGGCGTGGGAGGAGGAGTAAGGAGACGGCTGGGGACCCGCATGTCGCCCCCAGGCTGCATGCACTACCTCGAAGCCCGACCGGCCGACAACGCATGTGGGCCCTTGTCATTCCATATTTGGGAAGAGTGTTGTGCCACCTTATTCCTCAAGATACACCCTCAGTCCTCCCGGCTATTACCTCATGCACCCTCCCCAATCTCACCTCCCGATTGCGATCCTTCTTGGTCTTCTTCTCACTCCTCCTCCTCCCCTTGGCATCTTCACCTCCTCCTCCTCCCTCCTCCTCGCCGCCCTCGCTCTCTCCTGCATCTCCCTCCTCCAGCGCAATCGCATTGGGGTCATCTCCCTCCCCTCCCGCCCTCCTCCGCCCCTGCTCCTCCTCCTCCGCCTCCTCGCTGCTATCCTCCGCCACCTCCACTTGTAACCGCTCCAGCTCCGTCAACGGCCGGCCGCCCTCGCCCTCCTCCACGTCCACCTCCACCTCCGGCGCCGTCGGCAGCAACTCCTTCCGCAGCTCCTTTTTCATTTCCGCCGCCACCAACACCGCAAGCGCGTCCTGATGCTGCTCGTGATCCGGGTTGAAGGAGCAGCCCGGCAAGTCCACGGCAACCGCGGGAATGCGGGGTGCCGGGACCTCGTACGGCGGAGGCGACTTGTTACGGAGAAGGGGCTTGGCAGTGGGACCCATGGCACGAACCACGGCGGCGGCGGCACGTTCCTCAGCCACACGGCGCGCCTTTTTCATCTTGTGCGTCTCAACCTCCTCCTCCTGTTGTTGCGGTTGCGGTTGCTGTTGTTGTTGCTGTTGTGGCTGTTGCTTCTTGCTGGCTTCTTGTTGTACGGCAGTCAGATCCTCATCAGCCCACAAGTCCAGAGGATGCGTCTCCGCTTTTCCTTTCTTTCCACCGCTCCGCTTGCTGCCGCCGGCCGCTACCGCTGGGACCACCACTGCGCCCGTTGCAGCAGTAGCAGCAGCAGCTGCTGCGGTGGCGGGTTTCTTCTTCAGCGGCGGTGCTAGCACCACGGGTTTGGCCTTGTGGGCCTCCGCTAGGATCTGTTGGGAGCGCAGCGGCCGAGCTGCGATCTCCTCCCGCCGGCGCTTGGCGGGCCGCTTGCCCTCCGCCACGGCAGTGGCGCCATCCACGTCGGCAGACTGCGGGTGGTGGGTAGTGGAGGTAGGGTTGGAAGGGCACTGTGTTAGGAGGACAGGGGGCCAGAGTTGGACTGGCTGTGAGGTCTTGGTCGCTCTGCTGTCCATGCGCTGCCGCCTGGGGCCTTACGGCCACATAGCTCATAACCCCCAGCTCCCGGAGTTGCCCTCAAACACCCGCCCAATAGCCCTTCGGGGTCACAGCTCGTAGCCTCAGGGAACTTGCACGAGCTGCCGTAACGCTGATTGAAATGCCCACACCCCGACACCCCGCCGCCCATACATGCGGGGTACCGCACCTTATCCACGAAGAAGAGCTGCTCATCCTGCAGCTCGCCCGCAGCCGGGCCGCGCCGCTGCTGGTAGGTTTGCTCCTCGAGGAAGGTCTCGACCTAGGGGAGCGGGAAGGAGGGCCAAGTGAAGGAAGAGAGGGGAACACACACACAGCGCCATCAGTGAGCTTTCGCAGGCAGGTTAGCGTGCGTGAGGTGTATATTTGACTGCTTAGTAGGGATACCTTAATAATGAGTATGACAGGCTAAGCGCAATAATGCAAGGCTGTAACACAAATGGTTCGTTGCATCGCATGCTGCATCCAAGCAGCGTGGCAGCGGAAAACACCATGAGCAACGCAATGCTTATGCGCCGTCTAATCGACTACTCCTCATTTGGGCCCAGGTAGTGTTAATGAGGGGCGGAGCGTCGTCGGCAGCGCCGCCACATTCGTCAACGCGCAACGAAAAATAATCTAGCCAAAAAGCTCACCTCGCTCGCATCAATGTTCTTCCTCCAAGCCTTCTTTCCCTTGCGGGACTTTGCTGAAGGGGCCATGCTGGGCTTGCACCAATGCCCCGAGCAAAAGTGTTAACTGTTTCCGATGGAATAAGAATTATACTTAATACTCCGTATTTGGCTCAGTATCAGTAACATGGTAACAAGCTGCAGGCAAGTCGTATACTGCCGTGTGCGGCAGAGCACCCAAATGTCATCCAAAGACAGCCGTCCAAGGAAAAGGACAGCCTCTAATCTTTCACTCATCACTTGTACAACATTCAACACCTGAAGTGCAAAGCTTGCAGTGGTCCTCTGCACTGCCACAGCCAACGCCCCACGGGACTTCTACACGACGCGCCCTTGCCAAACGCGGACTTCCAGAACCTCATTCCATCCTTAAGTCCCTCTCCTTTATATTCATAACACTTCTTCCAGCATAACACGACTTCCAAGCATCTACCCGTGCAACACGCGCACATAACGCTTGCGCCACCTACCGGTACCCCGGACGGGTGCTGCGCCAAGGCGGCGTCTATCCTGTCCGCGTCACACAAGCCCGCTTTGCCAAAACACTAGCATTTTGCGCAGCGGACTGTGGACGCACCATAATGGCGAGCAAGCCCGCATCCGCCTTGCCGCCCGGCCGCGGCGGCGGCAACACCAACCAGCAGCGCAGCCCCGCACCGCTGCCCTTCTGGCAACACGACTCGCCCCCTCGGTTGGTCCTGGTGTCCGATTTGGTGAGCTGCGCTTTTCGCCGTACCATACCGCCGTACCATGCGTACCCCCTAATGTGGTCCACCGGTGAATGTCCACATTACGCACATACCGAGGGCTCACATCAACCGCCCATGCTTGTGCCTCGGCGCGCGCTTGCTGTTGCTCTACCAGTTCCCAGCCCTAAGCGAGCTGCTGTCAAGCCCATCCCACTCCCTTCCCTAAACCCATACCGGTTAACCCTCAAACGCACATCCCCGCGTTTCCCCCCTCCTGCTCTCCCCTTCCCTCTCCTTCATCCCATACGTCTGCTTCGGCGCCGTTCGTGGGCTAGGACCATACCATGGTACGTGCGCCGCTGCCGTATTGCCGTATTGCCGCATTGCTGCATTGCTGCATTGCCAGACCTGACGGGTGATGGCGCACGACAGCTGTAGACCTGTTTGCCTGTTGCAGGTTTCCCCCGAAGGAGTTCTTGTAGTTTAGTTGCAAGGCTAGGCAACTTAGTTACGCGTTGCGCAAAGCTTTGCGCGGCTCAAGAGTGTCACAACCTCCTGCGCCAGCAAACTCCCGTGCAGCCCCCGCCTGCATAAGAGCCTCTTCGCCCTCAGCCCGGCCAGCCCAGCCCAGCAACCTCAACCCCTCTCGTACCCCTTTCGGACACCCCCTTCCGACACCTCCCCCCCCCCTCCCGCGACCATGCGCACATTCAGGTTCAAAACGAGGACGCCGCTCACTCGCGACTGCTCACCTTCAACGCCGTGTGGCAGTGCGCCGCCGCCGACCCACGGGACACCCTGCTGGTCTACTCCACCGGCCGCTCACCGCGCCTCTACCGCCAGCTGTGGGTGCGTGGGAGCTGCCGCTTACCGGGGCGCGATGATGAAATGTGTATGTATGCAACATGCTACATACCGGCACCTGGGGCCCACCTAAGGGGTCCCGTAGACATGCAGCGCTGCTGCTCCGGCCCCTCCCCGAGTTTTCCCACCCCCTGTCTCATCTGACTCCTGCGTCCTGCCCCCTCCCTCTGGCTCTCTTTTTCCCCACACACGGAATTCCCCCCCCACACACACACACGCCCCACACAGTACGTTCCTACTCGCGGCCAGTTTTCTTAACACACGCCCCACCTGCCTCCCGCACGCGTCCCACCCGGCAGGAGGAGGCGCCCCTGCTCACTCCCGACATCCTCATATGCTCCGTGGGTAGCGAGATATTCTACCTCACACCTCCGCCTGCCTCCAGCAACAGCAACAGCAGCAAAAGCAGTACTAGCAACAACGGCGGCGGGGGCAGTGCCGGCAGTGCTGCTGCTGCTGCTGCTGCTGTTGCTCCCGCCCGCAGCTCCTTCCAGGCCGACTCCGAGTGGCAGGCGCTGCTGGACGCGGGGTGGGACCGGCGACGGGTGGAGGCGGTGGCGGCCAGGTTCCCAGAGCTGCGGCAGCAGGTGTGAGGAGCGAGGGGGGCGGGGGGGGTTGCAGCGCGGGACACAAGTGGAAGGGACCAGAAGGGACAACGAAAGCGGGCAGTGGATAGGCATTGTAGGGAATGGGTTACTGCATGTAAGGTAGTGGGCAGCAAGTAAGGATGACGGAGGAGAAGACTCGTCGGCGTACTCCGTGTGCTAACCGTCTGCCGATAATGCAGCACCCCCCAGTTGGTTGGTTGGTGAACAACTCGTACATTGCAGCAGCCTCTGCTGCTGCTCTACCTCTCCACGTCCCCTACCATGCCTTGTCGCACCATCGCTCCGCCACCAGGTCGCCATCACCACCATCATCATGCCTTGCCATCATGCCAACCCAATGCAGGTCGCTAGTGAGCAACGGCGGCACAAGCTGAGCTACCATTTGGTCACATCAGCAACCACTGCCACCACCGCTGCCAGCAGCAGCACCACCACCGCGGAGGTGACCCCGCCGGTGACCACGGCGGCGTCAGAGGCGGGAGTGGAGGGAGGTACGACAGGGGGTACGACACCATTGCCGGCAGCCGGGGAGCTTGCACCTCAGCAGCAGCGGCAGCAGCAGTCGCGAGCCGCAGAGGATGTTCTCCAGGAGTTGCAGGTGTGTATGGTCAAACTTGGGGGGGGGAGGGGTTGTTGGGGGCTTTGGGTGTGGGCTGTGAGGTGGGTGATGGGGGGGGGCTGTGGACCGATCTACGCAACTGCCTGCCGCAGTGCCGCCCTGCCGCAGTGCCGCAGTGCCGCTGCCGATGTCTTTGCAACTCCCAGCGTCTTAGCCAGCCCTTGCCCTACATTCCCCGCTCGTGTTGGGACTGGTATTTTGGGTCGTTAACAAGTAACAAGTACTTACTCCTGGTAACAAGTACCACCTCCTCACCTCCCGGCGTGCAGGCGGCGCTGCAAGCAGAGGGCCTGCGAGTCAAGGTACGTACGGCACCTCCTTGAGGCTGGCCGCGCTGTCCATTTCCTTTCCGTGGACCTAGCTGGACCGCCTGTACGACGATCGTATAGGAATTAGCATTGCTATCCTAACTGGCATCATGGCCGTGGCATTGTCTTTCAATACCGCATCTGTTCTCCGTTTCCCTTTGCTTTCCTTTCCCCTTTCAGGTCGTGTACAGCGGCGGTCGCGATGTGGACCTGTTGGCGGAGGGGGCGGGCAAGGGGTCCGCGCTGGCCTTCCTGTTGGGGCGCTTGCGGCGGGCGGGGCTGGTGCCCAGGGAGGGGGTGCAGGTGGGGTGGTGCGGGCGGGGGCGGGGGGAGACGAAGTTGGGGATATATGTTTCGGGTTATATGGCGAATATGGGAGACCCTGGATGCGGGTGGTAATCGAGGCGTAGGTAACATCTTAGGTCGTGCAGCATGACAAACCGTTTTAACATAACATTTTACATAAACATAACAGTTAAGGCATCCGGCAACACCTCTTGACGTACGGCACGGCACTGATTGCATGAGCTAAGCACCGCAACGTTTTACCGCCGTAACCGCATTAACCGCAGGTCAACGGTGACAGCGGCAATGACATCGAGTTGTTCCAAGTGCCGGGGGTGCGAGGCTGTGTGGTGGCCAATGCCTACTCGGAGCTGAGGGATTGGGCTGTACGGCAGGCTGCAGCGGCGGGCGCGGCGGAGATCAAGCAGACGGAGGCGAAGGGGGCGGAGCGCGGGGTGGGAGCAGTGGGTGGGGTGGCGGTGGCGGCGGAGGCGGGCGGCGGGGATGAGGGCAGCGGCGGCGGCGGCGAGGCGAGCCCATGCGAGATCTTTCAGGTGCCGGTACCGCAAACCCTCTCTACCACCTTGCCTTTTAATCACTGCTGCCGCCCGTGGTTGCCTCCAGCAGCACCAGTAGCACGCCCCGTTCCCTGTCCTGCTTCCTCCGTCCCCGACCAACGCTCTGATACCTGCTCCTTCCTGCTCCTGGCCCGCTCATTGCTCCCACCTCCGCCATCCCACACCTCCCCACAGGCTACGGAGCCCTGTGCGGGAGGCATCCTACAGGCCCTCCGCCACTTCGGCTCCCTGCCGCCAGCGTGCTTTCCGCAGCCGCCGCCGCCGCCGCCGCAGCAGCAGCAACACCTAGGTGAGGAGGTGAAGGCGGCGGCGGCGGCGGCGGCGGAGGCCGCATTAACACACCTTACGGAGGCGACTCGCGCCGTCGCCGCCGCGCATGTGACCCTGGCGGCGCTGGCGACGCCGACGGCAGCAGCAGCGGCAGCGCATGCCGCGGATCACGTCAGCGGCGGCGGCGGCGGCGGAGGCGGCGGTAGCGTAGGCAAGCTGACGGGACGAATGGTGGCGGCGGCCGCGGCTGAGGCTGCTGCCGCCGGGGTATGGCTGGACGGAGTGGAGGTGGTGGCGGCGCCGCCGCGGCGGTCTTCCACGTCGAAGGCGGCGGTGGGACAGGGGCCGCCGGAGGAGGAGGAGTGGCTGGTGCGTTGCCATGTAAGTTTGGGGACGTTTATTCAAGCGCGATGGAGGCGGGCAGCAGGATGGGGGTGTCTCACTGTTTCTCGCTGCTGCTGCTGTAACACCTTGCATCTGAAACATCATGTTCACATCACATACGGTTTTCACTTTACTCACACCACTCATCACCGCAGCATTCCTCCGCGGCTGCAGGCGTTCCGTCTGCTGCCCGATGGCCACCGGGACCTCAGCTGCATGAGCCGAGTGGAGCTCAAGGTTCGGTTGGAGCAAGGGGAGGAACAGGGGCAGGGGCAGGGGCAGGAGCAGGGGGAGGGCAGCAACAGCAGCAGCGGCGAGGGGAGCAGCAGCAACTGCGGCCCGGCGGCAGGAGGAGGGTGCTTTGTGGCGAGTGTGAGGTCGGCGGAGTTGATTGGAATGGGCGATGTTGCGTTGCCGCCGCTGGAGGGTTGAGGTGGTTGCTGAGGTGCATGGTGCTGTGTACAATGGGTTGGGGGGGATATGTCGCTGAGGTTCTAAAAGGAAGAAGTCTGTAAGGGAAGTGCGTATGGGTGTGCATATGTGTACCATAAGAAGAGCCTTGGGGAAAAGGCGTGTAGTTCGCATGTCAGGACGCAAGAACGACTGTCGTACGGCCAAGCCATGGCTAAGCCCTGTCCCCTGTGCAAGGATCCGTACCCTGCATAACTCGCAGCATCCTTCGTATGTCTACTAACACCTTAGTCAGTAATCGCTCCCTTTTGATTGATTGAGATGACTCTGCCTCGTTCCAACGAATCGTCCGTTACAGTGCTGGGCAAGCAGCGCCCTGTGAGTCCCTCTCAAGCACATAAGAAGAAAGTGCAAAGGAAAACAGTCCAGCATCGGCTACATCAATGCGCAAGGACGGAAGCATAAGCAAGAATGCCCAAAATAGCACCAACTGGGCAACACCGCTCATGTAAGAAACTAGGAGAATATACACACTTTATCTGATTCACAACAAAAGACTCGACTGGAACAAATCACTGCTTCTCTTTGCGTATGCGTATGTTGGCGTTATTGAACGCAAGTCGGAACCCATTATAACAATTCGTAACAGTATGACAACAGATATCCCTATGGGGCGACATGGATGAATGCGTAACTAGATAGGTGCAGGCTTCTTAGTATATGAGTTCGCTCCGAAGGCCGTCGCAATGGCGAAGCGCCAGCGCCAAATCTTAGTAGCTGTGCTTGTGCCTACGTAGGAGGGCCATTTGCTCCTCACTTAACTCAATTCCGCGCTCCTTAAGGTCTGCCAGGCTGAGCCTGCCGAGCAAGACCTTCTCGAAAAGTGACAGCTGGGAAGCCGCCTTCTGCTTGCGGCAATCGTCTTGCCCTTCATACTCGTCAACATATTGATGGGTTGATACCTGAGGGCGCCGCGTGCAAAGCATTAATTTTCGGAGGCCTACATGCGAGTAGCTCTTGTGAAGCATACTCACCAGGCCCTCGCGCCTTGCCCGCACACGCTTGCTTGGACCAAATGCATTTGAGCTGATAGTTTCAGTCGCGCTGCTGCAGACCTCCATGTTTACCACTTGCTGAGGGTGCAAATGGCAGTTTGGTAACGCCCGAGCAGGAGTCGCAGCACAACAAGTACTGTAGGCTGTAACTAAGATGGTGGTGGAATTCTGTCTACACAGTTCAGGTTACTGTCGTATGAAACCGTACGGAGGTTCCACATGGCGGACGATCGATACCACCCCACGCCAAGTCCAAAGCCAAATTGATGGAACGAAATAAGGATTTTTCAATCTGACACCACAAGAGTGCTTTCCCCTTTTCCTTTAGCGCATTCCAAACCGCTGACGGACGGCTGAACCGAACGCCATAACACCAAACCGCGCTCTGTAAACGCACAGCGTGCCACCACCTTATGCATTGAACCCAACAGCAAATCTTCTACTTCCTAAACGACGCAAATCCGATAGCCCTGCTCAGCCATCGTTAGGGCCTCGCCCATGGCGCAAGTGAACGCTGGGCTGGGGCCCAGCTCCAGCCGAACGGCGGCAGCTACGAGGCCCTCGGGAGTGTTTGTCGACGCAGTTACTGGTCGCCACGCTTGCACGTCGGCCGCGGAGCTGCTGGCGACACGCCGACTCACCTGGGACAAACACTTCGGCTGGACGTGAGTGGGGCCTTATGAGAATCGGCCGATACCAGGGAAGCGGGTGGGGGATGCAAGAATTGCTCCAACACTTCCATGTCTCGTATGAAAGGAGGCGTGCGTTCCCAGTGCGTTCGTCTGGACACATGGCTTCCTGCGTGTACGTACCTCCCTGCATGCAAACCAGCATGGCCCAACGGGCATCCCCCCCCCTTCACATCTACCCATGCATCTTCCGTTCCCTGTCATTCTAATGTTCGTGGATCTGTACGGCAGGTACGACGCCTGGATTGATGACCCTGCGCAGTACGCACTGTCGGGAGCAAACGGCAGGTACGGCACTCGGGTAGAGAGACGCTCATGTGGATTTATGGCGGGTACACGTCTTAGGCCGGGCTTTGCAAACGTTGCGTGCGGTTTCCCCGCTTGATTGCTTGCGCTGTCGCCTCTTTGCCGTATGTCGTACTCGTGTTCAACTCGTGTTTGCCCGTACTTGTGCCCTGGTTGCTTCAGACAGCCGGGGTTTGGGTGTATGGCACACTCAGGATGATGTAGTGCAGTACATTGCCGTACGTTGCCTGTCTTGACGCGCTGTTCGGCCGCGATGTATGTCCAATGATACCGGTAACTCAACCGCCGTGTGTGTGATTACGCACAGGTTTTCCCTGCCTGCCCTCGCTCTGCGTCTGTCAACGGCCGTGACGCAAGCGGCGTCCTCTGCAGCACGCTTCATACAACATCAGCATTACCACCACAACAGCCGACAGCAACAGCGATGAGAGCGGCAGCAGCAAGGTTTACATAGGAAGAGCGGTTTGGCATGACTTGTATTTATATTAACGGCGAATGCTAGTTGGAGGGAGCATGAGTAGGGCAGGTGTAGGGAATTATGGGAAGGGTAGGGTTGTGTGATATACATAGGTACGCTTAGGTAGAAGGCGTGGTACCCCGATCATGTAAACGTACATCCTCAGAGGTGGCTTGAGGGGGAACCAGACGGGTTCGTACGACAAAGTGCGTCGCTTTGCGTTTTGCCGTAGTACATTGTGCCCGTGTTGCTTTCGTACGTTGGAAGGCGCCTGCAGTGGACTTGCGGAGGGGCTATGGAAGCGCACACTAAGCGCTAGGGCGTAGTGTGCGGTAGGTACGAAGAGGTCAAGCTACCTTGAGATTTCGATTCGGAATAGGGGTACGGGTTGAACACACAGAACTCGACACACACAACCGGTCGACTGCACAGCGCTGTTGGTGGGGTGGTACATGCAACTGTCGATTTGCACCCAACGGTTGTACACAGCGGATGCCGGGCCCGGGAACTGCTGTTGATGTCCGCCTGCCTGGTGCTCCCTTTACTGTTAGCAGGTGCTGCGTTTGCTAATCTGCTAAGCTAAGCTGTGTGCATGTGTGGGCAAGTACAGAGTGTACAGTGCCCGTGCTTGGCATGTATCCAGTGTATGGTACTGTGCGGTTACTGTGCACGCCTTCTTACAGGTAACTGCTGGTCAATTGCGCTGTAAATGTGTTTCCCGTGCTGAGCGGCGAGCATGCTCCGCCACCTGCCCATGCTCCGCACCCTCCCTGTCGAGACCACCGACCACCGAGGTTGTCACCCATTTTGATTCTTGACAAACCTCATACAGCCAAGCAGGGCTAACAAGCCATGCAGCCTCCTAAACCGCCTCCCTCCCCCTGCGATACACACTGCATGCCGATACACACACGCATGGCCCTAACCTGTCAGCCCCCCCACCTAAACCACTGTTTGAGAGCATCACCCACACACCGCTCGTGTCACCAAAACCGCTACAACATGCTGATTTGGTGTGGATTCAAGAGGTAACAGTGGTGCTGCTATGTTGACCACAAGCCGCGCCGCTTGTACAGTTAAAAGCACGTGTGTCCTGTGTGCGTCGTAATCTACATGGCATTGCGTCGCGCGTTGTGTCGCCTAATCCCGCATCCGACGGGGTAACTGCCCGAGCCCCTCGGGGCCGCACGCCCACAATGTTAACAATGTTAACAGAACCCGCACAACAAGGTTAACCAAGCTAAGCAGGTACAGCTGGTGCATACCGTCGTTCTTGCATCCGAATCAGGAGACTGTTGGCAAAAGGCTCTAGGGGCTACCAAACCAGTTTTAAGAAAACCAGTGTGGGCGTATACAACCAACCGGCAATCTGCACAGAGGCAGTCAATCCCGACATGCTGAAACCATGTGGCCAGTTACCGCCGCAGAAAGACCAAACTGATCCCGTGCGCGGAGCCTCACCTGGGTTTATATAAAGCCTCAACTAGGGTCAGCCTTTTACTCGTACGTCAAAAGCTTTGTACTCGTACCCAAGCAAACCGTCAGCAGCAAACCCAGCCTCAGCGCCTCAGCCGCCGCACCAGCCGAGCCGCAAATCCGCCCGCATCGCCCTCCTCCTCTTCCTCCCCACCACAACCGCCCTTGCCAGCACTCCCCTCCGCCCCCGTCGCACCCGCCCTGCCCAAGCCTCCCAGCTGCAACAGCGCCCACACCCTCCCCTCACCCAACTGGCAGCCGCCGCTGCCCCCAGCCAATAGGTAGTGCTGCGGGGCCGGTGCGCGACGCATCTTCGAAGCCCTGCGGGCCTCTCGAGCATGCCGGTCGGCCTCGGCACGACACATGACGGCCATTGCAGCCAGACGCTCCAGCGTTGCTTCGGTGCCGCCGGTGGCGCAATGCGGAGAAACGTCGAGAAGGGCACCGCGGAGGGAGGAGAGGAGCCAAGGGGAAGGCATAGGCGACTGATGCGGATGCTGCTGCTGTTGTTGTTGCTGCTGCTGCACCGGCAGCGATAGTTGTTGGACGTTGAGAGCCGTTACGGCAGCCTGGGCCAGCCGCGTTGCACCGGCGGCAACTTCCGACGCGGCCCACTGACCCATGGGTCCACCCGGCTCGCCGCTATCCACACCAGCTGCCTGGCACTCCGCCTCCGCCGCCAACAGCGCCAGCAGTGGTCCTGGAAGGTCCTCCTGCTCCCGTATGGCATCCGCGAGGACCCAAGGCGTACGGACATTGCCGTACGACAGGGTGCCGTTATGCTGTTGTACGGCAGAGCATAACGCTCGTACAGGGGGCTCCAGCGCTATGTTCGTACCCAGCTGCATGGGCCTTACGCAGGTGAATGCGGCCTGGTAACGAACAGGACAAGCACCGGTAACTGTCGGGTACGTGTCGCGCTGTACGGAAAGCAGATCAACGTCCGCAAGGATGCCGTACAGATCTGCTAGCGCTGCTTGTGTACGACAGGCAAGTGTCGCATCGCCGTACGACAGATCTGCCCGGTGAGCCAAAGATGCAGATGATGGTACTGACAGTGACACGACGTCGCCGCCGCTGACGCCAGGGTCGGCGGGGCCCGGTGGCGGCAGGGGCTTCCCCGCTAACGCTGCCAAAGCCTTTACACTGTACGGAAGCGGCGGCGGCGGTGGTGGGAACAGGGAGTCTGCCTCAGCCACAGCCTGCACGCTAGCTGACGGGTTTCCGCGGCACCTGACAGGCCGCGAGCCCCCGCCGGGACCCTCTGCCTCCATGGCATCCGCTGCTGCTGCAGCTGCTTCGGCTGCTGCTGAGCCCCGCTCCTCCTCCACTGCCTCCGCGTCCGCCTCCCCTACCGCAGCTGAAGTCGCAGCTGCCTCTGTTGGCGACAACGCATTTGTTGGCGACGGCTCCCGCCCACACGACGCCCTGTCGACAACCGACATCCGACAGCGCTTCGCAGCCCCAGCGCCCCCCTCGCCGCTACCACTGCCGTCAGAGTCGCTCCTTGTCCCGCAGGAAGCATCCACCTCAGCGTCATCCCGCGTACGGCGCTTGCTTAGCGTTGGGCAGGCAGGCGTGGGCCGGTGCTCCTCCACCGCCGCCGACTGGTCGCCCTCCTGCACCGCCTCCTCCCCATCACCCTCATCCAAAGCCGGCAGCGCCGCTGACGCCCTCGTAACTCCCGCAGCCTCCGCCTCTGCCTCCGCCGCTGCTGTTGCCTCCTGGCCCTCTTCCTCCCCCGCCCCAGCTCCCTGCATGGCTGAGGCGGGCGAGTCAGCGGGCGGGGGGCTCACCACGAGGGCCGCATGCCGCCCGGAGGCACCTCGACTGCGACGGTTGGCCTGCCTGGAGGGCCCCCTGCTGCGCAGCTGCACCTCCTCCCACCTGCGCGTGTTGTGGGGAGCGGAAGTAAGGAGTTGTGTGTTATGTCGTATGTGTGGTCCGAGCATGATGGGAGAACAGCATGGACTACAATGCGGAGAGGGGGCGGCAGGGTTAGTGATCCCCGGTAGCTTTAGCCCGATTTTCTCTTTCCTCAAACCCCTGCTTGTACGGTATCATCCACTTATCGAGTTATCGTCTATGCCCCAGCAGCAGTCGTACCTAGCAGCTAGTCGCCGTATCCGTATTGCCGTACACTCCGCCTCGTACGCCTCCAACTGCCGACGACGCGCCGCGGGACTCATGCAGCACGGCAACGACACGGCAGGTGGCGGCGGCGGCGGTGCTGATGCTGATGCCAGGGCCGGACCCTCCTTGCCGTCGCCGCCGACATTGCACGGCTGCGGCTGCGGCTGCTGCGCCGCAGCTGCTGCAACCGTCGCCGCCTGTGTCGCAGCCTCAACCTGGCGAGATCGCACCAGGGAAACCCAGGCTTCGACGTCGCCCTCCGCTGCGGAATCCGGTGCTGCGGGCACTGCCGCAGCCGCAGTTGCCGCCAGAACGCCGCCCGGGTCTACCAGCCCCACAGAAAGCTCCTGCTTGGGCGGCTGCTGCTGGTGCTGCAGCGGCTGCTGTTGGTTCAGCGGCGGCATCAGCTGCTGCTGCTGCGGGTCGTCGTCGCTGTTTGGGTGCGAGATTCCGCAACCCTGAAGCTGTGGAACCTGCTGCCCCTTTGGTTCCTTCGATCTCGGAGGGAGCCACATCTTGGGGGACCAGCCACCGGGCAGAAGGACCTCCGTCGGTTGCATGACAGTTGCCGTACAGCTGGGTACGGCAGCTGCTGCGTCGGCACCTGTCGTACCTTCAACCGCCGATAACGACGCTGTAGCAGCAGCCAATGCCAGGACGTCCACTGCCCGGCATGCGGCCCGTAACGCCCGACGGCATTGCTCACTTGCATGGGAGTGTACGACACCAGCACCCAAAACACCATCTCCGCCAACCTCCTCATCGTCCTCCTCGTCCCCATCTCCCAACCCGTTGGGCACCGTCGCCGTCATCGTCACCGCCAGCTGTCCCTTGTCGCCACCACCCTCCCCGCTAGCGCCAGCACCACCAGCAGCAGCAGTGCACTTCCCGGACCCGAACCCTCCCAGCAACCAGAACTGCGCCTCCAGGAGCGTACGACGAATGTCGCCACGACAACGCCGTACCAGCTGGCACAGCGCAGGTAACATCGGCTGCCTCCGCTCTGGCTGCTGATCCTGCTGCTGCTGCAGTTGTCCAAGTGCACCCCCGCCGCCACCGCCACCGCTGCCGCTGCTGCCACCCTTCGAAACCTGCTGCGGGCTTTGCGGCTGCTGTTGCGGTTGTTGTTGTTGTTGCCGTACCGAGGCCGCCGCTGCACACGTCATTGCAACGGTTCGCATCAGCAGCGGCGCTGGCGGCGGTTGCATGAGGACCTCTTGGAGACACAGGGCGCGGATGGGCGCTGGCAGGGGCCCGCGCCCCGCGGTGAGGATGATGGGGCGCTGCGGGGGAGAGGTGTGTTGGGAGGGGATGCGCGTTAGGACAACTGGCCGCGAGTAGGTATGTCGTGTATACGTATATTGGGAGCTGGTATACGGTATTATACGCATAACTATGCGTATAATGCGTATTATACGCGTATGCGTACATGGCTGACCGTAGGCATACCGGTCTAGGGCCACGCTCATACCGGTTCCACCATACACAACGTAAATGGGGTTTAACAGGGCAAACACCGCATGTACCAGCCTCTAGGCGCCCACAGCCCCCCTACACGCCAACATTACGCCGGGTTTGTGGCGTTTTCCTGTTGTACGGCGTACACGACCAGGCTTCCCCGTATACGGAATTGGGCTTTTGTACGTATTTCGCATACGCTGCCCTAAAACTTTATACGTGTATTATACGCATAAATATGCGTATACGTAACGTATAGTATAATATACGCCGACATGCCTAGCCGCGAGTCGGAAGAAAAGTAGAGGGCAGGAGGGGCGGAGGAGGAGTGGGATGCAGTGTGGAGGGGGTATCAGGCATACGAGCAAAAGCCGCAGAAAAGCCGCGAAGTACACTGGATCACCAGCAGGAGCAGCAGCAGGAGCAGGAGCAGGAGCAGCAGCAGCAGCAGCGCAATACCTCAAGGACACGGAACTAGCAAGCACATGTCATGCATAGCCCACTATGACAATGCCAAGGATAATAATATCAAGGGTATTTATAACACTTTAGTACAACACACGGGATGACATCAAAGGTAACATCAAGTTTAACACCAAGGACAACATCAAAGAATGCGTACGGCAGCGCGCACCCCACACCCTAGACCCACCTTGGACTGTTGCACGATGGAAGTCAGCGCTGCCAGGAACCCCCGGTCCTCATCAGGCAACACATCCACCTCGTCAAACAGCATCAACGTCATCATGCTGGACTTGACGGCGGCAGCAGCAGCAGGGGGTGCGGGAGAGAGCGCGGGAGGGCCATGGATAGCAGTGGCGGCGTTGGCGGCGGCGGCAGTGACGCCTGCATGCACTGCCATGGCCCCGCCGAGACCGGCAGCAGCAGCAACCCTGGGGCCAAACAGCCTAGCCGCCGCACTTAATGGCGGAGGTGGCGGTGCTGCTGCTGCAAGTCCAGCTGCTGTTATGGCCGCCCCGCCGCGGGTGGTATTGGTAGCGGAGCCACGACGTCGCTTCACGGGGGAAGGTGAGGGCGAGGAGGATTCAAAGTGCGAGGAAGACGAGGAGTCGTCATCCACCACACTCCAACGAGCACCTCTCCGCCCGCCGCCTCCGCGACCCCGGCCTCGTCCCCGGCCCCGACCTCTGGCCCCTCCACCTCCTCCTCCTCCGCCAATACCATTACCATCGCCTGGTGCGGCACCCGTGGCGGCCCCGGCCCCGGCTGCACTCTTGCCGCCGGCCGGGAGTCCTCCGGCGGCTGCTGCTGCCAGCGATTGAGCTAACCGCCTGCGCGCGTAAAACGAAGGGACGGGGGAATGTACAGCAGCAGCCACCCGCTCGCCTCATGCACCGTCCTTCCACAGAGCCTTCATGTCGCAACGCACGAGATACACATGAGGAGTCCTAGACCGCTAAGGGCTAAGGAGTCCTAGCCCGCTACACATGAGAAGTCCTAGCCGTAGCCGTAACCCCTCCTCCTTGTTCCCATCCAACCCATCCAAAGCCTCACCCCCCACCCACCTGCTCTTGGTCGCCTCCCCCACCATGCGCAGCAGCTGCTGCCCGCTGCGGTCCGCGGTGGGGTTCACCTCCAGCACCCGGAACCCCAGCTCCGCGGCAACCGCGTAGGCAGCCGCCGTCTTGCCGCAGCCGGGCGGACCGCGCAGCAGCAGTGCCGTGGGGATGCCTGCGCGGTGGGGCCACAGAGGAGGTGTGTGTGTCAAAACACCGGACGTGTGCGTGCGGGCTCCCTGTGTTTTGTGGTGACAGAAGCTCCGTGGAGGATACCACGCCGTTCCGAGGCAACACCGCGCACATACAATCACAATGCCACCCTGGCGTCAGCGTTGTTCAAGAGGTTTTGTTTGGCAAACGCACACGCACGCACACGATGTCTCGCACACCTTTATGTTCCGCCGCTCGTCCGCCGCGGTCGCCGCCATCATCATCGCTATCCGCGGTTCCCCCCGCGGATCGAGCGTCCCAGTCGCTGTCACTGTCGCTAGCCCAGGCCCCCCGCCGACCGCCGCCGCCGCGACTGCCGCGTTTGCTGCGGTCCGCATCCGCTGCGCCGGACCCCTCCTCCGCCTTGACTCCCTCCCGCTGAATGACGTCGCGCCACTGCACCAGCCAGCTCCGCAACTGGCCCATCTGTGTTATGCATGGGAGAGTTACCGGTAGTTGGGACCGAATGAGCGGTTGGCAGCAAGCTAGGTATACCGTACAACACAGGATATGGTGTAGGCAGTTGGGGATAAAGACTCCATGACATTGCCCCGTTCCATGCTTGCCCCCGTTTTCCATGACACGCGAACAGGAGCCCCGTTCCGCACCAGCAAGACATCGCAGCAGCCGCATCAGCAGCAGCAGCTCAGGGCACACACCGCTTCACACACCCACCTGCTCCGTGTTTCCGCACACCTTCGCGGCGCACAGCGGCTGCTGCGCCACACACCACAACTGCTCGCCGGGACCCTGCGCCTGGGCTGTACCTTGGCCCTGCGCCTGGGCTGTACCTTGGCCCTGCGCCTGGGCTGTACCTTGGCCCTGGGCTGAGGGAGATGAAGGGGGACCTGTCTGGGGCACTGCCGCGCTGCTAGGTTGCTGCTGCGGCTGTTTCTGCTGACCGGGACCTGCAGCTGCTGTGGCAGCAGCGTCGGCAGTAGCCTTCTCCTGGGCAGTGGCGGGCTCCAAAGCAGCAGCAGCAGCAACACCAGCAGGCCCGGTAACAGTAGCGGCGGCAGCAGGGCGCTGGTTGCTGTTGTTGTTGTTGTTATTGCTGTTGTTGTTGCTGCAGTTGTTGGTATTGGAGAGGAGGATGCGGTGCCTCCGCAGCTCCAGCTCTTGGCGGAGCTGCAGCAAGATGTCCTGACGGGCGGGAACGTCAAGAAGCTGGCAGGGGCGGCAAGGGAGGGTGGGGACAGCAGGGAGGTGGGGAAAAAAGAAATTCCAAAGTGTGGTGTGATAATGATACAAGTTGCTGACAATCCCTGGTGGAATCAATCGTGAGTCGAGCCGAAATGGTGGTTAAAGCAAAGCGAGCTAAACTTACCGAACTTACCAATTAGGTGGGGGGGGGGGGTGCTAAGGCCAAACAGGACAGGTTATAAACGACACGTCAGGAGCAGGTGTTGCAGCTGTTTACATGCTCAGTGTTATCGCTCGCGAACTCCTACCTCGAGCTCCGCAGGATTCCCACCAGCTCCATCGTTCCCGTTCCCGCCTCCCATGATGCCGCGCAACTGCTCCGCTGCCAGGTGATCTGCCAGCTCCTCCAGCAACAGCGTCGGTACGTCCACGGCACCACCACCACCAACACCAGCAGCAGTAGCACCAGCTTCCGCTGTTGCCCCGGAGGCGCTCGGCGTGGCCGCAGCTCTTGCTGCCGCTGACGGCGCTGATGCGTCCGTTGTTCGGGTCTCGGCAGCAGCAACAGCCGAGTTGCCCGACAGCTGCTTGTGATTGTGTTGGGACCGCTGCGGAGGCATGAAGCTGAAGCGTATCGGCACAGCAGCTGCGGCTGCAGAGGCGGCAGCACAGGGTGCCGTACGACAGCCAGGAGAATGCTCCAGAGCCGTTTGCCGTACAAGTTTGTACGACCAAGGTCCTCCTTCAAGGCGGTAATATGCGTCGTCGCTGCTTGTGCAGCAAGACAAAGCGCAGTTCCCGTCACCATGCCCGGCGGCTGCACTGTCGGTAGCATCGTCAAGTTGCCGTACATGGATGGGCGCCAGTGCCGGAAACCGCATCAGGCGGTTCGCTCCTCCTGCTGCACCGCCGCTGCCGCCGCTAGCCCCACAGCACACACCTCCTCCTGCAGCGCCTCCACCGCCGCCGCCACCCGGGGCCGCGAAAGGCCGCTTAGAGGCGCCACCTGTTTCACCGCCTGGGGTATGGACGGGTGCAAAACACACCACATGTCCCCCGTGCAAAACACACAACATGTCTTCATGTGAAACATGGGAAACACGTGGAACACGCAAACCCACATTGCCTAACAATATTGTTCAGCCCAACATCGCGTGCCATGGCTCCGCACTACACAGAGGACAAAGAACGTTTGGCAACGGCCTCCGTCCTCAACACGTTCCTCCTCAAGTGCATGTACTTTCCCAGCGTTACCGCACCTGCAGGAGGCTCCGCTCGCTTCCGGGCACGGAAGAAGGGGTTTATCGGCACCGGCGCAGCTGCTTTCGGCGTCTCCGATAAGTCAATGCTCTCCACAGCAGCACCCTCCGTCAACCGCCGTTGCTGCTGCTGCTGTTGTTCCTGTAGCACCCTGGCGCGCTCCTCTTTCTCGCGCTCCTCCTGCTGCTGCTCCCGCTCCCGCCGTTGCTGCTCCTCTTCCTGTGCTTGCCGCAGCACCACCGCAGCAGCGCGTTCCTTCGCCGCCGCCTCCTCCTGCTGCCGCTGCTTCTGCCGTCGCTTTCGTTCCGCAATGGAGAGGAACATCTCGTTTACTGGACCCGCCGCAGCAGCCGCTGGAGGCGGCGGCGGTTGCGCTGGTACGACGTCTACGGCAAGATTCACCAGCGGCACTGGCAGCGGCTGCGGGTGCTGCGGGTTCCCCTTCGTTCCTGGTCCTGCACCAACCCCGGCGGCAGGCGGCGGCGCATGCCCACCGCCGCTCACATCAATGAGCTCGGATGCATCAGCTGCCGTACCCGGTTCATCTATGTCGGCGTTTGCTACTTCTATCACTTCTACGTTAGCAACCCTGGCGGCGGCGCTGCGGCCATCGCCAGGCCCCATGACCGCGGTGGCGGCGGCGCCGCTACCGCCGTCACCACGGCCCCGGCCGCGTCCGCCGCCGCGGCCGCCCCGGGCTCCCCGGCCTCTCCCGCCGCGGCCCCTGGCGGCGGCGATTGCGCCTCGGCCACGGCGGCCGGCAGGGCGGTACTCCTCTTCCCCTCCGTCTTCATCGTCGTCAACGTCAGCGTCGCCATCCGACAGTACCGCCGCCGAGTGTACGACAGGAGGAGCAGGAGCGGCGGCGGCGCCGCCGCCGCCACCAACCCGACCAGCGTCATCGTCCGAAGACGCCGCGGCCGTCGTCGCTGCGGCGCCGACGCCAGCACCTTGACGGCCGCCGGCGACCCGGCCGCCGCGACCGCGACCGCCGCCTCTTCCGCGACCCCTCTCGGCTCCTCCACGAAAGCCGGCGGCGGCGGCGACGTCCGTCTGCCCAGTGCTTCCGCTGCCAACGCTGCTGCCCCGCTGACGCTTCTTAACAGGAGACCGTGCCTCTGAACGCCCTCGGGTCTCCGCCGCTGCTGCTGCTGAGGGTCCTGCAACTCCTCCTCCTCCTCCTGCTGGCGCTGCCATGCCTGCTGCCGTCGTTGCTGTTGCTCCTGCATTCTCACCGCCTGCCGCCGCCACCGTCGCTCCTGCTGCCGGCGGCGGCGGTGGTGCACCCGGTAGGAGTGCCTGGCGCCGTGGCCGGGGCGCTGAAAGCCGTTTTGATGCCGCCGCCACCGCCGCCGTTGGTGCCGCTGCTGCTGGTGCCGCCACCGCCGCCGTTGGTGCCGCTGCTGCTGGTGCCGCCGCTGGTGCTGCTGCTGCTGGAGCAACAACTGACGGCGCGGCCGCTGCTTGTGTCCCTGCAAGGCCGCTGGGAGACACCTCCCCCTGCTGTTGTTGTTGCGGCTGCTCTTGGCGCTGCGGCTGCTCCTGCTCCCGCTGCGGTTCCCCTTCAGGCTCCCTATCCGCTGCCGCCGCCGCTGCATCACCTCTTCCCGTCAGGTCAATCGGCACCTCCTCAACCGGGACCCCAACCACCACCTCGCCACCTGCGCCTTCTTCTACGGCTGCGGGGGCTTCCTCCTTCCTGACAGCCTCCTGGGCGGCGGAGTGCACCTGCTCGTGCGGTTGAGTCGGCGGAGGCGGCAAGGCAGCTGCAGCCGGCCCTGCAGCCGATGCCGGCCCTGCAGTAGGGGCCGCTACACCACTGCGGCCTTGAGGACCTGCAGGCGGTGCTGCTGGTGACGGTGCGGCACTGGCATCCCCAGGCGCTGCTGCTGCTGCTGCCGGTGTAGGCAGTACTGCTGCTGCTGCTTCTGAGCCCTCAGCAGGCGTCTTGTTGGTCGAAGCACGCCTTACGTGCGGAGCAAAGAAACTCAACTTCGCCTGAACGCTCTTTTTCGCGCCAGCAGCCGCGGTGCCAGTGACACCGCTGCCGTTGCCGCCCGTGGCGGCAGATCCGGCAGGAGGAGCCTCAGCAGCAGCAGCAGCAGGCTTTTGCCTCTTGCCCTTTTGTCCCTTCCCCTTCCGCTCTTCAACCGCGGCAACCGCAGCCACCTCCTTTCCCTTCGCAGCTTCGTCGCCCTGCTGAGGGACTCCCGGCAGCACTTTTGCCGCCGCAGCAGCAGCTTCACAGCCTGTCGGCTCAGCTACTGCGTCTCCTGCTGCTGCTGCTGCTGCTCCCAAGGCTGCTGCGTCTGCGACTGCGTCTGCTGCTGCCAAGGGTTCTTCGGGTTGGTGTGGTTCCTGGTGTGGTTGGTCGGCCGGCCTGACCGTTTGGGGTCCCGACTTGGGGGCCTGCACCTCCGCACCTCCTTGCGGTTGACTATGTAACCGGGGGGCAGCAGGAGCGTCCTCCGGGATGCCCAAAGGAGCCACGTGGTGAGGTTGCGGGTTGTTCAGCGGCTTGGGTCTGAGGGGCGTTGTAGTCGTGTCTTGCTGGTTTGCTTCCTGCAAAGGTCGCGCGCCTGGAGGGTTGTCTCCGGGTTGGCAAGCATCCTGAGGGCGTGGCTGTTGTTGGGGTTGCTGCTCATGGCATGGTTGCTGGCTGTTCAAGCCATGCGCATCGGCAGCAGCTGCTGATGCCGCTCCACCAGCGGTTCCCTTTGATGCGAGGCGTAGCCGGGATTGCCGAGCAGGAGGAGCACGGCCTGTACGTATAATGGGGTAAAGGAGCGGAACTAAAGGGTATCATGCAAGAAAATAGAAAAGTCACGAGTTTACGTTTAAATGGTGCGACGATTCCAATTCCAACTACGCCATCAGGTTGCAAAGTGCGAGTTTCAGGACAAAAGGTAAGAAATTTCTGGTCAAGCGCAGACGACCATTTCGGTACATGCATTCAGCAGACGCGGGCACTGGGTTGAGCATGTCGGAAAATTGAAGACGGTTTCAAGCTGCAAAAAAGATCACCTGGACCGGACGTGAAACAGCCAACAGCGCCAGCAGTCTCCCTGCATAGCGGCATGTGCGACAAATGCGATTGATGCCAACATTGGTGCGGTCTCAACCGCACGCGACGTGGCCGCACCTATCCCGTTGTTTTCCGCCTTCACACGCAACATTGCGGTGTCTCGGGGCCTCTTTTTCTGGTGTATCCTCCACGTCTGAGTCAAGGCGGATACCGCGCATGGCTGTCGCTGTTGGGTTCCTGCCCCGACGTCTCGCCTCGACCCCTTCCCTCAGTAGCCACGGCTCGAATTACTTCATATTTTATTTACATGCAAGAGTTAACATCATAGACGATGCGAAGTATCGCTGTCAGGATTGGAACACTTGGAACACGGCATTTGGATTCCCGCCATTTGGGAATGAATGTCAAGACAAAATTAACCTACTCAAGAAACATTTCTTTTGTGAAGAAGTTGATAACGCAGCTTCTTGCAACGAACAGCTGTGCTGAGGATGAGCGTGAAGCCCCTTGAGGAACGTACGGCACATCGTTTGCCTTCATCCCTACGCGATCTTTCGTTTTTGCAAGTGAGCGGCCTTCAACCAATTTGGTCGCACGTGTTTCATTTGAAGCAGTCATAAGCTCGGTTGTCATGGCTTTAAGATAGACCAGGCTACGCGCCTGGCCACGACATCTTGTAAATTGTAGCTTAGAAAGTAGCTAGTAAGCAACATCCCAAGTGCCGAAGTGGATCGATCCGATTAGACAAGCTTCTGCAGTGCAAGCATTATGTCTTCAGCGCTATTGCTGGCCGGCAGACGGGGTGCGTGCATGCTAGCCCTGTTAGTGCTTACGATATGGGTCTGGGTCGGCGTCTAAGACCGTTAGTTGGCAACTGCGGGCACAGGGTGGCGCCCTCAAGCACAACCCATCGACGACTTAGGGCCAAGCACCAGCGCTCCGACCCATTTCGAGTAGGTGAAGATGCGGTAAGCAAGGATAGAATCAGGTGAAAACAAAGCGTAAACTTTTAAACAACGCACACAGGTTCTGGCCAGCACCATCCCGGCGGAGCCGGGGTCGCAGGATAGCGACAAGCAGCGATAACCAACGGGTACGCATACGTTGGCCACCCTGCATCACACTTGTTCCTCCTCTGTCTGGCCCCTTCAATTGGCTTAGGCTCCGCCCAATAGGTTTCCATAGCTCTTCCACTGCAATGGCCTGCCCCCTGTGCGCCCTCCCACCCCCTGACCTCTTTGGGCCTCCCTCCTACTTACTTACCTCCTTACTCCTACTCCCCGCCCCTTCCATCGCCCCATCCCTTGCAATCCACCACTTGCATGCCCCGCAGCTCTACCGCAGCAGCTATGGAGGCAACCCTTTCGGTGGGCGCCCTTCATGCCCCCTCCGTGCACAGCCTAACGACAACACCCAACGAACTTCCCCCGACGCACTGCCCGGCCCCGCACCTTCCTTAAACACCACCCGCAACGGCGGTAGCAGCGGCGACGGCAGCAACCCGTTCCCTGTACGAGCAAGTCACGACAGCGGTCGTCGCAGCGCCGGCGGCGGTGGCGGCAGCAAGCGCCGGCGATGGAAGGATCCCGTGTACGATAAACCCGTCGTACCACTCGTACGAAAAGCGGATCGCGATCTGCTTCCCGGCGGCGTGCCCAACACGCCCTGGCGACGGCTGGCGTACAAACTTCGGTTGGCACCAGATTTACGCGAGCTGTTAAAAATCTACGGCTCCAACTGCCGCAATACTAATGTGTGGAGCCCCCGCCACACGGCGCTTGTCGCGATCCGAGGCAGCGCGATCCTCTACCCCAAGGCTGTAGCAGCGGCGACAGCGGCAGCGGCGGGGACCGACAATGACGTCGCCGCTGCCGCAACTGCCCTCGGTTTATCCTCTCAACCGCCACAACAACAGCAGCAGCAGCAGCAACCGCCGCAGCCTGCGATTAAAGCCGAAGCAACGTCGCTGTTTGAGCGTCTTGCCACCACCCTCTCCTCCTGCGGCAGCAACGGCAAGAACGACGCGCTACGGCAGGTGCCTTCCTTCCACATCGCTCGGTTGCTCGTCGCCATGGCTTGGGCACATGCACGTGGCGAGAAATGCGAAGCCCTGGTAGGCCGACTTGTAACCGAGTTGCTGCGCTGTCGCGGGCTGAAGCTGGCGCAGGTGGCGAGTGCGGAGCCGCAGCTGTTCGGCCGTCTGATTGTTGCCCTGGCGCATCTGTCGCCACGTGACGACAGGTTGTGGGTGGAGCTGCAGCGTCTGACGTTGGCGGCGCTGCTGCAAGGGCAGGCGGAGGCGGCGGCGGCGGTGTCGGCGTCGGCGGCGGGATACAACGCCGGTGCAGTGCCTACCAGTGAGGGCGGTGGGCAGCAGCCGCTGCGGCTCTGGGGATGCAGTGGCGCCGGCAGTGAGCTTGAGCCCGCCGGCGGCAGCGAAGGTGCAACAGGGCGGCCTCAGCAGGGCCTTCTTGACACGTCGCTGCTGCCGGATTGTACGACAGCTGATCTGGCCAACCTAGCGTTCGGCTTCGCAGCTGCCGACCGAGCGCTGCCGCCGCTGTTCGCAGCACTGTACGACGCGGCGTTACGTCGCGATCTGCCGTACGAACCCGACACGCTGTCGCGGTTGCTGTGGGCCTGGGCGCGCGCGGGGCTGCCGCCGGGTCGCCTGGCGGAGCGTGTCGTGGCGGCGTTTCGGCCGCTGCTGATGACGTCACCGGCGCGGCCACTGGGGCGGGTAATATGGGCACTGGGCATGCTGGGCGCAGGGTACCTCTCCGGCGCCAGCGGCGGAAGCGGCGGAAGCCAAGGGCAGGAGCAGGAACATGGGTATGCGCATGCGGGGAATTTCCTGTCGGAGGCGGGGGAGGCCATCGTACGACGGCGGCTTGTGTTTGGCTCCCCACAAGAGCTTGTGAACGTTGTGTGGGGTTTCTCACAGCTCGGGGTGAGGGTGCGGGCGGAGACGCAGGTGGCGGAGGAGGCGCAGCGGCAGCGACGAGCGGCGGTACGACAGGAGGAGAGCGCTGAGAGGGCGAAGCCGCGTGGCAGGAGACGGCGTGGGCCGGAGCGGATTGAGGAGGGCGGAGGAGGCGTGGCTGGCAGCGGTGGGAGCAGCAGCAGCGACAGTGGCGGATCGGGGGAGACGTCGGAGGCTGCTGGACAGCAACCGCCGCAGTTGCAGCACGAGGCAGCTGTACCTTGGACTGGAGAGGTGGCGGCGGAGGCGCCGACGGCAGCGGGCCCTGACGCCGGATTGCGGCAGCCGACGGGGCGGCATGCTACCGAGGAAGGGCAGCAAGAGGGAGGGGAAGGGTGGCAGGGGGAGCCGCGACAGCAAGCATTGAACCACCAAGATGAAGGTGCTCAGGCGGGTAGTGGGGACTGCAGGGGAGCAGCAGCTGCGGCTGACCCGCAGACGGATGCGCCGGCGGTTGCGCTCTTGTTTCCTCCTCAGCAACAGCAGCCGGAGCAGCAGGGAGGGAGCGGAAGTCGCTGCGTCGCAAGGTCTGCCCCTTCAAGGACCTCGACACCCACGCAGGCGTGGCTTAACGGCACGGCTGCTGCCGACACTCCTGACACCGACGATGCCGGCAGAGCAGCTTCCGTACAACTCCCCGCCGCTGACACCACGACGCCCGCGCCGCTGCCGTCGCTGCGGCCGCTACCGCTGTCGGCGGTGCTTGACGCAGCTGACGCGCGCACCCAGGCGCGTGCATCGCTGCCCCCACCCGACCCCAGCACACCACTTGCGTTGTACCGCTACCTCGCACACAGCTTCCTCCGCGGTTACACCGGGTCTGCAACCCGCTGGTCCATGTCAAACTCCCAACTTGCCGTACTTGCGATGAGCTTTGCTCGCGCAGGGTACGGCAACAAGAGCCTGTTTTACACGCTGGCGCGCATGGCGGTACGGCGCTTGGCCTCGCTGACACCCACGGACTTGGTGCTCATCCTGCGCGCGCTAACGGCGGTTAGGATTCCGCATGATGGGCTGCTGCAGGCTGCATGCAACATGGTGGATGTTCGGTTTGGGGAGTTCACGTCGCGACAGCTGGCGGATGTGTTGTGGGCGGTTCAGTCGCTTCAGCCGCACGGATCGTACGTAGCGCTTGTGGAGACGCTGCGGCGGCGGCGTCACGAGGGCGGGCAAAGGATGGATGTACGGCACCGGCTGCAGCTGCAGCAGCAGCGGCAAGCGGTGCGGTTAATGGAGGAGCATCAGGTGGTGAGGGGAGTGGAGGAGGGGTGGGCTGTGGCGACGGCGGCAGCGACGGCTGCTGCTGCGATGGAGGAGGTGGAGGCAGCGGCGGAGGCGGCGGAGGCGGCGGCAGCAGGAGTGAGGTATACTCGGTTGCCGGTGGCGGCTGAGCGGTTCCACGTGCCCGCGCATTTACTGGAGGATGCGGAGTGGCCTGGACGCAGGGGGGATGTCGACGGGAGGGATGGTGATGATGATGATGATGATGATGAGGAGGAGGAGGATGGTGAGGAGGAGGAGTATGAAGAGGAGCATGGGAATGGAAGTTCGTGGGTTGGAAGCAGCAGCGGCAGCAGCAGCAGCAGAAGCAACGGCGGTAGAGGCGGGAGGTGGCAGGAGCGGCCGTTGGGTCGGACGACCCATGGGTCAGCTGGGGAGGGCGGACACGGCACAATGGCTGGCCCCACATCAGTAGCGACGGGAGGGGCAATGAGGTTGCGGGGGTGAGGGCCCGGAGGCAGCTAGGCAGGTATACTAGTGCAAAGGGCTAAGGGTTGCAGGTTTCTGGCGCATGCATGCAGTGGTATGGATGGGCAGATCAGATAGGGTGCATGAGAGCACATGGTTCGCTAGGTCCCCAGACTTTCTATACGTGTTGCACCCATATGGTGATAAAGGCTTGGTATGAAGTCGTGTATGAAGGCAGAAGCGGATATGCCTGCATGCGACCACTCGGTCAGCTGCAGGGCGGATGACGGTATGAGATCCGTACGACAAGTTGTTGTTGTTGTTGTTGTGGTAGTGCGCTTGGTGGTTCAGACCAGGCTGCCGCCGGTCGAGAGGGGGGTTGGAACGACGACCGCTGAATGTTAAAGAAACTGGCCGCTGTATGTTTGCATTCACCTTACAAGTGTCAGGAGGGATACATCGTTGAGCATGAACCACCTCACGCACTCGCACTCGCACACCCCAGTTGATCCTAGCACACACGACGTTCCGGCATTCTGTCTCGCCACCTGTTCCGTTAACACCCCACCCCACCAAGGGACCTCCAAGGCCTGCTTTGCTCCTTCTGCCCGCCCACCCCCCCTCCAACCCTTGCCCTGGACTTGTCTTGCCCTCAAACGCAAACAACAGACCTCTCCAACCACAACACCGCCTCTCGCCTCCCTGTCCCTCGTTCAATCCGCAGCAGCCGCTTGAGCCGCAGCAGCAGCAGGGATGATCGGGAACAGCGCAGAGCCGGCCACCAATCGGGCATCGAATGGCATGCGCTCGTCCAATTGTACGAGCGGCAGCAGCCTCCCTTGCGGCAACTGCCGCCTAACGGTACCTCCGCCGCCGCCAACATTTCCGCCTCCGCCCGCAGCGCCACTAGCACTGCTACTTCCACCACCACCGCTAGCAGCGTCCTTACCGCTTACACCTGTCTGCTGCTGCGGCTGGCCGGGTCCCGCTTGAGCAATCTCCTTCGAAACCTGACCCTGACCATCAGTCCCCATTGAAACCCCAGCAACTGGCGCCTCATCGCCGCCATCGCCGCCAGCGCTGCCGTTGCTCCCGTTCATGTCCTTGGCTTTGCCGTCGCCGCCTCCGCATGAACTGTTCTCGCAACCACCCCACCCCAGCCACTCCGCAGGCAGTCCGTACGCAGCCGGCAAGCACACCACAACTTGGCTATCTGGCGGCAAAGGAACTGGACGAACTAGCGACATGTGTACGACAACCGCCGGCGCCTCCGGCCTCGAAACCAACTCCGACGCTCTTCCCAACTCTCCAAGCCCAACCTCGACATCCTCCGCCGCCGCCGCCACCTGTTGCCCGCCACCGCCGCCGCCGCCGACCTCGGCATCCGCCTGACGTCGCCGCTGCCGCAGCGGCGCCACCGACAACCCCGCTGCCTCCGCCGCGTCAGCGGGCATTGACGGAGGCTGCTCGACACGGACCTGAATCGTGGGTCGTACGGCAAGCAATGGCTCGCCGTACGCTGACGGCGGCGTCACAACGAAGATGCGTCGCAGTTGCGCAAGGCCCGCGGGACGTCGTGGAGTTGGATCCCAGGCTGGCGCTCCGTCATGATGTGTTGGTTTCGGAGGTCCTGTTTCAGGCTGCAGGCCTTGTGGCGGCTGCAGGAACAGCGGGGCATCATGCTGAAGCAGGAAGCTAGCGGCGGAGTTGCTAGCACCGCCGCCGCCGCCGCTTTTACCACTGCCGCTGCCGGCGGCAGCGGACGCCACGGCAGCGGCTATCTCAGTTCGGGGCGGGCGTATGGAGCGCTGTTGTTGGGGTGCTGATGGACTTGGCGACGCCGGCGGCGGCGGCGCCGCCGCTGCCGCCTCCGGCGGTGTCGTACTCGCCAGCGCCGCCGCCAGCTGCTGCGGCGTCGCCAAGAAGCGGCGGCCGTCAAGGGTCTGGTACTCGTACGACACATACACCTTCCTGGTGTCCCTCGCGCCCGCTAGCGAGGGAAACGCGACGGTCGCATCCACGCCGGCGACGACTTCCGCACCTCCGCCCGCTGCTGCAGCACCCCGGGCCCGTCGGCCCCGTGACGTAACCGCCGCTGCCGCCGCCGCCGCCGCTGCTGCTGTCGTACTGCCGCCAAGTCCAGGCGCCGCGGACCCGCCGTTGCTGGCGGCGCCAGCACTCGCACGTACGCCACTGCCGTACAGGTTTGGCCATGCCTTTGCCAGTGCCGCCCTCTCACGACTGACGGCGGCGACGAGTTCATCGCCTCCGCCGGCGGCGGCAGATCCCTTGCCGCCAGTTTGCGCCTCCGCTGAACCCTTCTTTGCGGCGGCGGCGGCGCCCCGGCGCGGACCCTGACCCGTCACCATCGCCGCTGCTGGTGGAGCCGTCTGTGCCGCCGCCGCCGCCAGCGACGGAAAGCTCTGCTCGTCCAACAAGACAACCCCGTCACCTCCGTCGCCCTTGCCGCCGCCGCCGCCCTGCGCCGCCGCCGCCGCCGCCTTACCGCCCCGCCCGCCGGCGCTCTTACTGACGCTCCCAGCTGCCGTACCCGCTGTCGTGCCTCCTACTCCAGATCCTTCCAAATGCAACATCAGTGGGAAGAGGTGGCTGCCATTAAGCCCGGGCTGGTTGGAAAGGCCGCGTCGCTCATTGTACGCACTGGCTGGGCCTAATCGGGTGATGGTGACCCATGGGCCCAACGCGCACTGCCGAGTCGTGCCGTCGGCGATCTGAGCCGCCGCAATCACCAAATGGCGACTGTGAGCAGCGCCTGCAGCTGCCGCCAGCAGTGGTTGCTGCTGCGGCTGCTGCGGGTGCTGTTTTGGAAGGTCGGAAGTCGGCGTGACGGCGGCTGCGCCGCTGCCGCTGCCTTTCCTTCCGCCCTTCTGGCGGCCGCTGCCGCTAGCCGTTGTAGCAGATGGCAATGTGGATGTCGAGGAGCCTGACTGCGGCGGCGGCGGCGGCGGCACGCCGACAGCGTCTCCGTCGTCTAACACAGCCGCACAATTCGCCACCTGCATGGCGCGCAGGACAGCGGAAGCAGTCGGCATACCCAAACAACTTAACAACGAACACCCAAACGACGTTAAGCGCCATGCTGCCCTGACGTCGACGTGATGGCGGGAAAGCCGTATTGCACGGTATACCGGTATCTGACCCTTACCTGAACATCAAAGGGGTCCGGTACCAGCACCCAGCTGCTGCCCGTTGTGGTTGTTGTACACCAGCTGGTGGTTTCGGAGCGGTGAGGCTCCTCAAGCGGGTCCTACAGCAGGGGCGGGGGTTGCATGTACGGCATGTTTGTACCAATTTGCTTGAGTGCTGGAAAGGAGTCCCAGAGTGCTGCAAGGAGCAGGAAAGGCCTAGACGAGGGAAGAATGCTGAGCTAAGATGCAAGGGACGCACACAACGGAGAGAAGTACTCGGCGCGTGTCGCGAAAAGGGCACAAACCGCAGCGGGCTGTTTTACAACAAACATAGTCCTCTAGCGCTTCACATAGCTTTGCGTAACGACATGCATGCAAACGGACAGGGTACGGTAATGAGGGCTTACGTGATCGGCAGGCAGGCAGCACGGTCGGCCCGTAACGCTCAACGCGCTACATTGCCGCCGACCCGCCCGCCAAGCGGCGTCGCACGCAGCACGCAGCCGCGCCGCCGCCGTCGCTGCTGCGGGCCCCGGCGGCGCCGCCGCCGCCAGCGCCGCCAGTGCCGCCGCCACCGCCGCCGAGTGGGCCCTCGCCGGGTAGCGCGGCGGCGTCGTCGACAGGTACTGGCGGAGTACGGCGTCGGCGGCGGCGTCGGCCAGTTCCGATGCTAATCGTACGACAAGGCCGCCGCCGCTGGCGGCGGCGGCGGAGGCGAGCCATGCCGCAGCGGGATCTAGGTCGCCAGATGAGGGGGAAGCGGAGGAGGAGGAGTACGGCGATGTCAGACCGCTTGTCGAGGGAAGGTCTTGCATGGTAGCGGCGGTGGCGGCGCCTGGGCGAGAAGACCGTCCACGTGTGGTAGCGGTGGCGGCAGATGGGGATGCGGAGCGACGACCTGTTGTGTATGGTGTGCGGTTGGTGTAAGCGGGCAATGGGGGGCAGTGCATTGAGTACGGCATGTAAGCTGTCGTTACAGAAGCCGCAGGTAACGGTCTCGCAAACAATTCTCCGAGCAAGGTCCTTAGCAAGATATTGGTAGACGTACCGTACCTGTTGTGCTGAAAGGCCCCAGCGGTGGAGACCAGTCTAAGGGCCGCCGTACGGCATCCCACCAAGCTGCTACAGCTGCGCCGTACAAGACCTCCGCCGTACATTGCCAGCTGCTGCTGAAACCCTGTAACGCCAGCACGGCTGTTGCATGATGTGGCGGCGATGAAATCATTCCGGCACCGGCTTGTACGGCACGTCCGGCATGTCCCCGTACGGAATTCAATCCCCCATTGCCTGCCGCCGTTGCTGCTGCCGCTGCTGCAACCGTCTCCCGCAGACATTGCAGTCCATCCGTCGCCCCTAACGAGCCTGCCATGACTGCCGATGCGGATTGTACGACATCCTCCTGATCTGGATCTAACAAAGCTGCCAGCACGACATCATGGACCTCAGCTGGGCTCAACGATACGGGTCCCGGTTGCATGACTAACTGCTGGAGATCTACCGTACAGAGGACCCATGGGTCAGTGCTGCCAACCCGCGGGTCGGCTGCAGTTGACGAATATGCAGACGCCGGCAGCGGGCGGCAGCGCTTAAACAAGCTCCGCATGATGCCATTCACGCCGGCTGCGGGTTGGCAGCTTCCGGCAACATGTGCGGCGGCGGCGCCGCGACGACCCATGGGTGAGCTGGTGGAGGGGTTGGGCGGAGGAGCAGCCAAGGTCTCCTCCGGAGGGGCCGCGGTATCGCTCTGTAAGCCAAGGCAAGGCAAAACGGTTGCAAACACGCGTGAGGGCTGGCAGACAGGATTTCTCTCTGCTTGGCGGGAGGTGAGCGAGACTGCAACATGCGCGGGCGGGAGAGAAGCTCTAATGTGATATCATGGGTATATTGGACGCAGCATCAACACCACTACACTACACAGCCGCCTTCTTTTGGCACAGCCCAAGGTAGCACAGGCACCGGTATACATGGCACGGCAGCACATGCATGGAACAGCAAGCTGCGACTCCCATGGGGCTATCCATGGGGCATGTCCCTTTCGGGCATTCCCTCTTCAACCATGCGCCTCCCCGGTCCACAGCCGGGACCCACCGGACTCCAGGGAACAATACCGGTACGCCATCTGTAGTTCTGTACCGCGGACTCCGGGGCATGCTGCCACTCCCACTCCCACGCACACCCTTCCGACACTCCCCGAAAGCTGCTGCCACTAATTCCAGCTGCCACGAACTTACCGGAGAAACGAAGTACAGCGCCGGTGGGGAGCGCCGCGAGCACCAATCCCGCAGCAGCTGCTGGTGATGCTCTAGCTGCTGCTGGTGGCTCGTCTTGGCTTCAGAGGCGGCCCTGCAGGCGGCAGCTGCCGCGGGGGCTGATGACGGGGACACGGCGCCGCTGCCGCCCCGGCCGCACACGCCCTGGTGCAGCGCGCGCCTTGCACCCTGGGGGGAGCAGTCCCCGAGGCGAAACCGCGAGGGGAAGTGGTGAGAAAGAAAAGAAAGCGAGAAAGGGATTAGAAGACAGTAGTTAAAAAGCCCATAAAAGAGAAAGAACGCGTTCGTTTTCCTCTCGTACGACGTGTACCCCGTACGACACCTTCCATACACACCACCTCCCATTCCCCACATCTCCAGCCCTCCCCGGTGAGGTAGGGTCCCAGCCCCACCTCACCATCCCACCCGCCAACCCACCTGCAGCAGCCTCAGACGGGACAGCCACTCGACCGCACCCGCCAGAGGGTTGGCGCCTGCTCCTCCGCCTCCACCTCCGCCGGCACCCCCTGCTGTCGGCAGCAGCACCAACACCACATCGCACACCAGGAACAGCTGCAGCAGCAGCACGCTCACAGCCACCTCGTGACGCTGCTGCAGCGCCTGCAGCGGGGGAAGCTGCAGCAGCTGCGGCGGTGGTGGTGCTGCTGTTGGTGCTGCCTGCAGGCCCGTGGCGCCGGCGGGGAGGGCGGCGTTGGCTTGGGTGGGGTTATCGTCGCCGCTGCTGTCACGCCGGAGCCCTGCCGCCGGCGCAGGGGCTGCTGCGGATGCGGATGCAGCGGGTGAAGATGAGGGGGAGGCGGAGGCTGTGCCCGCTGCCTGCTTTGCTGCTGAGAGGAGCTCAGCGGTGGTGGCGTGGGTGGCAAGCAGGAGGTAGGCGGTGCTGCGGCGGGTGGTTGATGTGGAGGGATAATGAAGAGTCAGGGCGTGTTTGGATGACACGGTGCGGAGCGGAATGGGGAATGCATTCAAATGGCGGTTGGGGAGGCGCGGCAGTGTCGGTGCAGTGGGTGGGTAGGAGTGGGGGTAAATGATGGTTGCGGGTGGGATGGGCTTACCTGTAGTCGTGGCTGAGCAACAGAAGCGCGTGAGCGGGGACAGCAGGACCAGCCTGTCGGCATGATAACGGGCAGGAGAACAAGGCAGCAAGGCGGTTTGTTAACTCGGGTTGCGTGGGGAAAGTAACGCGCGAGTGTAAAGGAGGTGTGAGTTGGTGGGGCGCAAGGGTGCCTGGAAACCAGGGTTGACACAGGCCAGGCCTAGGTCCGAGCAGGCTTAATGCATCTTCTTACCTGAGCGCTTGCGACGCCTTCTCCGTTTAAGCCTACCCATTTCTGGTAAGACCATTCTCGAGGCCCGTGAATGGCCTTTGCTAATTGGTGCGCGGCATCGAGTGACTTGGCTGCAACGCAACCGCCACGAGCAAAAGTGTAACTGCATGGTTATTGCGATCTTAAGTTTAGTTAACTTGGCACCTGCTATGCCGACCACGGAGTCCATTGGCAAGATGGCAACTTGCAATTCGGCAAGGGTAAGCACACTGCTTGCCCAGTTCAATTTGTTTTATTGCGGTGCGTCTAAAGTATTATTACGAGATCTCAAACACGATTTTAGCTATCGCCACATGGGTGTTGCGGCCTTGCAGCATCGCAGTAAAGTAATTTTGTTCGGAAGAAAAATCCACCATGCCGACGATACTTTAGAGCGCAAATGTTCGCAGAATCCGGCAAAGACAGCTTTCCCTGGTAAGGTCCTAACTCCTAAGGTGCCCTTAAATGCCGTACCTGCGGAGACCCATGGGGCAACGGTGGCATGCCCGACGAGCCGAAATGCTATGAAGCCATACCGCAAGGCTGATACATGCGGCAATCAGGACTCGTTTGCTGATGCCACACTTCGTGACGCGCAGCCTCCCAGGCGTATCCCTCAACGCTACGACTCGCTATACGAAGCCTTCCCAGGAATCCAAGCACCTCCACAACCGTGCAATCCCGTTGTACGTAGTAGTTACTCGACATCCATGCGGCTCCCCGTCTGATGCCGTTATACGGACAACTTCTTTCTGAGGGTTCGTTGGATGCGAACGGAAAGGGTTGGCAGGTGCAGCTGCGGGTGTACGGCCGGCGTTGCGAAACACGGGACCTTTCAATTCCCCTTTGGTCTTCCTTGGTCATTGAAACCGTCAGCACCCGGCGCTGCCAGGCCTTACTTGCACTGTACCTCTACTTAAAACGCCTCCAAGGCTGTTTAGTGCAAGCTATTACTTCTAATCTTACCATCCATAACTGTACCAGCATCTTCCACGGATCAGTCTTTCCCATATAACTCGTTCCTAGCCCCCAAAATCAAAAGACGAGCAAAGCGACAGCTTGAGGCCGACAACCCCAGTCCCCATATCGTTGCTTGGACTCACCATCACACTCACCATCACCGTCACCACCATGGCTGCCAAACTGCTGCCCAGCTGCTGCTTGCCCCGCCTGCTGCTGCTAGTCCTGCTGGCAACTGCTATGCGGGCGGCGCCCATTGCTCCAACTGGTGAGGGAGAGAGAGAGAGCAGAAACACAAGAGTGCTGACCCAAGCATAGCTTAGCAGCTACAACGGGCATGTTGAGGCCCCATGTTGAGGCCCCCATACCGGCGAGGCAGGCAGCCTCGCACAACGTGCCCGTAATGTGCACCATTAGCGCCAGTTCCGTGCTCTTTCACTTTACCGACTTTACCAAGTAACAGCGACCAGGAGGTTCCCATGCCCCCCTGCCATGTCTCCTTCCGAACTGTGACTTCCTTGACCCGCGCGCCTCCTCGTCATTTCCGGCCCTGGATGCGCTCCTGCCCGCCCACAACAGCCGACGCTCCGAAGCCCCTGCTGCCCAAGCCTGACGCCGCCCTCGCACCCGCACTCACGCCCAAGCCCCTGGCCAAGCCTGCAGCTACCACCGCGACTGCGCCCGGCACCAAGCCCGTTCCTCAGCCACAGCCCAAGGCCGAGTGCGCTAGCCCCTGCTACACCGTAGCAGAATACTGGTGGGTCGGTGGGTCGGTGAGGCAGCCGCCGGATAAGGATACGAATACGCAAGCCGCAGTTACTGGCAGGGTTCCATGGGGAGAGCTTGCAACCTTTGGCAACCTTTTGCGACCTTTCCTTTCCCAGCTGCCCTTCCCCATCATCCCCTGATTGCGCACACCCAGGCCCTACAAGACCTGCCGCGCCGAGTGTTCTCCGGAGGTCTGCAAGCGAGGTGGGGGGTGGGACAGGGTCAATCATGAAGTGCTACGTTCTGGGTGCATATAAAGCGCCTGCCTCGTAGCCTGCTGGCTGGGGCGAGCCAGAGCCTTTACCTTGCACTACAACGCATCAGGCGCAAAAGATGCCAAAGATGAAAAAGGAAAACATGCTAGGCCGCGCCGTTCTGCTCCGCCTTCCTTGCCCCGAAGCCGCCTGCTCGCGCCACTCCTTCCCCCTTCTCCCTTCTTTTCTTGTCCAGGCTGGGGCGCCTGGCCTAGCCAGGAGGTGTGTTGCGCCGCGGGTGCTGCCTTCCCCGACGGCTGCAGCGTGCGCCCCGAGCAGTGCTGGGTGGCGGAGAGTGAGGTGACGCGCACCTGCCGCAGGGACGATCGCAAATGCCTGCAGGGTAGGCGGGGGGAGGGCTGGGTGGTGGGTGGCTGGGTCTTGGTTGATGCGGCGTGATGCGGCTTAGAAATCCGCTTGACAACCCGCGCGCGTGTGCATGTGCTTGCAGCGTTGCAGTGATAAATGCGTGCATCAGTACGACAATCCTTATCGCACTCCCAAACTCCCAACAGATAGCGAGATATGCTCCCCGATCTGGACGACTACGTACACGCATACACAACTAGTAATCAGGTCCAAGCATGTCACCTGCACGCCCATGCAACATGTCGCCTGCCCGCCCATGCAGGCTACGGCGTGTGGCCCTCTGAGGCCGTCTGCTGCACTCCCGGCGCGGCTTTCCCTGACGGCTGCAAGCCCACCCCTCCCGCCGCTGCCGCCTCCAAGCCTTGCTGGGTGGTCGACACCTACTTCCCCTCACGGCTGTGCAGGGAGACCCGCAACCTGTGTGTGCCAGGTGGGGTGCTGCTGGTGTGCTGCAGTATTCCTGACTTGGGTTCTGCAAACACTGTTGTCATGCGCCAGTTCTGATTTACGCACAATACGTTACTCTCCGGCTGCAGCCATGCGGTGCAGCAGCACCCAAGTGCTCGTGAAGCGCAACGCATGCGCCATTGTGTTGTCAAAGTTATCATGCGTCCTGCCTTACTTGCTACATGTAGCCAAGCAATACCAGCTGCCAACCCCACCCCTACCCTGTCTCCCCTGCTTTCCCAGGCATCGGCGTGCAGTCCTGGGCCAGCAAGGAGGCCTGCTGCGCCCGGGGAGGTGCCTTCACCGAGGGCTGCAGCGCCGCACCGCCACCCACTCCCTGCTACATGGTGAGGCACTGCACACATCAACCTGCCTGCTGTAGCAAACTGCATTTGCGGATGGGATTGCTAGCTGCGATACCGATTTGAAGACTGGCTTTGTGCTGCCGTCTGCTTGCATGAAAGTCTGCCAACACGTGCTGCTACAGGGATGTGGTTAACCATAGTGGACCAGCAGCCGTCGCTTGCAGCTTTATAACGCATTTGCGCTACCGGCGTCACAACACCGCTCTCGCTGCCCGTTACCCAACCGTAACCCAACCTGTGCTCCACAGGTTGGCTCCTACTGGCCCAAGCGCACCTGCGTCAAGTCCGACGACGTGGCCATGTGCAACCGAGGTGCGTTGGCCTAGTGCTGGGGTTAGGGCTTGAAGTATCAAGGCGGGGGGCGTTAATAAGAGAGGGGAAGGGAAGGGAAGGCAGGGCTGCTTGCAGGCATGACCCACGGGTTAATGAGCCCCCGGGTGAATTGCTAGTGGAGGGGTGGGGTTGACGAGGCCACGGCTACTTAGGGAATTGCTAGTTGCTGGAGACTGGTCTGAGGTCTATTAAAAGTCCTGGAGGAGCTTCTGCTGTAAGCATTCATAACATCATAGCTGCCTTCCCGAACGTGTCCTCCTGCCCCTGCGTGCCTTGTCCTGCAGGATGGGGCGTGTATGCGAGCAAGGAGGTGTGCTGCACCCCCAACGTCGCTTTCCCGGAGGGCTGCTCCGCTGCTGAGGGTGCTGAGGGTGCGGAGGAGGATGGCCCCAACCCTCAGAAGAAAATGTGATGAGGGGCGTGTGTTGGTAGTTAGGTCGAGCAGCAGGGAAGGTGTCAGATATCCGGATGGTGTTTCGCTTTTAGGTCCGGCAGTGAGCGATTGGTGATGCGGCACTAGGCCGTGTAGCTACGTACATGTATGCGTTTTCGCTTTGTGGCGTTGGGAGTTGTCGCTTCAGCCTGACGGACGGTTAGGGCCGAACTGTGACCCATGGGTCATCAAACATTTTAGACCTCGCCTGCTGTCTAATGTTTTGACAATGATTTATAGACGAGTTAAGACGACGCAGGTGGTAGGTGTTCCCATCGGGCTTGGAAGATGGCGTGTCTTATTGGTCTTTAGGGGCCTGTGTTGTATGTCCCATTTGGTGACCCACGGCGTCAAGGAAATTGATACTGCATCCAGCCAGCGACCACATTCACCAGTACCCTGATTGCATGCATGTAAGCTGAACTACAAATACCTGGCACTTTCTCTTCCTGCCGCTCGTACATACGTGGCGTCTTGCATTGCGAGTTAACATACACGGGTTGCCAATCGGCAAACAGCAGCAGGCTTCTTGTTTGACCAGCATAGTCTTTCAGCCGCCAGTAGCGCACCTCTGAACGGGAGCCAGGCAGAACTCCGAACCTGGCTCCACAACGTCTGAAATTGTTAACCGATATGCCATTATAGAAATATCCGCAGCTAACCATTATGAAGAGATGTGAAAGAGCCATCCTTGCTGGCAGCAGCAAGGGTAGTGCCATCAGCAAATTGCAGTGTGAGAGGTGCCGTACCTGATGACAGGTGGCCGTTATTTACGAAGCACACACCCATCCATCACTCTCTGTAACATTGGGTCTGAAGGTCGTTTGGGTTCGGAGCCATTTCAGATTCGTAGCCGTTGGTGGTGATGACAGTGCTAGATAGGTGCCTGGTAGCAGTCAGGTGCGTACTTAAGCCACCGCCATGGCCAGAGAGCTCCCATGCCAAGCCTAGGGATGCACATTCCTTTCCGCTGCGGGTACTAAGGCAGCGCATGCACCTTACCTCCAGCACCACAGCCTCATATATATCCGACCTTTAGCTAGGAATCTAGCGCGTCCAGTGTCATCTGCAGGGGAGGCGCCGCAGTGTCAGGTCCACTGACCGTTGCTTGGACCCACCATCACCGTCACCGTCACCACCTTCATGATGGCTGCTGCCAAACTGCTGCCCAGCTGCTGCTTGCCCCGCCTGCTGCTGCTAGTCCTGCTGGCAGCAACTGCTGCGATGGCGGAGCCCAATGCAACCATGGGTGAGGAGGCGGAGCTCGAACCTATAGCCTCAAACCAGCTGGCAAACCGCATACATATTAGCATGATGAGTCGCTGTCAAGTGTCAACCACTGTCCGTCCATTGATTGCTTACTGGTATGGTGCTGGTGTTTTTCGGGCATGTGTACCCACAGCCGCTGCAAACACGTGCTTACAGTTTTGTCCCTCAACTCCCGTTCCTGTTGCCTGCTGCCTCGACCCCACACGGTGCAATCCGTCAATCCAGTGTCCAAGCCGGACAATGCCACCATAGCCGCTCCCCGGATGCCCAAGCCTGACAATGCAACTGCAGCTGCCTCCAATGCCACCGCAGCTGCGCTGAAACCCGATAACGGAACCACAGCCACGGCAGCTGCTTCCAAACCTGATCACTCCACAGCAGCTACTAATAAGCCAGCTGCTGGCAACGCCACGGCAGCCGTTAACTCCACAGCACCAGCTTCCAAGCCTGACAACGGCACGGCAGCTGCTTCCAAGCCTAACAATGGCACGGCAGCTGCTGCCTCCAAGCCTGACAATGGCACAGCACCAGCTTCCAAGCCTAACAATGGCACGGCAGCTGCTTCCAAGCCTGACAACGGCACGGCAGCTGCTTCCAAGCCTGACAACGGCACGGCAGCTGCTTCTAAGCCTAACAATGGCACGGCAGCTGCTTCCAAGCCTGACAATGGCACGGCAGCTGCTGCCTCCAAGCCTGACAACGGCACAGCACCAGCTTCCAAGCCTGACAACGGCACGGCAGCTGCTTCCAAGCCTAACAATGGCACGGCAGCTGCTTCTAAGCCTAACAATGGCACGGCAGCTGCTTCCAAGCCTGACAACGGCGCGGCAGCTGCTGCCTCCAAGCCTGACAACGGCACAGCACCAGCTTCCAAGCCTAACAATGGCACGGCAGCTGCTTCCAAGCCTGACAACGGCACGGCAGCTGCTTCCAAGCCTGACAACGGCACGGCAGCTGCCTACAAGTCAGCTGCCGGCAACACCACGGCAACCGGTAACTCCACGTCAGGATCGCCCAAGCCTGACAACGCCACGACAGCTGCCTACAAGTCAGCTGCCGGCAACACCACAGCAGCCGTCAACTCCACGTCAGGAGCGCCCAAGCCTGACAACGCCACGGCAGCTGCTTACAAGTCAGCTGCTGGCAACACCACAGCAGCCGTCAACTCCACATCAGGAGCGCCCAAGCCTGACAACGCAACGACAGCTGCTGCTTCCAGCCCCAACAGCGCTTTCGCAGCTGCTCCTGTGGCTCCATCCAAGCCAGGCAATGCCACCCGGGTACCGCAGCCCGAGGCGGAGTGCGCTAGCCCCTGCTACACCGTGGCTGAATACTGGTGGGTCAGTGGATCGGCCGCCGGACGTGCTAGCTGCTGTTCTAAAGTTGCTTACGGCGGGGGGATTGCCGGGATTAGTTTACAGGGCACTAGGAGTCGCTGATGCCGCTGAGCATGTACAGCCAGCATTTGCCCCTGTAGCTGGACATATAGCGGATAGGGTAGATCATCATTCATCTATGATGAGCTACACGTCGCAAAGCAGCAGCAGCAGGGCTTCGGCGGTCGCACTATCTGGGAATCGACCTACTGAGTCCGCACACGGGCTGTAGCTCTGCTGCTTATCTTGACTGGCAGCAGCAGCGGCCCAAGTAAGATAGGTTGCTAGTTCCTCCCATGCACACCAGTCCCTTCTGTCTCTGCTGCTCCCCTTCCAACCCGGGTGTGCTCATTTACATGCCTGCAGGCCGTACAAGGGCTGCCGTGCCGAGTGCGCGCCCGAGGTGTGCAAGCGAGGTGGGTGTTGATGAACGACGTGCACCCCTACGACAAACCATGCATGCATGCCCATGCATGCATGCCTGTGACGTCCAGGCATGCACGCATGCCTGGGAATCTACGCATGCATGCATGCCTAGGACGCCCAAGCATGCATGCCCCTGTATGCATGCCTAGGACGCCCAAGCATGCATGCCCCTGGAGTTCCCCTAACGTGAGCTAGCTCCTTGTTTTCTACCGACAATCACTTTGTATGCCTACACGCCCTTCTTCTTTCTCTCTCACTCACTCATTCACACTCCGCGCAACCCCCCGTTACGTCCCCTTCCGTGTCCAGGTTGGGGCGCCTGGCCTAGCCAGCAAGCCTGTTGCGCCGCGGGTGCTGCCTTCCCCGACGGCTGCAGCGTGCGTCCCGATCAGTGCTGGGTGGCGGAGAGTGAGGTGACGCGCACCTGCCGCAGGGACGATCGCAAGTGCTTGCAGGGTAGGCGGGGGGAGGGCTGGGTGGTGGCTGGCATAACGCTCTAGGCCGGTACATGCCGTCTGCAAGCCGCCTGGAGCATTGAGTAGGGAGAAGTACGGAGGTAGCGTGCACCGGTATGCGACATGCGGCTACATTTCGGGTGTAGCGGGCAGGCTTACCTGTCTGTTGTGCTCCGCCGCTGTTCGTCTTCGTGTCACTGCTAAACCCGCTGATCGTACGCCCAACCATGCGTGGCCGGCAGATATCTATTTCCGTACCTACCCACACTCCCGATTGTAGGCTACGCTATTTGGCCCTCGGAGCAGGCCTGCTGCGCCAAGGGTGCGGCCTTCAAGGACGGTTGCAAGCCCACCCCTCCAGCTACCAACAAGACCTGCTGGGTGGTGGACACCTATTTCCCCGCACGACTGTGCAGGGAGGTAAACAACCTCTGTACGCCAGGTGCAGGTAGGTGTGCTGGTTGATTTCTATAAGAAGCAGGGGATACGGACGCAGCAATGCCCCGCGGGGCGAAAACCCACCAATCATCCGCCCCCCGCATCACTCGGCTGCACACGTGCACTCCCGCCTGTGCTCTATGCCTCCCTGCTGAAACGCCTGTTGCCTGGTGTTTACCCACGTGCCTGCTGCTCCCACCCCCTCCCTTCCCCGCCCCAGGTGTCAAGTACTGGGGTAGCCAGGAGGCCTGCTGCGCCCGGGGAGGTGCCTTCACCGAGGGCTGCAGCGCCGCACCGCCACCCACTCCCTGCTACATGGTGAGCGAGAGCCCAGCCGCCCAGCACCTAGCTAGCTACCCGGATACTGTTACTGTTGCTGTTATACAAGTAATTACTGTACATTGTTGCCGAGATCCCCAAGATCTCGGACTGGAGGGACCAGGGTGACAGCTAGCACCATCTACGGCCATTCATTCAGCTAGCACCATATACGTTATAGCACGCCGGCGCATGGTCTGGCCCTCCCGGTCACAATAGCGCATGCGGCATATATATACACAGCGGCGGGTTCTTCTTTTCGTGGCTGGTCCAAGTCTGTAGCCTCTGTCATGCACCTGCAAACCCAAACCCACCGTGTCTGGACACCCGTCCGCAGATCGGAACCTACTGGCCCAAGCGCACCTGCGTGAAGACAGAGGACATCGCCGTGTGCCACCGAGGTGCGTGTGTAGAGTTGCTAGAGCTGGGGTAGATGGGATGAGTTTAGGGGCGAAGGCACATGTGCGGTGGGAAATAAAAGGCTAATATAATAGGCTACCCAGTGCGCCTGCTAAGGGACGACTACGGCTCGCTCTCAGTCGACACGGCTGCCTGCTGCTAAGGGGCTCCCTCCGTGCGCGGTTCCAATGCTGCTTGTTAGACGGGTCCGAAGGCTGAGGCAGGAGGCACCTACGGTAGGAACGCGAGCCGCTAGCTGGGGCGTTCATTCCCTCCTCCGTTCCGTTTTGCAACCCGCCGTACACCCCCTGTCCTCTTCCCTGCGTGCCTTTTGCCCTCGAGCAGGCTGGGGTGTGTACGCGAGCAAGGAGGTATGCTGCGCCCCCAAGGCGGCCTTCTCGGATGGTTGCTCGGATCATGCGGGGGCGGCAATCAACCAACAGAAATAGATGCGAGGGACGTCAGTTATTACCAGGGGAAGATATCAGGTAGAGCAGAAGTTGGGAGTTCGTATGCCGGTATCTTAGCCGCTAGGTAGCGTTGGGGGCTGCTGTGGCAGATAATAGAACAGGCCTGAGCTGCTGATTGGTGCACTTGGTAGGTGCATTGCAGGCGGTGGTGGTGGTACTGCACTTCAACTGCAACTAGCTCACTGCCAGGAGTGGGAGGGAGTGTACGGTAGTCTGGTAGGATTTCGCAGTACTGTGTTGTGTGTGTTTTCTTGCGAGCCCACGGGGGGAAACTTGCTTTCTCGGAAAGCGTACGACAAATCCTTATGATGTGCAAGGTTGCTGATGCAACCTGTACTACTACATAACTGAACAAAGCCCGTAGCAAGGCGGCATTGGTTGAAAGCGGTTGACGTAGTTGTTTGTTTGTTTACTAGCAAGGCGGCATTGGCGGACAGCGGTTGACGTAGTTGTTGTTTGTTTGTTTGTTTGGATCACAGGGTGGGGGGCCAAGGAAGGGAGGCAGCCCGCCCAAACCCCAAACCCCAACTATTGCAAGGAGGTGGTGAGCTGCTTGCTTGTTGTGCCGTACGTGCCTCTGTACTCCATACCCCACATTGCATACCGGTAGCCATACATCCAAGCTGGAGGCTTGATGTAAGTCGAAACACATCCGTCTGTTCGTGTGTTTGAATTGTTCATCACTTGCACACGCCCTGGGGACTTCATCTTCCGGCAATCGCAGTACGTTCCGACTCGAGGCCAGTTTCCTTAAAAGACGAAACCGGGCGGCGGAGATGCGCAACCAGCATGTAGATATTGACCCAGTCCTCATTCCGCATGGCACACTGCAAGCAAGTACCAGACACCTCTCTCGTCCATATGCACGCAAGCCCCCTCCATAAGCCCACAGTGCAGCTGGCCAAACCCGTCCCAGCATAAGCAACCCAGCAGGGCTGAGATCAGGCCCTGCACTCCTGATCTCGAGACCTTCGTACAACCCTCCTAGCTACTTCCTTGTGAGTTGCATGGCTCTCTTACACCCTCGCTCTGCTCCCCCCTGCACGCCTCTACGCTGTAGGCTAAATACCAGGTTCCTCGCAACGAACAACCAACAGCAACGAACCAACCACGTCCTCCTGCAACGAACTAAACCAACTGCAACCGCTTTCAGCAGCACCAGCAGCAACACAAGGCTCAGTCAGCTTCTTGCCACGCAGCGCCATACATATCATAGCTCCCACTCGCCAACACACACACATCCTGACGCAACGCAAAACGCACACTCGCAACGTACGCTCTCCTGCCCCCTTCTAAGACCAGGGCGTGCTCGCAGAGGAGTTACCTCGTACCCCAGCCTCCGGTTCTCTCTCACCCTCACTCTTCAGCACGACTCCCACTCTTCTGCACCAACTCCATTCCAACCGCTCACACCCTACCTCCAAGTTTACATGTCTCTCATCATGACATCAACAGCAGCACTCCTACCAGTAGTATATTCTGGCATTTTGCATGCATCAAGCATACAGCAATGGTCCATCCAACGAATCCGGAATCCCATCAAACCCAGAACTCAACAACTGTCCGGGAGGCAACCAATGCATGCATCCGCCTCCTCCGCTTGACAAACCTGTCAGCGGACCCGGGCAGCAGAGAAGAAGGCGGCGGCGAATCAACCGCCGGCAGCTGCAGGCTCCGCGGAGGGTGTTGCTACCGTTGTTGTTGTTGTTCCTGCTGCTGCAGCTGTTGCTGTGCCGACTGAGGCGGCGGGTGCCCGCTGCGGAAGCGGCTGCTGACCCGACTGCGGCGCAGGCAGCAACCGCAGCACGCCCTCAGGCGCCCCTCCAGTTGGGTAGAGGGAGGCCACGTAGCTCTGGGCGGTGCGCAACAGGTCAGCAGCAACGGAGGTGTCCAGGCCTGCACGTGCGGGGGGGGGCGGGTATGGAGTGGCGGGTTGGTGAGGGGTGGTGGATGGGTCGGGAGAAGCGGTTTGGTGTGCGGGGCCACGCGATACACGATATGGGTCCACTCATGGGCGGGCTTTACCGGTACAAGCAAGAGAGGAGGAGGAAGCGGAGGAGCACATGCATGTATTGTAGGTAAGGGAGGCATGCATGTAGCGGCATGCATGGGAAGATAAGGGAGGCGAAGCAACATGCATGTACCCCCCACCACCCCAACCTCCCAACCTACTCCTTACCCAGCATTGCTGCCACCTCCTCACACCGCTCCTCAAAGCCCTCCAGTCGCTGGAAGGTGGTAGCCACACGCAAGCTGGGGTCTGCTGCTGCGACGCCGTTACCGCTACCGTTACCGTTGCCGTTACCGTTGTTACTGCAACTGCAACTGCTGCTGCTGTTAGGACTGCCGGCGGTGCCTAGGTGCTCTGCGGGAGCGATAGTGGTGACGGCTGTAGCTGCGGCGGCGGGAAGGGGCTGCTGCTGCTCCTTCTGGACCTTGATGTGGTGTGCCGCGTAGCAGGCAACCTGGGTGCAGCATGCACAGGGGTTGGGCGGCGGCTGGGTGTGGCGCGGGGTGTGGGTGCGATGGTGGGTGCCACCCTGGTGGCGCCTGATCAGCAGCACCTGCTCTTCAGAGGTACCGGTACACGCACACTGTAGAGGCGAGTGAGGGCATCCTGCTCGCGACCAGATTGATCTCACACGCAACTCGAGGCCCGTTTTCTTAACACACGCACACACAGCCCCACCCCACCCCGCCCCCCCCCACCCGCTCACCTGCGGCAAGTGTGTAACGCAGATGATCTGGCTGTTGCAGCCGTGCGGGCCCAGCGTCATGCGAGCCAGGATGGAGCCCACCGCCGACCCCAGCCGTGCACCGATGCTGCTGTCCAGCTCATCCAGAATCATGATGGGAACATTGCCGCCGCTGCTACTGCTGCTGCTGCTGCTGCTAACACCAGCGGATAATGAGGCGGAGCCGGAGGAGGCGGACGACGTCGTCCCTGACGTTGCTTGATCCACATCTGCATCCGCATCCTCCTCATCCCCCTCCACCGCAGACACCGCCTGCGCCGGCGCCGCCTTCAACGCAAGCATCACTCGCGCCGACTCGCCGCCACTCGCCACCGCCGCCAGCGGCCTCAGTGGCTCCGCAGGCCCCGCAGCCAACAGGAACTCCACCACATCCAACCCACGGCTCCCCATTACGTAGGTCTCCCCACCCCGCTCGCCCACACCCGCCTCCTCCGCCTCCTCCTCCGATACATACAGCCCCTCCGCTGCTACCACTGCTGGGGTTGCAGAGGTTGCCGGCGTCTCTGCCTGCCAGCCGATGCGCACGTCGAAGCGGCTGCCTCCCATGGCTAAGTCGCGCAAGCAGGACTCCACGGCGACACGCAGGCGGGCGGCGGCGGCGCGGCGGCGGCGGGAGAGGTGCAGTGCGGTGGATCGGAGTTGGGGGACGAGGTCGTCGAGCTCCGCCTCCCACTCCTCCCGGTGACCTGGGGGGTGTGGAGGAGTAGGGAGGAGGTCAGGAGGAGGGGGAGGAGAAGGGAGGAGGGAAGTGAGTTGAAGGGTGGGGTTGGGGGGTACTTGAGGGGCAACAAGCACCAACAACGTGGGTACCGTCAAGCTACGCAGCACACAGAGTACAGTGAACAGCCAGACAACCCAAGCGCCCATGCCCCCTGTCCCAACACACACGAATATACACACACAACGCGGGGACTTCATCTTCCGACAATCACAGTACGTTCCTACTCGCGGCCAGTTTTCTTAACACACAACGCAACCCCACAGCTCACCCACAGCCCAACCCGCCACCCCACCCCACCCACCCTCCATCTCATAATACGCCGCAAGTCGAGTAGAACACCCCTCCGCAGCCGCCAACAATTCCTCCGTGTTGCTGATCCGCCCACCTCCCCCTGCTCCTCGGCCCCATACCCTACTCCCTACTCCTCCTGCAAGCACGCCCCCCCTGCCGCTGCTGCTGCTGCCGCCACCCCCCCTCGCCCCCTCCTCCCCCGGCTGCAGGATGTATGCTCCGAAACCCGCAGCGGAGGCCTGTTTGATCAGCCGCTCCAGCCGGCCCAGCCGCTCCGCAGCCGCCTCGTGCTCTGCGGGACTGAACTGGAAGCGACGTGCGTAGGCACGAACCTGGTGGGGTGGGGTGCGGGAGGTGGGGGGGGTGCACAGGGTGGTGGGGCGCGCGCGGAAGAAACCAGCAAAGAACGCAAGGCATGCAGGACGGAAGAAAGGAAAGACGGAAGGCAGAAAGAGAGATGCGGCGGTAACAGCACAAGCCAGTAGCAAGCGCGTCTCCCGCATCAGCAGCAACCCAGTACAGCCCCATCAGCAGCAGCCCAGCTCCCCAGCTCCCTCTAGCTCCCTCTATAGCCCCACTCACCGCCCCCTCCGCCGCCGCCAGCATGTCCCTCGCACTCGCCAGCTGGTCCAGCGCCGACTCCATCAGTCGCACCCCCTCACTGCACCCACCGCCCTCGCCATCCTCCTCCTCCTCCTCATCATCATCATCCCCCTCCTCCCCGTCCTCTCCCTCCCCTGCAGTTCCCTCCTCCTCCTCCTCCTCTGCTTCGCCCCGTCTACTGCTCCCAGCCGCTCCCTTCCCCCTGCTATGCTGCCCTTGCTGCGCCTGCTGCTGCTGCTGCTCCGCCTCCTCCTGCGCCAGTATGTTGTTCAGTTGCCCCTCCACGGTGCGCAGAGCATCACCCACTCCGCCGCCGCCGCCCTCGCCGCTGAGCGCCAGCCGCACCAGGCCGCACTGCTCCACCGCTGCACGACGAGCCTGCAGGGGGGGGGAACCGGGGGGGGGGGGGGGGGGGAAATTATATAAGAAATGCAAACAACTAAGTCCCAATCCCATATCCCGACTCATGCAGTGAGCGCATTCGGAGGCACTAATAACACGCATCTCATATTACTTACCGGGGGGGGGGGGGTTGGCGGGTGGGTAGAGAGGGGTGTATGGGGGCTGTGTGTTAAGAAAACGGGTCGCGAGACTGTTAATGATAAGAAGACTGGTTTTGTCTGAGCAACTTCTGTGGCAATTCGGTGCAAGGTGACGCCGCTGCACGCTGAGACTGCGAAGTGACCACCCCACCCCACCCACCCACCTCCATCTTCTTGAGTGCCCGCCGCAGCTCCCGCTCCTCCCCCGCTTGCACCCGCAGCTTGGCAACCTGAGGGGAGAGGGAGGGAGGGAGGGAGGGAGGGAGGTGGGGAGGGAACGCAGCACAACAGGGGCCACCCCGGGAGTGAGTGGGTGTGTGGGTGGGGTGGGTGGGTGCATGCAGGTCCCTAGTCTGCAGGCGGTAGCAGTGCCTCGCTTCCGTCCACCCACACTCCCTAGAATTGCCATCACCCTTCCCAACTCGGCCTCGATCTCAAGCCCTTCCCTCCCACCCTCCCCCCCACCGCCCCCCCCCACCACCCGCCCCTCACCGCGTCCACCAGCTTCTGCATCCTGCCCCGCTCCTCCTCGTCATCCAGCTCGTCCAGCTCGTCCAACCGCCCCTCAACCGCCCGCAACCGCCCCAGCAACGAACAGTACGAGTCGGCCAGCGGACCCGTACCCGCGATGCGATCCAGCAGGGCCAGCTGGGTGGAGGAGGGGGAAAAGTGTGGTGTGATAATGAAGGAGAAGGTAAAAAAATAAAACACAGGGGGGGAAAGAGAGGAGGGCATGGAGGGAGCAGTATTGAGGGGGGCAAGTTTGTGTTTACGCATGCACGCACGCATGCATGCATGGCGACCGGAATCAGGGTGTCGTACGCGCCGTCGTATGATGGTGCTTGTCAACAGCACCCGAGCCCCATCCCGCCCACACCCACACCCCCAGCACTCCCCCTCTGTAACAACGGTCCTAAAACGCCTCTCGAGATGTCGTGAGGTTTCCCTTTGGGACTCGTATACTGGTGCCTTGCTACACCCTCCCCCCCCATCCTAGCCCCATTGGTTTGCCCTAACCTGTGGTCTCCTATGGTTTGGTGCATGGTCTTTGACCCCCCCACAAACCCACCTGCAGGTCCGGCTCCCGCAGTCCCGCGCTGGCGTGCTGTCCGTTGGCGTCCACCAGCGCCGCCCCCAGCTCGCGCAGCACACGCAGGCTGGTGGGGCAGCCGTTGAGGAAGACGCGGCTGCGCAGACCGGGGCCGCCGGGGACAGGGGAGATCTGGGGTCGGGACGCGGAGGGGCGGAGGGCGGGAGGGCGGGAGGGAGGGAGGGAGGAGATGAAAGGTACGGCCAACGGGGGAGGAGGAGGAGGGGATGGTAAGTTGGTAACCCCGAAGGGATGGGAAGGGCCGGCGAGGAGGCAGGAAGGGAGGGAGCAGGGATGATGAATGCTGGTCCTCTACCTTTACCGCTACCTCGTCTACAACGACGAGAACTTCAACCTCCAACCGGCACCACAGCCCATCCCCCCACCGCCTCATCTCCTCACCTCCCGTCGTATCACCAGCCGGAAGCCCTCCTCCTCCACCACCGCACCCGCCGCAGCCGCAGCCGCAGCCGCACCCGCTGCTGCTGCTCCACCCTCTCCCTCCTGCAGTGGCGACAGTGGTGGCGGCAGCGCCCGCTGCGGCAGCCCCAGCCCCTCCAGCAGCCGCCGCACCGCCTGCTGCTGCTGGCGACCCAGCAGGAAGCAGCCCTCCAGCAGCGCGTGCGGGGCGGGGGAGCGCACGCACTCGGGCGGTGCGGGGGCGCCCAACAGCTGAGAGAGCGCCTCCACCTGGGGGGGGTGCCCGGGGGGTGGGGTGGGCGACATGCGGGTGTGGCACGTGTGCAGGTAGGCGGGTGGGTGAACGGGTGGGATTCACGCTGGGGCAGTGGTAGGGTGCAAGGTGCATGCGGGGGGCGGTGCATGCAGTCAACGCAGGCCAAACCCAACCCCCCAACGTCTCCTACTCCCCATCTCCACCGCCACCGCCAACGCCAACGCAACTCAAGCTGGTGTTCGCACCCCCGCCCCGCCCATGTCGTGCAGTCTCCCGGTACCTGGGTTACCCCATCTCGTACCAGTACGGATTTCCCCGAGCCGCTCTTCTTACCAGTACGGATTTCCCCGATCCACTCTCCCCCGTCACCACGTTGAGCCCCGGCCCGAACTGCACCTCCTGCTCGCACACCAGCGCAAAGTCGCGGATGGTCAGCCGCTGCAGGTGCGTGTGCAGCTGGTGGGGCCGCTGGTGGTGCTGCTGGTGAGGCTGGTGAGGCTGGTGCTGGTGCTGTGGTGCATGCTGGGTGGGGGAATGTGGTAATGGCGGTGGACGTGGTGATGGTGGAGGAGGAGCAGCCGCCAAGAGGCCATCCGGAGCGCTTAGAGGCAGCAGAGCCTGCTGCGTCGGCGGTTGGTGTTGTTGTTGCATGGCTCGGGAATCGCTGTCTAGCAGCTGTTGGAAGGGCCACGGCTGCTGCTGCTGCACCTCAGCCTCAGTTGGAGAACCCGTGCTTGCTGCTGCTGCCGTCGCCGTCGCCGCCGCCGCCGCAGCAGCAGCCACTCCAGCCGCCGTCACCCTGCCGCATGGCAGCACCTGCTGCTGCTGCTGCTGCGGTTGATGCTGCTGATTGCCCAAGCGGGGTGACGGGAAGCCAGCAGCGGCTGCCCCAGTCCCCACCACCACCACGCCCCGGCGCAGGCTCCAGCCGCCAGCACCAGCACAACGGCCGGAGCAGCAGGCAGCGGAGGAGGAGGAGGAGGAAGAGGAGGAGGAGGAGGCAGCGGTGGTGCAGGTCCTGATGACGGCAGAGGTCCGGGTAGGGGTGGCGACGGCAGGCGAGGGACGTGAGCGTGTCGTCACGGGGGTGTGAAGGGATAGCAGCGGGGGTGTCATGGTGGCGTGTGTGGGGAGGGGGCTGAGGGTGGGAGACAGCGATACTGGTGCCACCGGTCACTGGGGTTCCTGGTAGGGTGGAGGGGACAGGGAGTGGGCAGATGGGTCAGAGGTAAGCGTGTTCGGCAGGCGCAGCGGACGCTGCGCAAGTTCTGGAAGCAAGGAGTAAGCCGTATTCCGCGCGCGTGTAACTGCACAGGTTAACCTTTGTTGCTTTATTAGCGTTTTGGTAACCCGGCTTATAGTTGGATAGCGCAGATTGCGGTGCTGGCCAGCGCATTCAGCGCGCCTATTCTACGCAGCCGCGCTACAGCACCAGCATAAAGCCCGAATAACTGTGCTTAGTGCTTTGCATGCCTGACTCGAGAGGCTGCCCTTAGCCGGATGACTGAGATGAACCCTACCGCCAATGCGCCGACAACGCGTCCTACTGTCGCCTTTCCCAACGTGGGTACTGTATAAAGCCACTACCCTTGCAGAAAGTCAGTCTATAAAATTGCCGCTTGCTGCGAAGGCCTTTCTTGCACCCCATTAGTTCCTCGGCTTTGTTTGCACCAACCCACCAAGCCGAAAGCCTTCCCTTACGCCACAAGATTCGTCCGATATGCGAGTTAACACTGACTCGATATACAGCGTCTTACAGTCTTTATAAGCCTCTGGGGAAACTATCATCGCAAGTTACCGTTGCCGCCAGCCCGCCCGACAGCCTACCAGCACGGTCGGCTTTACAGTGCTCCGGTTAGTCGCTACCAGCGCGCTGCTCCTTTCTTCCCGTCATAATGATACCAAAGCGTACCGGTGCAAAGTGTACCGTGCACAAGTGGAATATGGGTAACCTTTACAAAGACGTTATAGTGTATGAATGCAAGTAAACTATACAGTTCGAATTCTATGTGCATGTTTATTCCTAATACAAGCCACGGTCGACGCATCAACCGCTTGCAGATCGGTACGACGCGTCCAAGAATGTGCAGGGATAGTGCGAAACGCATAATAAATACAGCCCCTTAGACGGGTACTCTTCCTCCTTCTGGCTGTCGGGCACTGCCTGCCCTCTATTGCAATTGCAAGACCCGCATGTTGCGTACACGCTAACACTTGTACCCGCTTGCCTATCCCGCCAGAACCCATCTATAGCAGCGCGAAAAGGCTTTCTCGAGATGCCAGAAACCCTCTACATCTTGCTGTATAAGTACGGGGTACTTGGGCTGGGGCGCTTGTTCCATTCCTTGAGTCCAACTGGCCAGGAGAGTTACGGTACTTACTTCAGTTTACAAGCGTGTGTTACTTCTCCATGGCAACCGCAGCTTAATGATACGCAACCAAGTCCTCTTTACCTCCCGACACACCCAACCGTGTCAGGTGGCCATCCAGCAGGCCCACAATCATCCCCAACGTGAACCTCTCAACCGACCCCCAACACCACAACTCCGGCTCTATTTGGAGCAACCCCTCTTCAGTATCCCAACCCCTCACCAATTCTGCACCAACTCTTGCCCCCCCACCTTAAAGGCAACTGTATCAGCGAACCGCAACAGCAACGTATGAGAATATGAGCAACAGCATTGGTACGGCAAATGATGGGATACGACGATACCGATAGTATCACAACGTGTTTCGGGTCATTGGTCACCAGAATCCCCAACCCCGTCTCATCAGCACCCAAGCCAATCCCTTACCTGCCTCTTTATAACGCATAATAAACGCACCTGCATCCCATGCCTTCCACACCTTCTCCCCCATCCTCTTACGTTACCCGCCTCCAAGCAATTACCCATCTCTCCTAATTCACAACTCCCCGCTCTTCTCCATTCCCATCCCCCTATCCATCCCTTACTCTCCACATCGCCCCCCTATCCATCCATCGACCCATCAGCCGCCCTTCCCGCCCCCTCCCCCTTACTCTCCACATCTCCCTTCCTTCCCTCCCCAGCCGGCGCCCCGCCTTGGTAGCTCGCCAAGCAGCCGTACAGGTCTGGCCGTCGGTCCCGAAACACCCCCCACGCGATGCGGCCGGTCTCAATAGCCTGCAGGTCGACGGAGGCGGTCACGAAGCCCTCCACCAGCTCGGGAGCGGGGTCGGGGTTGCCGGCGGTCAGCTGGGAAGCGCCCACCTGGGGGGGGAGGGAGGGAGGGAACAATAAAGAGGGACCAATAAAGGAGAGGAGCAGCAACTGGAGTCCCAATCCCGTATCCCCACACATGCAGTAAGCGCAGGGAGGGAGGGAGGGAGGGAGGGAGGGAGGGAGGGAGGGAGGGAGGGAGGGAGGGAGGGAGGGAGGGAGGGAGGGAGGGAGGGAGGGAGGGAGGGAGGGAGGGAGGGAGGGAGGGAGGGAGGGAGGGAGGGAGGGAGGGAGGGAGGGAGGGAGGGAGGGAGGGAGGGAGGGAGGGAGGGAGGGAGGGAGGGAGGGAGGGAGGGAGGGAGGGAGGGAGGGAGGGAGGGAGGGAGGGAGGGAGGGAGGGAGGGAGGGAGGGAGGGAGGGAGGGAGGGAGGGAGGGAGGGAGGGAGGGAGGGAGGGAGGGAGGGAGGGAGGAGGGAGGGAGGGAGGGAGGGAGGGAGGGAGGGAGGGAGGGAGGGAGGGAGGGAGGGAGGGAGGGAGGGAGGGAGGGAGGGAGGGAGGGAGGGAGGGAGGGAGGGAGGGAGGGAGGGAGGGAGGGAGGGAGGGAGGGAGGGAGGGAGGGAGGGAGGGAGGGAGGGAGGGAGGGAGGGAGGGAGGGAGGGAGGGAGGGAGGGAGGGAGGGAGGGAGGGAGGGAGGGAGGGAGGGAGGGAGGGAGGGAGGGAGGGAGGAGGGAGGGAGGGAGGGAGGGAGGGAGGGAGGGAGGGAGGGAGGGAGGGAGGGAGGGAGGGAGGGAGGGAGGGAGGGAGGGAGGGAGGGAGGGAGGGAGGGAGGGAGGGAGGGAGGGAGGGAGGGAGGGAGGGAGGGAGGGAGGGAGGGAGGGAGGGAGGGAGGGAGGGAGGGAGGGAGGGAGGGAGGGAGGGAGGGAGGGAGGGAGGGAGGGAGGGAGGGAGGGAGGGAGGGAGGAGGGAGGGAGGGAGGGAGGGAGGGAGGGAGGGAGGGAGGGAGGGAGGGAGGGAGGGAGGGAGGGAGGGAGGGAGGGAGGGAGGGAGGGAGGGAGGGAGGGAGGGAGGGAGGGAGGGAGGGAGGGAGGGAGGGAGGGAGGGAGGGAGGGAGGGAGGGAGGGAGGGAGGGAGGGAGGGAGGGAGGGAGGGAGGGAGGGAGGGAGGGAGGGAGGGAGGGAGGGAGGGAGGGAGGGAGGGAGGGAGGGAGGGAGGGAGGGAGGGAGGGAGGGAGGGAGGGAGGGAGGGAGGGAGGGAGGGAGGGAGGGAGGGAGGGAGGGAGGGAGGGAGGGAGGGAGGGAGGGAGGGAGGGAGGGAGGGAGGGAGGGAGGGAGGGAGGGAGGGAGGGAGGGAGGGAGGGAGGGAGGGAGGGAGGGAGGGAGGGAGGGAGGGAGGGAGGGAGGGAGGGAGGGAGGGAGGGAGGGAGGGAGGGAGGGAGGGAGGGAGGAGGGAGGGAGGGAGGGAGGGAGGGAGGGAGGGAGGGAGGGAGGGAGGGAGGGAGGGAGGGAGGGAGGGAGGGAGGGAGGGAGGGAGGGAGGGAGGGAGGGAGGGAGGGAGGGAGGGAGGGAGGGAGGGAGGGAGGGAGGGAGGGAGGGAGGGAGGGAGGGAGGGAGGGAGGGAGGGAGGGAGGGAGGGAGGGAGGGAGGGAGGGAGGGAGGGAGGGAGGGAGGGAGGGTTAATGGTGTGTGGGATGTGTTGGATGACCTGAGCCGCCGCGTAACATTAATCGGATGTGCGACAACACCCGTACACCTCGGTAGTAGTACGGCAGGAAGCAGGGAGAGATGTACCGTATAAACGGCACATGGGACATGGCTCGGCACGCTGTACTGCCTTGCGACACGTGTGTTCTTAACAAACACACGTGTTTTCCCTACATGTCTTCTCGTCCCCCCCGACCCCCCACCTGCGCCAGTATCTGCCCCTGCGCCCCCGCTATGAAGCTGCCTCCGTAGTAGGTGGTGGGCGGCGCCTGCTCCACCACCTCCCTCCCCACTCGGTTGGCGGCCACCAGCGGCACCACGTTGGCGGCGGCGTGGCCCTGCGTGCAGGCGGGTGGGGCAGGCGGGCGCAGGCACGGCAGGCATCAAATTTTGCAGGTGTACAAGGCAGCCAAGGCAGGCAGCCAAGGCAGGCAGCCAAGGCAGGCAGCCAAGGCAGGCAGCCAAGGCAGGCAGCCAAGGCAGGCAGCCAAGGCAGGCAGCCAAGGCAGGCAGCCAAGGCAGGCAGCCAAGGCAGGCAGCCAAGGCAGGCAGCCAAGGCAGGCAGCCAAGGCAGGCAGCCAAGGCAGGCAGCCAAGGCAGGCAGCCAAGGCAGGCAGCCAAGGCAGGCAGCCAAGGCAGGCAGCCAAGGCAGGCAGCCAAGGCAGGCAGGCGTGTGGGAGCATGCATGTGTAAAACTGTACGGCGATTGCGTTGCAATTGGATTGCAAAGGATGAAGATGTGCGACAACAATGAAGCGTAACGTGCAGCAGCGTGCCCCTACACGCATGCATGCGTGCAGGCAGGCAGGCAAGCAGGCAGGCGGGCAGACAGACACACAGCAGTGTCTCCCTCTTCCCCTCCTTATCACACGGTCAGTTAGATGTTTCCTCCTTTCCCCCTCTATCCCCTCCTTCCCCCTCCCTCCTCTTCCCCCCCCCCCCACCCACCTGCTGTACCCGCACCCAGGTCCGGTATGAGTCCTTCTCCGGGTCGTGCGGCTCGTCACCGATGGCACTGGGGTACAGCAGCACCTGGCAGGCAAGTGCGCGGGAGGCGGGAGGTGTGGTGGGGGCATGGACGGTGGGAGGGGCCGAGGAGGAGTGTGCAAAGTGGGGCGAAAATGAGGTACAGGCGGACGTGATTTGAAGGCCCGGCGGGAGAGTAGACGGCGGCCTGTCATGACACAACGCGACCTTCTCACGCCGGAACACGATTCGTGCCGTCCAACCCTTACCCATTTAACCCCCAACCCCGCCCCCCCCCCCCTCTCCCACCTCCGCCCCCTGCAGTGCCAGCGCACGAGCCACCTCCGGGAACCATTGGTCCCAGCAGATGCCCAGCCCCACCCGCCCGTACACCGTGTCGTACACCTGAAACCCCGTGTCACCCGGACTCATGTAGTACTTCTCCATGTACCTGGGGGGAAGGGGGGAAGGGGGGAAGGGGGGAAGGGAGGGGGGGAGGGAGCACGCGTGTGTGTATGGGTAATGGGTAACGGGGGAGGGAAAAGAGTCAAGGTCAAGAAGTTAGTTATTACGATAGTGCCAAACCGTTAGGAAGGCCCCCCACGAATGCATGCAGTGGGGGTAATGGGAATGGTGGTCACGGGCACAGCTGCAAACGTAATAACTATCCCGTGTCAACGTTGTCGTACTTTCCGTGCATGTGTCGTGTGCCGTGCAAATGCCGTACAAGAACCCATCATCAGGCCCCCTCATCCCCCCACCGGTATCCGGGTCCATCCGGGATGTGCGACTTGCGGTAGCGCCCCAGCACCCGCCCGTCCGCGTCCACCAGCGCCACACTGTTGAAGAAGGCATTGTTGGCCCGCTCGAAGAAAGGGACTGCATGAAGAAGGGGGGGTGCATGCATGCGTGCATGCAGGTGGCAGGTGGCATGGGGGGCATACATACACGACGGGGGAGGGCACAGGTATCCGGGGGGCGGGAAGGGGCGCAGGGGGGCTGTGGGAAGGTCTTTGGTAACTACTCCCACGTTCCGCCCACTACGGTACCTCCACGTCACCCCACCATCATCACCCCCCCCGTCTTCCCCGTCTCCCCTCATTACCACCCACCCGCCAGCACCACCCTCAGCTCCCGCGCCAGCGCTGCGAACTGCTGCACCACTGGGTTGCCCTCGAAGGGAGCAGCCCAGTTGAAGTACTCCTGGAGGGAAGGAGGGAGGGAGGGAGGGGGAGGGAAGAGGAAGAGGAAGAATGAACACAGGAGGAGGAGGACGGGGAGGAGGAGGAAGAAGGAAGCCGCAGGAAGGTGTTGCAGTGCCATTGCACACAATGGCAGATGGTGCATGCAAGGGGAGGGACAAGCCTCAACTAATCGTGCGTCAATCCTCCTCCTTCCCGCCTTGCAACGGTATTGCTGGTATCAGGCGTGTCCCTCGTCAACATCACCTGTTTCCGGACTTGGCACCAGTAAAGCCCCTCGAAGAGCTCCTGTGTGTGTCGTACGGCAAACGGTTACGGCAACGGCAGCAGCAGCATGAGTAATCGCAGTTAACCAACTAACAACCACAGCCGCAAGAATGGCAATAACTCTTCTCCCCTTGCCTGTAGCAGTATAATTTGACCGCCCGCAGCTGCCGCTTGACGCACCAGCTCCTCCGCCTTCGCCTGCAGAGCCCCCCAAAAACCGTTTCCCACAAAACACATGTTGAGCAACTAGCAGCAGCAGCCAATCACAGCACTTGACAATAAAAAGACAGCAGTGGAGGACGAGGGAGGAAGGGGGCGAGTGACGCGAGAGGTTCTGTGGCCGGTCTAGGGTGCAGTCGCGCATGGGGACGTGCTTGGGGAGAGGAAGAGGACATGCAGGGCCGCTTCCTCTGGACGCTCCCAATTAAGATCAAGAGAGATCAACAACACGACCTGCATCCCCACCATGTTGGCTTCCTTGTCTTCCGTGCAATGGAACTGAGTCGTCGCGAGGACGACCGAGCGACCCATGGTTCACAGCAACGCCTCTTTAAGATTCAGGAGCCAAGGGCCTGCTGGCCGGCTAATACGAACGAAGAGGTCTGAGTAGAACCCGGCTTATCAGAAGGATGTGCTAGTGTTGGACCTTTCGTCAAGCGCTGTGCTTTGTTTCGTCTGAAATTATGGTCCTTAGTGGCTGTAGCCGTCTTTTTATCTTTTTAGCTTAACATGGTGAGGCGATTACAGAGAACTTTCCTTGAACAAGGATCACGTTTTCTGCGTCACGTAATGGGGCGGAAAGGCCACGCAGCGACCCGCACCACAGAAACCGCAGAGACCCATGGGTCAGTGGTCCTCACACCCGCCACGACAGCTGCGAAGGGTGACGTACAGTTTACCGAGCAGCACCGGTGCATCGGAAAGCATTTCCTGTACCATGACACATGACGTAAGACGTAATGAACCATAACGGGCCACATGGTCCATTAGGGTGATATGGACTGAGAGAAAATCCAAATCTGGCAATCCAGCCCAGCAATTAAACTGCTGTGACGTACGATGGGTAAGTACGTGTACCACTGCCCTTGACACGAGGCTTACAACAGTAGCCAAAAAGTTACTGACGAAAAGCTGTTCTGACGTTTGCTGACCACCTGGGGTGACGCCCGCCCGCCCCAACCTCCCAAGCAGGCAGCAACGGGGCAATGCCGCAGAGTCACATCCAATAACTTGATATGTCATACCACGGTGGGTAGTGCTTTGCGTGTTAATAGGTCGTTGTTAACGGTAACGCGCCACCTGATCAAGCCCCCTGCATCACCCAGCACCCAACGCTCGCAGCATGCACCAGTCCTTCAAACCCCCTGCAGCTCAGCCACCGCCCCTACTTCCCCCATTCCATAGCCTGCCTTCCTCACCCCATACCGCACTACCTTTTTCTCACTCCTGCCACTGCTGCTACTCCTACTGCTGCTGCTACCGTACGTCCTCTCCCTCTCCCTCGCCAGCCCCACCTCTTCTGCCGCTGCTGCTGCTGTCGCCGCCCCCTTCCCGGTTAGCTGAGCCAACGCCCACCACCTGCTCTTGCTTCTCCTCCTCTTTCCCGCTGCTGCCCCCCTGGCATCCCCCCTGCTGCCCGCTCCCGCCAACCGCCCCCTCCCCCTGCTGACAGCCAGCCGACGGACAGCTCCCGCATCCGCCCGGCTTCCCTCCCGCCGCCCCTGCTACTGCTGCTGCTGCTGCTGAACTCGCGTCCTCTCCCTCCTCTCTCGGTCCGGCCGCTGCTGCGGAGCCCTCCCCTGCTGCTGCTCCCCCTGCCACTGCTCCTGCACCTGCGACCCCCGCTTCAACGCACCCCGCAGCCCCCTCCCCACCCTCCGCCTCTGCTGCCGCAGCCCCCTCCGCACCCTCCGCCTCCGCTTCCGCTGCTGCCCCCGCCGCTGCTGCGCCACTCGTCGGCGTCTTTTTCTTCTTCTTCATGATGTATATGAAGATGTTGGGGTGCTGGTAGGTGTCGTCCATCTTGGAGTGCTGCACGGTCTTGATGGAGTGGGTGGCGGAGAAGAGCGACATGAAGCGGCCCTGCACGCTGTGGGAGCGCAGCTCGTTGCACACCACAACTGGGAGGGGGGGGGGACAGGGAGGGGAGAGGAGGGGAACAGGGGACATCAGGGGACAGGGACAGGGGAGCAGGATTTTAATGACAAGGATGTCCCTCCCATACCATCTACCACTGGTAACCGGTAACCCAAAAGCAGCCGACGTGGCCAACTGAGTTCCGTCTCGTAAGTCCGCCTCACCTGTGGATTTCTCGTTGGTTAGTTCCATGACGGCGCGGTGGAAGTGCTCGGTGAGGGTTTCGTGGTAGATGCAGTCGGCCGCCAGCACGAAGTCGTAGGGGGGGCGGATGGGCGGGGTGGTCACCTGGGGAGGGGGACGTGGGAGAGGGCGGGAGGGAGGGGGAGTGTAAAGAGGGAGTGGGGCCATGAAAAGGGGGGTCGAATAAGACCAAACCATAGGAAACCAGGAATGAAGGAGAGAGGAGGGGAGAGGTGGTGTGAGATGGGAGGAGAGGCGGTGGAGGAAGGGGGGTGGCAGGTATACACTACCGTACCTGTTTCGGCTTTCCTCACCCTGTACCCCGGCCGGCCACCCAGGACAGACCCCCAGCATGCAGACCCCCCCCCCACACACACCTGCTCGGGTTTGGTCCAGTCCAGCTCCGCCACCTCCACCCCGCCCGCACTGTCGGCCCAGGTGCCGTGCTGGTGACCTGCATGGAGGTTAAAGGGGGATGGAGGGAAAGGGGGGAGTGGTGGGGAGCCATGCTACCACAACATCACAAGCGCCCCTCCACCGCATGGAGTCCTTCCTCCGTTTGTCGCATTGCGACCCACTGGGCAGCGCTCTCATAGCTCCCTTAGCACACAACCACACACTATGCTGCCTAAAGCAGCACAGCAGCAGCATTGCCCGCACAATCCTAGAAACCCTGGGAACCCCGGAGAAGAGAGCGTCAGAGCTCACCTGCCGACTTCACTCACCCTCAACCCTCATCCCCACCCCACTGGGCGGGTCGGGCTGGCTCACATGTTGCAATCCATGATGATGCCTTATCACACGGTCAGTTCGTTGTTACTCCTCTTCACCCCCCCCACTCATCCATCATTCTCACTCACCCCGTGCCAGTCGAACCGCCGCGGGCGACAGGTTGGTTTCGTAGTTGATCCGCAGCAGCCCCAACACGTCGGCCGTGTCGGTCAGCACCACGTCAGCACCCACCATCGCAAACGCCATGCCTGCAGCAGCAGGGACGAAAGGTGGCAGCATGGCAAGGTGATAGCAGGGCGACATAACATTACATGGGCATTACAATCGTGACATGAAACAGTGTGAGCTAAACCAATTACGCCGGGTAGAACTGACACAGTGTGTGTGAGGGGGATCTAGCAGGAGAGGGACGTGTTTGCGCCATGTGGGAGGGGGTGGGGAGGCATGTAGGGGAGTAGGTTGGCGTCGGTTGCGGCCGGTTTACCTGCTAGTCCCATGCCGGCTCCCAGCTCTATCGCTCGCTTGCCGCGCACCTTGGCGCGAGCGAATTCGCCTTTGCGAATGTTCTGATGGCCAAGGGTGGGGAGAGAAGGTAAGCGGGTAAAACAGGAGAGGGGATGGGCAAGATGGGCTCCGAAACAGCGTCGGGACTGCGCGGCCGAACATCTGTCGGACATGGAGTACCAGATGACGAAGACGTTTTCATGGGTAAGGTTTGCAAGGGGAATGTGATCCCTTGCCTTCTCAAACCATTTGGCCAGGACCACGCTTGCATCCCACACGGTCGTCCCCAGATGCTCCGACGATGGGTCTTGAACGAATCGCAAAACAGTTCCGAAGACTTCCTGTTCTACCATAGTCGTCTGATGCGTATTCCATCTGTCCCAAGACTCGTCATTGCTAAATGCATCTCTCGATTTGGACATCCTTTTCGGCTATACGGGGCAAAGGCTGACGAAGCCGTAGTTATAGAACGCTTGTAAATGTGTATTGCTCTAGGGCTCTATAACTTGTGAGGTGCGGCGGCTGAGCGGTTGGGCGCTAACGACTCCCTTGCGCGGGCGACGCAACTTTGAGTGCGGCCTTTCGCAAGTTTGATCCAGGCTTATGACTTAGTTGAGCCTGAAGAATACTAACTGAAACACAACAGCGTAAAAAAACGTTTCGTACGGTTTGCCGCATGCAAAGCCTCAGGTGGTTGATCAGCGGGGCATCATCCTGTGTTTGTCCACTGGTCCAATAGGCCTTTCGCTTCACCTGACTGGGAAAAACGTTGTACAGTCACTATAAGCAGCAGAGGAATCGGAATGGCAGGCTCATACATTCACATGTCCTTTACCTTGCAGGGTGTTGCCTTCCCCTGATAAATTCGTACCCAACGTAGAGGTGCTTAATCCAGCCGCCTTGGCGCGCTTCCCATGCCGCAAATGACTCGCATGCGAACCCATGTCACGCAAAATGGCGCGCTTCTTGATATCTGCTAAGCCTGCTCACAACCCACACACCTGAGGGTCACACTACCTATGTTCAAGTTCTCTCTAGATAGCAACCACGTTGATAATTTCCACACGATTCCCACACGCTTCGCAAACCTGAAGAGCGCAGTACTTTTGCAGCTAAAGCCCCGAGCCTCCTCTTCCATGCAGACAACGCGACCCTGCCGAAAAAACCTTAACCAGGGCCGCCATTCCCGCGCGAGGCGGAGGTGGGGAAAGTTCTCCAACGTCATCAACTCTTGTTTCCAATGCCAACAACAGGATGTACAAGCTACCTGCTGCTGCAGCAATGACCCATGGGTCAAGCCAAGCCGACACACACAACCAACCAACCAACGGTTCGGACCCACAAACGTGCGAATGCCGCCGCAAGCGACGCCGACCGCGGAGGGCCGGCCTCAACATTCCTTCCAACAAGCAGTACAACGAGGCGGGTTTAACGACCAATCGCAGATGCCAGAAGGGTACATCTCACTTGGTGTTGCGCTTTGGGTAGCGCGTCTGCTTCTTAGCCACCTTGGCCGGCTTCTTCTTCTCCTGCGGGTAGGATTAGCATGGGGTGAGGACAAGCGTGAAGCATGCGAGTAGGAGCAGGAAGTTCAGTGCCAAGGTCATTCTGGCGATCTAAACCACGTTTGCAATACACACGCCGTGCGTGTGGACAGGGCGTCTTAACAGCCGCCTTGTTCCCAATGCATGCGCCAAGACCCAAGACCCAAGACGAGCCCTCATCAGTAACATCACCCCGCCATCACAGCCAAACGGCCACATCACCTCCCATTCCCGCCTGCTTCTTTACCTTCCTGCCACCACCGCCTGCCGCATCCCCGCCGCCACCTTCCGCGCCGCCGCCTCCGCCGCCGCTAGACACCCCACCGCCTCCGCCGCTGCCCCCCGCGCCGCCCGAGCGGCCCGCACCGCCCACTGCGAGTGCCGCCGCGCCGGCCGCCGCCCCCGCTGCCAGCGACATGGGCGGCCCTGCTGACGTCACACCCGCGATGTGCGGCGACTCGAACCGCCAAACCACGCACTCGCTGCCCTCCAATCCTGCCAGCAACGCCTGCTCGTGAAACTGAGGCAAAGGGCAAAGCAACGCACACAAGGAGGGCACGTGCGTGGGGTTACGGCATGTACGGAGTACCCCGTTTGGGAGCTTGTGCGCTGACGTGTTTCTTTCCTCTCAGTGACACCAAGAAGAAGAAAAGGCTTGACCGCGGCCGCGCCAGATTTATATAGGCATACCTGGAAGGCATTGATGCGTGCGGGTGCCTGAAGGGTCATCAACGGCACATGCCAGGGCCGCCGTACCACGCTACACCCCGTCCATGCAGCACCACCACCACCGCCGCTAGCGCTGCTGCTGCCGTTGCTGTGGGGAGCTGCTGCTGCGGTTACCGTCGTCCCCGCTGCTGCTGCTGCTGCCGTCGTCGTCGCTTGTGGCAGCGACCGAATGTCGTACACATGCAGCTGGTGGCTACCGTCGTTGAAACCAGTCACCAACTTCCACTCGTCCATTTGAACACCCACGCAGTGAGCGCCCCTGCCACCACAACCGCCTCCTCCGCCATGTGAACCACCCGCTGCGGCGGCGGCAATGGCGCCGAGACCGTTGGCGAAAGCGCCCCCGCCTCCCAGCTGGTTGCCGTACAAACCGGCTCCGCCTCCTCCGCCTCCACCGCTGCTTCTGACGTTGCAGCAGATCCTCCCGACGGCGCTGCCGACCCGTGGGTCCATCAGCACCACCTCGCCCTGCCGACCTGCCGCCAGCAACTCCCCCATGTACGACACGCATGTGTACGGATGCTGTTGTTGTTGTTGCTGCTGCCCACCCATGTCTCCGGCGGCTGCAACGTGATGCTCCCCAGGCAGGTGCTCCCCCCCTGCTGCTGCTGCTGCTGGCAGGTTGGTTCCCAGCGTGTGAAGCAGGGTGGCGGTTGAGACGTCCCAGATCTGCACGCCGCCGCCAGCAGCAACCACCAGGTGACCTAGGGAGGGGCAGACATGGGCAAATTATTATTTTGGCATGCGGCATGGTACGGCGACAAAACAAAGACAGAGCAACGGCACCACACCCGCAGCACCCACATCATGAACCTACCGAGAGCAGCAGAGCAGCTGGATGTACAGGTAACTGCAGCCCCACACCAACAACACCGTTCCCCCCAAACTCAACGCCACCTCCACCCTCCACCACCCCGCTCCACCCATACATGGCACTCTTCTTACGGTATCCCCTCCACCCCCACATCGGCCCCCATCCCACTCACCCGAGGGCGCATGCGGCTGCATGGCGCGCACCGGCTGCCCCGCCTCCAGCCCCACGATCGCCGCCCCGCTGCTCACATCCCACAGCCGCATGACCCCGTCCTCCGACCCGCTGACCGGGATGCCGGTAGGCAGCAGGCAGCAGCTGCTCACAGCGCCCTCGTGGCCGCGCAGCGTGCGCCTTTGGGAGGAAGGCGGGGGGCGGGTGGCTGTGCATGAGGACAGGGTCGTGCATGCGTTGAGCTCGCACCATCGCCCCCACCCCCAGTAGTACGATAGCCTCCCCCCCAGCACCGTAGCCCCCCCCCGCCCGCCCGCCCCACTCACAGCCCCTCCCGCCCTCTCACTTGCAGCGCAGCTCGTCCATGGACCAGAGCTTCACCACCGCCCCCGCGCAGCCGCTCACCAGCAGCGCCTCGTCAAATGCCACCGCCGTCACGCGGCCCGGGTGGCCCTGCAGTGTGGCGATGCGGCGGCCGGTGGCGTGCGACCAGAGGCGCACCGCGTTGCCGTCGCCGGACACCACCTTGGAGTCGTCCATCTGGGGGATGATGAGGGGGGAGGTTGAGGTGGGGTGAGGTGGGGTGATGAGGGGTGATGAGGGAGGGTGTCGGGGCGAGGGGGGTCAATGACCATAACGAACCATAGGAAGGGTGGATGGGTGGGGGATGAGGGGGGTGAGCAGAGCAAAGGCAGGGGAAAGAAGGCAGGGAAAGGAGGCTTGAGGAGAGAAGAAAACACAGGTGGGTAGATAGCAGGAGGAGCACTGTCACTGCCCACTGCCAGGTCCCTAAGATGCCCCTAGCCCCAACCACCACCACCACCACCATTCCTCCCCGCCGCATGCACCCCCTCATTCCGCACCCCTCACAACTCACACCCCCCACCCCCCGCACCTGCAGGCAAGTGGTGCTTGGGAAGCCCATGCCCGGGGTGCTCCTCACCGCCGCCTCCACCCACCGGGCGGCCCGCAGCTGCGAGCGGCGGCACATGCGGCGCACCACCGCGGGGGCCAGGTGCGGCTCGGGCGGGCGGCCCCACAGCGACTCAAACTGACTGCGCCAGACGACCGGGTCGGCAGCCAGCTGGCGGAGCCATCTGCAGGAGAATGGAGGTGAGGGGGTTTCGCAGGGGGTGAAGAGGGAGAGGGGGGGATTGGGAATGGTAAGGTGTGGCGCTGAGGCTAAGGGGACCCTACGACCCCCAGCCGAACCCCAGCAGGTAGGCGCACACACCCACCTACCCAGTACCCACCCACACCTACCTACAGAGCACCCCCCCACCCCCCACCCACCTGCATGTCCTGCCCACCATGCACACGTCGCGCACCCCCAGCTGCTGCAGCATCTCCATCCAGCACTCCTCCGGCAGCTGGGGCATCACCGGCGCCTCCTCCCCCTGATGCACCTGCTGCTGCTGCCGCTGCTGCTGCCCCAACCCTCCGAACCCGCCGACTGCTGCGCCCCATGCAGCAGAGGACAGGCCATCAGAGACCAGGTACCGCCGGCCCTGAGACGCCGCGGCGGCTGAGGTACGTCCTGCCTCCTCAGCCCCTGCAGCCTCCTCACCGCCGCCGCCCTCGTCTTCCTCCTCCTCCTCTTCCAGCAGCAGCAGTTCAGCGGCCTCCTCGTCGTCATCGCCGTCCCGGTCGCTGTCGCCTGCACCCTCGGCGTCGCCTCCGTCCTCGCTGGCGAGCGGGCTGGCGCCTGCGTGCACCGAGATGCGCGCACACACACACACATCATCGTCTTTCGGCAATCACAGTACGTTGCTACTCGCGGCCAGTTCTCTTAACACACACACACACGCGCATGCAAGACATGTTTCAACAGTACACGGCCGACATGCCTGGCGTCACGCCCACACGGCAAGCTGCGGCCAGCGTTTGTGTATGCTTTACATACCTTCATACTCTCCTACCATCAAGGCCACCACAAAGCAGATCCCCACCACCCACCGCAGACCCCCACCTTTCGGACTCCTGCCCGCGACGCCAGATCCGCCGCTGCCACCCCTGGCACCACTTCCCCCACCCCCACCCCCGTTGGATCCGCCGGCACCTCCCGCACTGCTGCCTCCAAACAAAAACATGGGCAGCGAGGAACCTGGGCTGCTGGACAGCATGTGGTGCGGCAGGGGCAGGGGCGGCATGCCCTCGCGACTGGCGCGGCGGCGCATGCGCTCCCCAAGCGGTGTGCCGGCTGCGGGCACAGCAGCACCCTCGGAGGAGCTGCTGCCAGACGCCCCGTGAGGTGGGTGCGGGGGGTGTGGCGGGTGCGGTGCAGCAGCAGCAGCAGAGGGGAGTCCGAGGGCCGGCGGCAGGTCGTTCAGACGGCGCCTATGGTACTCAGATTCCCTGGGGCGGGGTAGGGTTTGGGTGATAAGGAGGATGGTATCTTGGTAGGGTTCTTGGGTGATAGGGGTATGATGCAAGGGATGCAGGGGCAGGGGCCAAGAGGTTGACAGCGCGAATCCCGTAGCGGGTGGGGCTGGGACAAGGGGCCACGAGGGCAGACCACCTTCACGTCCTTCAGCATGGCGCAATACGGTAACCGTCAAAGGACGGGAAGTAGACCAAAGCTCCGATTATCGAAACTGCCAGCGTTGAGCAGCAGCATGCAAGCGCACCCCGGATGCATCGAGACCAAATGGCCCTTCACACCCTTCATGCATGCTTACCACACAACCAGCCCGCCATGCTTGTAGTACGCAATCCTGTGGTACGGCACGTCGCTGCCGGCCTCCTCACTCGTTGACAGGAAGCCCCCGCCCCAACCACCAGCGCTGGGCGAGGCATGACGGGGCTGCAGCTGCCCCGACGGACCAGCGCCCTCGCCCCCACCGCCGCCGCCGCTGCCTCCGCTGCTTTGACGGCCGCTGCCGCCGCTAGTGCCGTGGCCCGATCCGAGGCTAAGGAGGCTGCCGCCGCCGCCACCGCCACCACAAAAGTATTCAACGAATTGGGTGTACGGCAGTTCAACGAGCCGGTCGTGCAGGCGCATGCTCCATGCTTCCACACCCGACTTGCGTTCGGGCTGCTGCACTGTCTCGATAAAGCCGATCTGAGGAGGAGGGAGGAAGGGTGAGGAGGACGAGAAGCACGCCGCGCACAGTGGTTAGGGTAAGCAGTTATGTGGATTGGGTAGTAGTTGGATGGTCAGTTCGGATTGTAACCCCAACCTTCATACACGCAGGCGGCATCTGGCGGGATGATAGCTGCTAGGCTGCTTGTGACACGGTGTATGCTCTCACCGTATACTCGGTTGGATCAAGCGCCGGATCGAAACAAAGGCGCTTCCAGAACTTCTTGGCTGCAAGATAGGGGTTGGCCTTGTCGGCAGCAGCGGATGTGGAGCCCCCGCGGAAAGGCGGAGACGCGCCCGCAACGCCAAGCGGGCTGTGGTAAGAGTATGCTGCTGGGGGAGAGCAAGGCGGGAGAGAGCCGCTGGGCGATGACCCATAAAGGCCATGACCTGCTTGGCTGGTGTTCCTTAGCGGCGCATCGTGGCGGATGATAACAGGCGTCGACATTTCAGGTGTTTCAGTAAGTGGATGGGCTCGGTGTTAATGGTCCGTCGGTGTCATAGAGGCAGGGTCAGACAGGTGTTTCTAAATAACGGTGGCCCTGTAGGTGGGCTTAAGGCAACAGCGTGAGCACGTCGCAGGATGGACCGTCGCTGCAAGGTTCGAGCTGAAAGGTGCAGAGGCTAGGCGCCCCAGCCCTGCTAGTTTAAGCATTTCGTCTGCCATTTTCACATGCTGACAAAAAAATCTGATGAGCGTTAGGTAGGGCTATCCCCCTCACCAAAAGCGTCAAGCTATGTGACTTCTGTGTTAAGACTAAGGGCTTCTTAGATTGCTGATGTGAAGGAATATTATTGCTTGTAGCTCAGGAGCTTTTCGAGTTTGGTTTGTCAGGTAGATGCCATGAAGGTCCGCACGTGATGAATTTCAAAAAGCCTAGTTGGCGTGATGTGGCGCGGGCTGTCTTACACCTGGACACGCCTATGACTTTATCTTATACCGGTAAGAACAATGTCAAAAGCAAGGAGTTAGCATGGTTTTGCTATTGGAGACAGTGACGGTCCAACTGACCGGTCGACGTCTCGCTCTGGTCAAGGGTCGAGGCAAACCAGGAACAACCTACGACGCCGCAACACGTCAACGGCAGAAAGTTACAGCGTCAAACGTACGTGATCTTTGCTGACGCGAAATGACGGTCTTGCGACAGCTGAGCTTGCATAACGCACACTTCACAACTGCCCACGTGGACGACCCTTACTTGCACACGAAGGAAGACGCGACCCATTAGTTGCATTTAGAATTTCTCTCACGCTCTCACAACCTCCTTAGACAGTTGGCGCCAAAATAAGCTTGGTAAGGTCGGCGTTAGACATCCCTACCAGGCCATTTGCGCACTTACCCAACCTGGCGCATAAAATTGCGACCGCCTGTTCCATCCAATGAACTTGGGGAAAGACACCCGAGGCCAACGAGTGCCACGAATCCGACGAGGTGCTGGAAACTGCTATACAAAGAACTGGTGCCACTTCAGTTCCCGACCTGTCCTTTCGGTAACCAGCCACCAAGGGTACCCTGCAGGCTGAACTCAGCCTCACCCCTACACGGTACCCGCAACACCTTTACACCTCCCACGCAACCCTTTAAACCTGTGTATCCCCACACTGCTACATCCCTATCCAAGGCGATAGCAAGCAACTGATGTACCGGTACATTAGTGTAAGAGGGAGATAGCCCCGGCAATCACAACCTGCATCACTTTCCCCAAACGCTGCCACATCCTAAGCAAGAACTTGCGGCGCCTGCCGCTTTACCAAGGCTGCTTACACATACGCAACCCGGTCCAGACATGCCCCTCCTGCCTGCAGACCTGCCAGCGCTGCCTTAATGTGGAAAGGCCCCAGCCAGCCATGCCAAAAGAAACGAACCCATGCAATGCAAGCGAGGCCTTCTAGCACACATAAAAGAAGGCCTCGGCCAAACCCTTCACCTCGAAACGGATCTCACAAATCCGCTTAGGTATGCTCCGGTGTCTGATGAATGCCATTTCAGACACAAAGCGCCCCCCCGACGCTTACGTTTCCCCTGCAGATGTGCATATGCAGGCGTGCGTGCCAAACCTTGTGGAAGGGTCATGGATGCGGTAGTGGGGCAGACATTACCCGTACAACCGTACAACGTCCGCAATTATTTAGTAACGACTACCGGTATAACGACTAAAGGGTCTCGCAAATCCCAAACCTTTTTTTCAGGTAACCATATACATGCTTCACACCACCCGCCGCAGACGTCACATGCGCTGCTGGCACGGGGGAGCCTACAGCACAGCAGTACAGGTACTTTAACACTTATCGGGGATTGGAAGGGAGTGATAGATAACACATGGACATGGCTACAAAACGGTGCCGTACAGTAAGATCTCAACCTAGCAACCACGATAAACCCATCTCTGCTGCAACGCCCACATCGCGTCACTCAGCCCGTGATGTTTCACACGACACCACCGGAAAACCTTTTTCTCCCGGAACGCAAGTCTCACACCGGGTTTGAACTTTACCCCCTTTTCAATACGTATAGAAGGCCGTGCAACTCTCTCTCTCTGCGGCTGCCGCAGCCACCAATCACACATGCCTCTTTAAGATGTGAGGCCTCCAATGATCTTCCTTCCAATCCGCGACAGCCCCTTACGCACATTCTCCAGACGCGGTGTGAGCGGCTGGTGCTGTTGCTGCTGGTGCGAGTCGCCCTGCAAACCCTCCGGGTTCGGACCACGGCTGCTGCCGCTAATTGCAGAAGCGCTCACAACAGCAGCGGATGTGGCGGCTGCAGCGAGGGTTGCAATTCCTGATGCTGCGGATACTGTAGCCAGCGGAGGTACCGGTATAAGCTGCTGCTGCTGCTGCTGTAGCTGTGGTTGCTGCAGCCGCTGCTGTTGTTGCGACGTCGATGTGGGGACTTGGGAGATGCTGGCTGATCCCTGGCTGTCGCGGTGGTTCCGCGCAAGCCACATGCTGCGTGCGAGTGAAAGAAAGAGAACAGAGGAGCAGGGTAGGAGCAAGGTTAAAGCGCGCAAACAAAGGATCCGAGCTGAAACTGAGCGAGCGGAGGATGCCTTATTGACACAATGACACAATATACCTCCAAGCCTGAACCCACGCATGCATGCACGGAACGCATGGAAGGCGGCGCATGCTGCGTGCCGCCCAACGTCAACTCCTACCATCCTTGCTCATTCACAGCTACCTTATCTCCCCTTTACCACCACCCCCTCACGCAAATTTGAGATGCGTGTCTTTAGGATAGTGTCTCCGAATGCGCTCACTGCATGAGCCGGGATATGGGATTGGGACTCGTTGTTTCACTTATTTAATTTGTTACCCCCTCACGCACTTGCACATGCACATGCACATACCCTTGGTCCTCGTCCGTCGACTGCAGTCCGTCTGCCGTCCGGTGCGGCCCGGAATGAGCCGTCGCACCCACCACCGTAGCCGCCGCCGCCACTGTCGCAGACGGCGTGGGAGCTGCCGTACGCACCGCATCCGTCGCTGCCGTCGCCGCCGCCGCCGACGGCGTCTCCGCTGCGGCGGCGCCAACAACACGTGTCATCTCAACAACCGTGCTCCCAAGCGCCGCAACGGAAGTGCTGCTAGCGCTGGCTCGACTCAAAAGGGTTGATTCCGTAACTGCTTGGGGAACCCCGAGTTGTGTAACAGGCGGAGGTTGCGGAGGCAGCGGAGGCAATGGGGGCAACGGAGGTTGCGGCAGCTGGCTTTTGGCGGCAGCGTCGGGGCCGCCGCCGGCGGCAACGGGCTCAATCTCCAGCAGCGTGGGAGGGCGGTACGCGTTGGAAGGCGGCGTGCCGATAGGACTTATTACACCTACAGTGTTACCGATGGTCGAGCCGTTGTTGTTGCTGCTGCTAGCGTTGTTGCCGCCGACATGGGTGTAGGCTGCAGACACGGGGTTCCGAGCTGCGGTTGCAGAGGCAGGGCTGGGTGCCACCGTGGCTCCAGCAGCAGCGGTGGCGGAGGGTGCGGCTCCGCCTCCACTGCCTCCGCCTCCGCCTCCGCTGCCCCCTCCGCTACCTCCGCCGCTTACACTGCCGCTTCCACCGGTGGTACGAATGGCTGCTAGCACAGACGGCGGGATGAACATGGACGTGGATGTGCTGCCATGATGATTTCCATGATGACTTCCGTGGTGGCTGCCGTGGTGGCTGCTGCTGCCGCTGTGGTGGTGCCCTCGGCGGTGGTGGTGCTTGGAGCTGGTATGCGAGGAGGCGGGCTGGGAGGTGGTGGTAAAGGAGGCGGTGGCGGACGCCTGGGGAAGGGGCTGTGGGGGCATGGGCATGGTCACGGACGGGGCTGAGCCGGTAACATTACTGGTAGCAGCGGCGGCAGCAGTCGCCGGCATTGGCGTTGCTACTGCTGTTACCGCCGGCGCCGCCGCCGGGCCTGATCCTGACGCTGAGGGCTGTAGCGGTGCGGGGGCTGACGATGAGGGTGGTAGCAGGAATGCGGGTGCGGTGGGGTTGGCGGTTGCGGTTGCGGGTGCGGGGATGGTCTTACGGGTGTGCTCCAGCAGAGCACGTGCCTGTGGGTTTTGGGAAAAGGACAGGTGGGTTGGACAGGTGGGGATTTTATGTACGGCATGCACAGGCTTCTCAATCCATGTCCTGACACATGCAGAGAGAGGCAGCGTTTTGCTTTAGCCTGCAGGCCAAATGCCCTAATCGTCGCAGCTGCAGAAGCACACCTTACATTTGGTGCACAACTGGCTAGGGTTTAGTACACAAAGCAAGGTATTTGCTACCAGAAGCAGTATAGGTTTGAATGTGTTCTGGGCCCTTAATCCAAAGCTCGCGCACCGCACCTGTGCCACGAGATCCGTGACCCCGTTTGGCTGCTGCTGCGCTAGTTGCTGTTGTTGTGGGTTTTGGGATGTAGGCGACGGTGGGGAAGAACGGTTTGCCGTACCCTGGAGCTGTAGCAATTGCTGCTGCATCTGTTGTAACTGCTGCAGCTGCTGCAGCTGCTGCATCTGCAACGGTGTCGTCGACTGCCGAACGGTGGTTGAAGAGGGGGTTGACACTGAAGACGTTGGATCCAACGGTCCTGATGTCTGCTGCTGCAACATTCGTGGCTGCACTTGCAATTGCATTTGCTGTTGCTGCAGCATCTGTAGCTGCTGCATCTGCTGTGCTTGCGCTTGCAGTTGCAGCGGTTGGAACTGCGGTTGCTGTTGTTGTACGAGGTAGTTCGTTGACGTGGCCGTTGGTACGGCAGCTCGAGGTGACGACGGCGGTTGCTGTGATGCGCGCTCCGTGGAGATGCGTGCCTGGGGTGGGTGGTACGGCAGTGGGTGGTACGGGCGTACGGCACAAGCAACGCAGCAGAATGCAGGTGGCATAATAGAGAGGTCCTGGTAGCCTAGCGCGTCAATCGACACAACTTCCTGGTGCCTTCCGGTAAGTCATGCGCCTCAGTTTCCGTACAACCCAGATTCTTACCAGCAGCCCAGTCGGAGCCTCCTTCGCAGCGGCGGCGAGCTCTGACGTACGAGCAACCAGCCTCGCCGTCAGCTCGTCCATCTCGTCGTCTGGCTGCTGCTCCGCCGTCGTCGCCGTCGGCGGCGCGGCGCCGTTGGTGGAGGCGGCCGCAGCGCCGGCATGGTGTACGGCAAGGGTAGCGGCGCCGCCATTCATGGCGGCGCCGCCGGTGTGCGCGCCGCCGGTAACGGTGGCGGGCCGCTGAGGAGTGATCGGTGCAAAGCGGCTGTTGTTGTTGTTGCCAGCGGCAGGGATCCCGCTTGAAGCGGAAGGGCTTAGAGCATCGGATGACGACGACGGCGGCGGCAGAGGAGGCAGCGTCGCCACTGCCGCCGCTGACGGCACCGCCGAATCCGCCGTCGCCGCCGAAGGCCGTTGTACGACGCCTTGCCGCTGCGTCATGGCAGATTGCGGTACGGCGCCGGCCGTTGCAGCGATGGCGGCGGCGGCGCCGCTGGCCTGCGCAAGCCTTGAGGAGGTTGTTGTAGATGACGCCATATTGCCGTACATTGACGGCATCGGACCGAGTCGCACAGGCATGGGAGAATGGATGACGCCGGCGGCTATCGGCCGACGGTTGACGTCGTCGCTACTACGGCCGCCGCCGCTGCCGCCGCCGCTCGTGTTGGTAATGTTTTCACGTGCGGACGTGGCTGATTGAGGTTCTACTCCCGTCGGCGTCACAGGCGCTGTTGCTTCCGCCGCCGCCGCCTTTGTCTCCTTTGACATGGACAGACGCCCCTTTGCCGTACTTTTTGCCCGCTGGCGTTCCGCCTCCGCCAGCCGACGCCTCGCCTCCGCCGCCTCCTTTTCCTCCCTCCGCCGCGCCTCCGCCGCCTCTCGCTCAGCCTTCCGCCTCGCATTACTCGCCTCAATCTCCGCACGCTTGCGTGCCTCCCGTTCCGCTCGCTCCTCGCGCCGCCTCGCCTCCGCCGCCTCTCTCTCCGCTCGTAGGCGTGCCGCCTTCGCCTCCTGCTCCTCCCGCCGCCGCCGCTGCGCCGCCTCCACCTCAGCCCGCCGCCGCGCCTCCTCCTCCCGTCGCGCCGCCGCCGCTGCTTCACGCTCCCGCCGCCGCCGTTCCGCCTCCGCCGCCTCCCGCGCTGCTCGCTCTGCCTTCCGCTGCGCCTCCGCCGCCGCCTTGTCCAGTACGACAATGCGGCCGCTGGCTGTTCCCGCCGCCGCCGCTGCCGTTGCGGACGGTAATGCCGCCAAGGGCAAGCCAACGCTGCTGCTCAACGCACCACCGCCAATAGCACCCGCAGCAACAGGAACCGTGACGCCGGCGGCGGTGGGAAGGCCCAGTCGCGCCGCCGCCGCCACCACCACTGCCGATGTCGCCACCGCCGCCGGACTGCTGCAGTCCGTCAGGAGTGCAACCGACGCCAGGTCCGCCGCCAGCAGAGCTGCCGTACCGATGTCTGCTGCAGCGGCGGCGGCGGCGCCTCCGCCAGCCGCCTCCGCCGCCAGCGCAGGTAAGGGCCCTCGGTAGACGGGTGTCAGGTCCGCCAATACCTGACATGGTGCATGTGCGGCAATCAACGAAGGAACACCCGGTGGCTCAGCTCCCAGCTTATACGGTTCACAAGATACGCCTTGTAGATTCCCTAGATTCCCACCAGCAATCAGCACCCCGCCACACACACACGCCACTCCCAGTACGTTTCGCCTCGCGGCCAGTTATTTTAACACGCCGCTCCCCCAACCGCCTCCTCCTCCCCCCCCCACGACACGCACCCCCACCTGCAGTGCTAGCGGCCTCCACAGCTGCGCCGCACACACGTCCAGCCTCAGCGAGCTCAGCAGCCCCCGCAGCAGCGTCATCACGCGCATGATCATGAACAGGTCCTGGGGCAGATGAGGCACCCGGGCGGTCCTGGAAGGGAAGGGAAGGGAAGGGAAGGGGGGCGGGGCGGGGATAACAACAAGGGTGCGGGGGTGAGGAGGTAGGAGAGGTGAGGAGGGCCGCGCTGATGGGAAAGTGAGCTCTGTTAGCGCGAGGCAAAGCAACCGGTTGAACCACGTTCAACCCATGGAGGCCATGGTACCGGTTTGCCATGCAAGCTACTACCCCCCCCACCCCCCGCTTTCTATCCCCATGGTCTTGCCCCAACCTGTGGTTTCCTGCGGTTTGGTGCGGTCTCTAACCCCCTGGCCCCTGACACTCCCAGCCCACCTGAACTCATGCGCGGCCGGGTGCAGCGGCCCCATGTGCGCTTCCGGCATGTCCATGCGTGTGTCGAACAGGATGTAGGCGGCGGTGGCCGCGAAGCCGGGCGAGCAGCCCTCCACCACCAGACCCAGCTCGGAGCACACGGCTAGGACCAGCTCGTCGTCGCGGACCTGACATGCGCGGGTGGGGGGGAGAAGAATACCCAATGGGTTATATGCGGGGGGTAAAAAAAAGATAATGAGACACTGACGAAGCAACTGGGGGGGGGGGAGACAGCAGGGGGGCTTAGAGGGGGGATTAGGGGCGGATTGGAGGGGGAACGGGGAAAGCGACATCCTGCGTATACATGCCAACAATCCAACAGGCTCAACCCGACCCCCTAAGCCTCCCCCCCAAAGAGCCCCCCGGTTGCCCCCCTCACCGCCATCGCCGCCACCAGCAGCGCATATCGGGCCCGCGTGGCGGCACTCAGCTGCTTGGACTGCAGGAGGGGGGGAGAGGGAGCGGGGCGGTTGGGGGGAGGTGAAGAGGGAGGGCATGCACGCCGACGACAAGGACACCAGCAATCAAGCAGGGGCTAATGGTCTGCTCCCTGACCTCCCCCATGCGCTCACTGCATGAGTCGGGATATGGGATTGGGATTCGTGGTTTCACTTATTTAATTTTCCCCCCCTCACCCCCCAGTCCCGGTCGGTTTGTACATGTGTGCTGCTACTAACCCAACAACTGTCGACTACGCGCAATCCTAAGATCCAGCCTAATGCAGAATACCGGTAGTTATCCCCATTACCCCCCCCTCACCCCCCCAGTCCCCCACCTGCCCAAAGTCCAGCAGCGCCACCTGCAGGTCCTCCGTGTCGCACGAGGCGGCCGACTGCAGCGAGGAGCGGCCGCTGGGCGGGGCGCTGCTGGGGGGGCCGGCGGCGGAGGCGGGGGGGCCGGTGGGGGTGGTAGCGCCGGTGGCAGGCATGCTGCCGGTGGGAACAGCACCAGCACCAGCACCAGCACCAGCACCAGCACCAGCACCAGCACCAGCACCAGCACCAGCACCAGCACCAGCACCAGCACCAGCACCAGCAGTGGCGGCGGCGGTGGCGGTGGCGCCGTCAGTGGTGGAGGCATCATCATCTTCCACGGAGGGTCGCCTCCTCCGCATGGCCAGCAGGTTGCCGGGGTGGCTGCGGCGTTTGCGGTAGGGTGTGGTGTGGTGTGGTGTGGTGAGGTGTGGTGTACCGGTAGTGTGGTGTGGTGTGGGGGAAAGTATCGGTACGGCAGGTGTAAGAAGGGGTACGGCAGGGTGACCAGTCAAGAGTTATTTTGTGCCGTACGAACGCGGAGGAAGGAATGCGACCCCGAAACACATGTCCCTTGAAGCTCATATACCGGAAGTCCCTCAGTACGGGCATGCGCGCACATGCTCGCATGGCAGCATGGCAGCATGGCAGCATGACAGCATGGCAGCATGACAGCATGACCGCATGGCAGCATGGCAGCCTAGTGCAACGTGCCATCTACTGTGCCGCCTAAAGAAAAGAAAGATCTCAGCATGTGTAGCAAAGGCCTATTCAAGAACCAACTCACGGGTCGCTGTGGAACAGGCCGTCCTGCAGGATCATCACGCCGTACGCCAGGATGAGTGACGTCATCAGCCCGTGTCGTACAGCCTGGGTGTACGGCAGGAAGCAAAACACAGCACGAAGGGGGGGAAAAGGTAGGCCTGAGGTACCGTAGCAGGAACGACTTGATGTGAGATTGGGGTGAGACGGAGGCGCTACGGTGTACTACGGTACTATTTGGTCCCCGCCAAAGCACCCGGGCAACCGCTGCTCCCCGCCCCCCTGCCCCCTCCCCCCTCCCTCAACCACCTCCGTGTGCCCTTCCAACCCTCCCCTCCCCCTCCCCTCCCGCTCATTCTATAGCAGTGTCTTAGTATGCGCTCGCTGCAGGCATGCGTCGGGATATGGGATTGGGACTCCAGTTGCTTCAATCTCCATGCACGGTATTCTTCTCCCCCTCCCCCTTCTCCTCCCCCTTGCTGCACATATCATTATTTTCCCCCCTCCCCCCTCATTATATTTTTTCACCCCTCACCAGCTCCATCCCCGCCACATCCAGTATCGGCACCCCGTCCAGGTACTCCTGACACAGCACCCGCCCGCCGCTGTGGCTGCCCACGCAGGACGGCACCACCAGCCGCCGCAATGCGGGGAAGCGGCGCGAGGCGCGCTGCAGGGAGGCGCGGATGGAGGTGGACACGGCGGCCTCGCGTGAGAAGTCAAATTCCAGGGGGACCTGCGGAGAGGCGGGGGCGGGGCGGGGCGGGGGGGAGGGATGGAGGGGAGCAGGGGGAGTAAACGAGTGATGTGCACGGGGGGTTTCACAGCCTGCTCGCAACCCCGCACCCAGCTCGCATCCTCGAAGAAGCAACCGGTGTGTTCTTCCCCACCCGCCAATTTCCTGCACACACACACGTGCACCTGCGGAATAAAACACACACACACACACAATCACAGTATGTTCCTACTCGCGGCCAGTTATTTTAACACACACACACACACACACACGCGTACGTTTCGCCTCGCGGCCAGTTATTTTAACACACACACGCGCACCCGTTCACCCACGCTTACCTGCTCGTTGTACTCCCGCACCAGCGAGCCATGGTCGAATCCCAGCTGCAGCCCCGCCGCCGCCACCAGCCGCGACAGCGCCGCCAGGTTGGCCAGGTCGGCACGCATGCGGCCGCGTGCGGAGGCGTGCGCCACCTTCACCACCACCGGGCGCCCGTCGTGTAGCAACCCGCGGTGGACCTGGCAGGGGCGGAAGGGGGGGGCGCGGCGGGGTTACAGACCACACCAAACCACAGGACACCACGAATGGGCAAAAGAATGGGAGAATGAGACGAGCGGGGGGGCCGGGCGGGGTCGAGAGGGGGAAAGGGGGGAATTGCGAGAGGGGAGGGTTGCAGAGGGAGGGGTAAAGAGGAAACCCAGCTGCCATGTGGGATGGCTAGGCACGCGCACCCCCCGCACCTGTCCTGTCCTGTCCTCACACCCGCGGGCTCCCCCCACCCACCTGCGCAATGGTAGCTGAGGCCAGCGGGAAGGGGTCGAGCTCCTTGAACAGCAGCTCGGGGGGAGCTCCCAGGTCGGCCCGGATGGTGCGGCGAACGTCGGCGAAGGGCGCGGGGGGCAGGCGGTCGAGCAGGCGGGAGAGGGAGGCGGTGTAGGGGGCGGCCAGCATGTCGGTCTTGCTGGCCAGGATCTGACCCAGTTTGAGGTAGAAGCCCTGGAAGAGGGGGAAAATATAGATAAGTGCATCAACGGAGGGAGGGGGGAAGGTGTGCGAAAAAGAAAGAAACAGGTTAGGGAAAAGCAATGGGGAGGGAGGGTAGCCTGTAAGAGGGGTTGGGAACGTGGAGCTGGTAGGTGGAAAGGTTACGTTCGGCGAGGCAAAAGCTTGAGGTGGAAAAGCCCTGCAACGAGGGAGTGAAAACGGCAGAGGGGAGGGAAGGCAGCAGCCCATGATGGGGTTCCAGGGCATGGACACTGCACCCGCAGGAGTATTGTGGAAGAGGAGTGGGAAACGAGTATGTAACCCCCCCAAATCGTTCACCATGTACCTCCCACCCAGTGCTTCTACCCTCTTCCCTCCATCCCACCCTCCTTTCCTCCACCCCCTGTCGGGATATGGGATTGGGACTCGTTGCTGCACTAATCATTCAACCTCCCTCCCTCCCCCCTGCACTGCCCTGCCGAACCATAGGAAACCTGTGACTTCCTATGGTTCGGTATGGTCTTTGACCCCCCCCCCCCTTGCCCCACCTTCAGGTCCGCCAGCATGTCAAAGATGGCCCCCGCGCCCCACTCGTGCTGCGCCTGCCACAGCTCCCCCGCAGCCGCCTCCCGACCCGCACGACGCAGCGCACCAGCCCGCGCACCCGTCCACATGTAGCTGCGCGGTGGGGTGGGGATGGGGGTGGGGATGGGGGTGGGGGTGGGGGTGGGGGTGGGGGTGGGGATGGGGGTAATGGAAGGACATCCAATGTGTTGTGCGACGGTGGGGTGGGGGTGGGGCCGGTAGCGGGGAAGAGCTACCGGTAGGCGGTAGGCGGTGGGCGGGGAGGTTGTGAGGAGGTTGTCAGGGTCCGCTGCACCCCGCATGCGCATGCGCGCGTAACTCCCCTCTCTTAGCCTCCCTCGTATCATCAACGGGACTTCCTAGGGTCCCGCTCCGTGTCTCCTCGCGGACTGGTACCCTACCGCCTCTCCACCCGCCGGCCCCCGTACCACGCCACAACGGGCACGGTGCAAACCCCTCTCCCTCCCATGTCTTAACAAGACCCTGACACACCCGTCGGCTCCCTGCCTCCCCCCCTGCCTCCCTGCCTGCCTCCCCACCCGCGTTCACTACATGAGTCGGCATACGGGATTTGGGGGTTCCAGTTGCTGCACTTAACATTTCCCACCCGCCCGCCGCCTCACCGCGCCACAATGGGAACCGTGCGCTGCCAGTACAGCACACTGCGCCACACCGCGGGGGCCAGCAGCGGCCCCACCGCCCGCAGCACCGCGAACAGCGCAAAGGGGCCGCGGAGGGGAGCGAGGGGGGAGAGCAGGGCGGCGGCGGCTGCTGCCCAGGAGAAGGAGGAGGAGGAGGAGAAGAGGGGGTTTGGCGGGTAGCGGAAGGAGAGGGGGGTGGAAAAGAGACGGAGGAGGGAGGCAGGAGGAGGGGTGGGTGGGGGAGAGGGAGGTGGTGGGAGGGGGAGGGGGAAGGGGAGAGTGGGACCGGAGAGGAGCGCGGCGAGGCCCTGGGGTACGGGTACGGGTGCGGAAGGGCAGGGGGAGGGAGGGAGGAGGCTTTCAAAGGGGTGGGTGCAAGGAGGGACGAAGGGGCGGTGGGTCCATGCTGTTGCATCCAGGCGCAGTTGGGGTAACCGCCAACCACCAACCATGCACAAGCTCTACCCCGAGTATGTACTCTGCATGGCACTGCGAGATGTACCCCCTCCACAGACCCCGTCTCACCAGTAGCCGGCAGCTCCGCGGGAAAAACGCACACAGCAGAGCCGTACCGCCGTACCGAAATACTGCCGCAACCGTCCCAACCGCCACAACCGCCATGCGAACTGGCGCGTACAACAACCGTCCCCTCAGGCTGCGCGGCGGCTGCGGTCGTCGCTGCATCCGTTGCGTCGGTTGGCGGCGGTTGCGGTGGTTGCTGCTCACTGAGTGGGTACGACTCGACGGCAATGAGGAGGAGGGTGCAGACGACGACAGCTGCCCCATAAGCTGCGGCGGAATGGGGGTGGCGGTGACGGCGATGTACGGTAGCGGTTGGGTGGCTGCAGTTGTCGTACGGTCACGGCCGGCCGTGACGGAATTTGTCGTAGTTGTCCTAAGGCTCCGGGCATGCAGCACTGGCGGCTGGGGCGGCAGCGGTAGCATCACCATCTCAGCTGCGTCAGCTACGACTGCTGCTGCTGCTGCCGCTGCGGGGACTGCTGCTTGGGCTGCTGCCGCCGCTGCCGCCGGTGGCAGCGGTGGTGGCGTAGCTGTCGTCGCTGTGCCTCCACCACCATACCTACCCTGCCGCCGCCGTACCTTCACACGTCGTACGACGTACTGCACTCCTCCGCCAGCGGCCCCCGCCGCCAGCTTTACCGGCCGTACAACCGCCCGCAGCGGCGCCATCAGCGCCACACGTACAGGAATACGTCGCAGCATGCGGCCCAGCCGTACAGGCTGCGCCGCCGCTGCCGCCGCCCCCGCCGCGCCAGCCCTGGCGGCAGCGTGCAGTACATGTACGGGCAGCCTGGCGGCGGTGCTGACGGCTCGGATCGCTGCCAGGGTGACGGTGGCACAGCTTCCGCCGGCAGCACGAAATGCGATTACCACAGCGCCGCTGACGCGGCGGCCTATGAGGCGCCCGGTGTTGCGGGCGGCGGGTCCCACGGCCCGACCCAGATCGCAGAGCTTACCGGCAAGGGCGAGGACTGCCGTACGGCCACTTGAACGTTTCCGTGCTGCTTTGAAGTGCTTGGGAAAAGGTGGCGGCGCGATAGCTGTAACCCCTGGTAGACTATGTATACCGCAATGATGCTGCAGGCGCTTGGGTGGAGTGTCTTGAAGGCTGAATTCCAACTCGATGGGAGTCATGCCATCTCTCAATTCCTCAAGGACAGCAAGCCTCCCGTTACGATGTCGTCGCTGTAGAGAAAAGGGCGAGGATGGGATAAATGGTTGCGGAAGGGATGTAACGCGAAGCAGGGGCGAAACGTTGTTGGTTACGAACATGGCAAGAGCGACTTGACGCTGATGGCCATACCGTAAGATCCATCATAGCATATATAGGATGGTGACATGTTTTCACTTCATGAAACATCCGCGAAAACGGTTTCGCTGACAGGACCTGCAGTTCTGCTTGCTCGCATGCTTGCGCAGCGGAAGAACCCCCTAATCACCGAAATCCTAGGCAAATTAGGCGACTGTGTACTTGAATTTGCCCAGCTACCTCTCAATAGTGTCACCCCCGAGGTCCCACAATTTACAGCCGAATGCATCAACAACTGCCCTCTAGAAGGGCATACCTTCTGGTCTTCTCCCAAACCGTTAATCTCCATCACTGCTCCAGCAGCGTGTTGAGGTGTGGCTTCCTCCATCTCAGCCACCACAGGCGGGGGCATCGCTTTCATTATTTCAGGAAGGGACCTCTTCAGCTAACTAGAGCCACCGGACATGCACCATTTGACAATTCATGGTTACTGCCTTTACAAACCGTTCATTGCTAATGTTGCGCGCCATATAGGCAGTATGCGTTACCCGACCCGATTCTGGTTGAACAACATGGCAGGGCGTAGTACTAAGTTTATATGGACAGGAGATAACCCATTTTGTGCAGTATGACAGTATCCAAACTTTACCGTGGGGTTCCTTACCCCTCGACCGTTGTCGGCCAACGAACCCCATGACGGGCCTTCCGAAACATGCGCAAATGCCGCTACATCGATCCGACAGTTAAGATTATTCGATTTCCGCGCAACTAGCACTTAAATCCGCGTTTGGTTGGTCTTGTTGCGACAAAGATGCATTAAAGCAAGTCGGAGCACCAGCACTACAGTACATCGCAGCACCGAAAATGGGGCCAAATAGTGACAGATGTGTGGCGATAGCACAGACTCGACATAGCACTTGTGGGCCCCAAACCTGAGAAGTACGGTAGGGCCTGCCTGCTATGGATAACACCTGAGGGGAAATGGCAGCCTGACATTAGCGAGACACCCAAAGGACGGCGCCTACTTCCATGTAATGTTGGACACGGCTCTGCCTTTGGGGGAAGCAGTGATGTCGCGAGACCCCTAGACCGGGAACTGTACGGGAGCACCCGGGTGCCGACGAGTGCCGCAGCAGCACTGGACGACAGTGATGCTGCTGAAATTGTGTATTGGAGTACAGGCCTGGACAAAAGCCTGGGATGTTTCGTGTTAAAAGCTTGGGCGAGTTCCGTGTCATACGCGGGTTACAGCCTGTAGGGAGTTGCAGTCTTAGGCAATTCCCGACATCGCGTGTTCATTCGGCAAATGCAGCATCGGAAAAACGGTGTTGGGGATACCAGGGCCAAGGGACACACGCTCTTGAACAACTGCTTCACACTGTTGGCAAGAGGTTAGGACCTGGAAAGGCAATCCGTACAGTAGGTTGGAAAGGCATGCACATTGTAGCTTTCAGGTGTACACGTTTGCTTTCAACTAGGCTTTTTCTTATCATGATATCGGACGGTGTTCAGGCGCGTTAAGCAAGTGAAAGTGTTTTGGCTTTGACGTCGTTTGCCCAGAAACGTACACGACAAGCAACTCTGCTACTGAAAACCGCGTCATGCTTAGGTAGCATTTGGGTTTAGCTGCAGCGCATTTGCGGGCTGCTCAACTCTAGCTAGGAGGATGGGCTGACGTGATAACAGAGGACCCCGTGCGGAGTTTACGTGCTAACAATATGATTGACCAAACACCTACTCCTCCACCACGCTCGCGCTCAACTTGGACGCCGTCTGCCTTTGGTCGGGCAGTCACCGATTTTGCGCGACAGCGGCCGAAGCCGGCAAAGCGCCGACGGGCTGCAACGGATGAGCTCAAGTTATTCTGCATGGGATATAGACAGGAGCTGGCGCGAAAGCTAACGCTGTTTAACAATGCGGGTGTCGCGTTCTCGCTGCTTACTCCTTTGACAGCATTGACTGGTGAGCAAGTTACCTAAGCACCTAAGAACCGTACCTCTTGCAGCATTCGGTGGGCAAACAGCATCACACGCTCCATGACCTGTTCATTGCCCGCGCATTTTTGCCTGCACACCTTCCGTGCGCCTACTCGCCATGGATCACACGTCACACGTGAATTGGTATCATCACTTTCTGCCCGTTGGTTTGTGAGCAAAGGGGCTGGGGCGGTTGGGCACCCATGGCTCGCAGCTAGCTTGGTTGCGGTTCGGGGGCCATGCGTGGCGAAGTTAGACCGTATCAATCCTCCCCCTTTTTCCTCTCGATGATTCCAACCTTCATTCATCCTCTCCTCCCACAGGTACGTACGGCACCTGGGGCCTGTTGTACGGCGGTCCCGTGGTCATGATGTGGGGTTTCCCCATCGTCAGCCTCTTCTCGCTGCTGGTCGCAGTCAGCCTGGCGGAACTCGCCTCCGCCTACCCCACCAGGTACCGTAGCCCCGGGGGACATCGCCGGGACATCAGACACGTCTCCATGTCTGCTGCCATGCTTGCCGCGACTCCTGTCCATGACACGCAGTGCACGATAGGGGCCTCATCCCTGCTGACATCGCTCTATGTGTCCCCCCTCTTCCAACCCCTGTTCCCACTCCCCCAACCTCCCTGACTCACCATTGGCTCATCTTCCTTTCCCTCCCTCACCTGCCCTCCCTCACCTGCCCTCCCTCACCTGCCCCCACCCCTCACCTGCCCTCCCTCACCTGCCCTCCCTCACCTGCCCCCACCCGCCAGCGGCGCCACCTACTATTGGACCTGGGTTCTGGCTCCCCCGCGCTTCAAGGCGCTGTGCTGCTGGCTGAACGGGTGGCTGATGCTGCTGGGTCAGGGCGCCTTCACCGCCGCCAGCAGCCGCATGTTCACCGACATGCTGGATGTGTTCGTGCTGATGGCCACGGGTGAGGGGGGGGGAGGAAGAGGAAGGGGGGAAGGGCTACGGGTGAGGGGGGAAAATTATATAAAAGTGAAACAACGAATCCCAATCCCATAGCCCGACTCATGCAGTGAGCGCATTCGGAGGCACTAATAACACGCATCTCAAATTACTTACCGAATCGTTGCTTACCGTAAACCGAAACGACTTGAGGAAGAAGCCGCCTTGCGTGGTGACACGGGGGGGGGGGGAGGAAGAGGAAGGGGGGAAGGACGGGTGAGGGGGGTCAAAGGCCATACCAAACCATAGGAGACCACAGGTTAGGGCAAAGCAATGGGGGTAGGCGGCGGCAGGGTGCCAGAAGACAAAGTGTTGGTTAGTATTCCCCCCCCACCCACGGGTGAGAAGAGGGAGGAAGCGACGTGAGGGGGTAAAGAGGAGAAACGACGTGAGGAGGGTAAAGAGGAGAAGTGACGTGAAGGGGGAAAAGAGGAAACGACGGGAGGGGGGTGGTGATAAGAGGGAGGAAGGGAGGGAGAAGGGCGCGAGGAGGAGGTGGGGGTGGAGGCAGTTGCCGGGTCATGCAAGCTACCCGTACCTCTCTAGTGCTAGCCCAACCCTCCACACGGTTACCCCTGTCTAACCCCTTACCAACCCCAACACCTCCCCAACACCCACCCACCCACCCCCTACTTCTCTCAACCACCCAACCAACAGGCAAGCAGCTCCCCAACGGAATCCTCATCGCCGTGTTCATTGTCGTACTGCTGGGCTCCGCCCTCGCCGCCGGCACCTCCAACTCCGTCACCGCCTACCTCACCAGCCTCTCCGCCTTTTGGAACCTGGTGGCCCTAGCCGCGCTGGCGGTGGCGCTGCCGGCGGTTGCGCCCAAACGGCAGTCCGCGTCTTACATGTTTACCTGTTGGACGGATGCCAGCGCCACGACTGGCGTGCAGAACCATTTTTATAACCTGTTGCTCGGACTGTTGATGAGCCAGTACGTGGTAAGTACCGGTAGCGTCGTGTCATGTCATGCCATGGTGTGGCGTGTCGTCGTGTTGGCGGTGGTGGTGGTGGCGGGGGGGTTTTGCTGGTCATGGTGTGGCGGTGGCGGAACTACTGTGCTTGTGCCCCACATGACCACCAGTCCTCCCCACTGCCGTTCATACGGTTCCGGTGGCCGTGCTGCCCCAGGCACCCAGGCTGTTACACCCCCCTCTTGCCTTTCCTGCCCATTTGTGGTTTTATATGGTTTAATCTAGTTTGACCCCCGACCCCGACCTCGGTAATCCCGTCTTGCCATGCACTCTCCCACCCCCACTCCCACATCCCACCCCACCCCACCCACTTCTCATCTATGTTTCCACCCCACCCACCCTACTCCACAGTACCTGGGTTTCGACTCCAGTGCCCACATCTCCGAGGAAACCCAGCACGCGGAGATCAACGCGCCTCGCGGCATGCTGGCCGCCTCCCTCACCGCCGCCGTCACGGGCTACGGGTACCTGCTGTCGCTCAACGCGTGCACGGTGGACCCCGCGGCGCTGCTGTCGACGAAGTCGGAGAGTCGCGGCAAACACGCGGCGGCGCAGCTGTTCTGGAATGTGCACGCGTGAGTAGGGGGAGGAGCAGCAGCAGCAGGAGGAGGAGAATGAGGGGAGATGGGGTTGTGCGTGTGTGAAGTGATGCGTATGGGGATTGATGAGGGCTTGAGGGACGCGAGGGTTGCGAGAGGAGGATGTGGGTACCGGGTTTCTCATGGTGCGGGCGAGCTACCAGGAGGATGCGATGCGTGTACACAGAGGGAGTGAGACTCAAACCCTAAATCCTTCCCTCGCCGCTACCTCCCTCGCGCCCCCACCCCACCTCACAGGGACGCTTATCATGACGGTCGCGGCGGGCTAGCGCTGCTGACGGTGCCCATGATCTCCGCCCTCATGTGCACCTACCAGTGCGTCTCCGCCAACGCACGCATGCTGTTCGCCTTCTCAAGGTGCCTCGGGGGGGGGGCGGAGGGCGGGGGGGTGGAGGGGGGTGAAGGGGTGTTTGGGCGTGCTGGGTATGCATGCATGCGTGTGTGTGTATTGCGCACCCTGGTCTGCACCTGACCTCGTCCACAATCCCGGTACGCCATGTCCCCGGCGCCACACCCGGACACACCTGTGTTTCACTTCGCGGCCAGTTATGTTAACACACCTGTCACACACACGCCCTGCACCCCGGCCGCTACCCGCCCCTGCTGCAGGGACGGAGCGGTGCCGCTGAGTCGCTACCTGGGCCGCGTGGAGAAACGAACCCGGGTGGGAGCTGGATGGGAGCAGGGGGCTAGCTGGGGGCTGCCGGTAGCGAGTCTGGTAGATGCGTGTGGATGGTCCGCATGAGTCTGCCATTAGCAGTGGGGGCGGCTCCCATGTGCCTTGCAACATGTGCCTTGCAAGCAACACCTTTGCTGCTAGACTGCACATTAGGACACTGCATACAGAGCGTTGCACACAGAGCCAACCAACCAACCAACCTACCTACCTAGCTTCCTTCTCATTACCTGCCTCCATCTCCCACCTCCATCTCCCACCTCCGCCCGTTTCCTCTTCCCACCTCCACTCCCCCCACCCTCCCCCTCCCTCCCTAATGCGGAATGTGTATCCCTGTTACCCGCTCCCTCCCCTCTTTCCTTGTCTTTATCCCCCCCCCTCCCTCCCCCCCCAGGCTCCCGCTGCAGCTGCCTGGGCCATGGCGCTGCTGGGGGTGGTGCTGGGGGTGCCCATGTACTTCGCAGCGCCCTACGTGAACACCATCTCCACACTCGCCATCGTCAACACATACCTGTCGTACGGACTGCCCATCCTGTGCAAGTGAGGGGGGGAGAGGTCGCAAGGGGCGTGAGGGGAGGGAAGGAAAGGCTGGGGGGGGGGGGGCGCTAGGGGGAAAGGGGGAAAGGGGAGTAAATGGGAAGACGGAGGGGGCGGGTCTACAGCCAACCCCAGCTTCTAACCCTTCTTGCTGCTTCCCGTCCCTCCTCCTCACCCCTCCTGCCCCGCCCCGCCCCGCCCCGCCCTACCCTGCCAGGCTGGTCAGCGGCCGCAGCGCCTTCCTGCCCGGACCCTTCTTCACGGGTCGCCGCATCTCCCGCGCCATCAACCTCCTCGCGCTGCTGTGGGTGCTGGTGATCGCCGTGATCTTCTCGCTGCCCACCGCCTACCCCCTCACCGGCACCAACATGAACTACAATGCTGCAGGTGCGGCCGGCGGGCAGGCGGGTGTGGCTGTGACGGTTGACGGCTGGCGGCGGTGGGGGGGGGGCTTTTGAGAGGGTTCATCGTGCTAGGTTTGGGGGGAAATATATGATTGAATGAGAAGTGCAGCAACTGGAGTGCTAGGTTGGGGGGGGGGGAGGACGGTGAGGGGGCCTTGTTTGTGTCCTCTGAGGCAGGGCAGTAGGACACGTAGGGGTAGGGGCGTGAAGGGGACTTGCATGTGGGGCGTGAAAGCGCAACCGCCCCTACGTAGCGGTAGGGGCGGTTGCGCTTTCACGCCCCACATGCAAGTCCCCTTCACTCCTCCTTGCGCGCTGTGCCTGCAACCCCCCTTCTTGGCTACCGGCATTCGTTCGGGCGCTGCCCCGGACACCGCTGATGAGTAAAACCCTTCAGTTCCGCTTCGCCGATTTACCGTAATTTCCTTATTAAAAACTCAGTAACTTGCAAACTCGCTACCGGTAACTTGAGGTAAAACCCCCACTGCACCCTGCGCGCACATGCAGGCACCTTGCTTGTGTTGATAGGCTCCCTGGCGGCTTTTTACTTCCCCCGAATCGGCGGGCGTTACTGGTTCACGGGCCCGCGTCCCAACCTGGGCCAGTTTGACGACCTTACCCCCCTTATGCAGCAGCAGCAGCTGCAGCGGAAGCTGAGGAAGAGGCAGAAGCAGCAGCAGGGGGGGCGGCAGCAAGAGGAAGGGCAAGAAGGGGAGCAGTTGGAGCAAGAGGAGGAGCCGCAGGGACATGGACAGGAACAGCAAGAGGAGGAGGAGGAGGAGCAGCAGCAGCAGGAACAACCGAATCTTCGACAATCGAGATCGCTACCGCTTTTGTTGTCGCAGCAGCAGCACCAGCAGCAGCTGGGGCAGCAAGAGGAGTTAATGATGTTAGACATTGACGAACAGCAGCAACAGTTGTTACAACAGGAGCATCATTACCAGCAACAACAGCAGCAGCAGCAGCAGCAGCTGTTAGGCGGCTACCACCATCACCATCATCACCATCCCCATCACCTGGCGTACCAGATGGGGGGTGGTTTAAGAGGCGGGCAGGTGCGCACCGGTGTCGGGTTTCATGGCGAGGGGGACGAGGTTCCCCTCTTAGAGCCGCGGCTACACGAGCATTGCGATCAAGGCGGGGGTGTAGACGGGCGAGGTGGGGAGGAAAGAGTGGAGGGAAGGGCAGGGATGTATGCGCATGGGGGGCAGGGGTTGCAAGGTGTGGAGCAGGGGGTATCTGTTTACGGAAAGCTGTTACTACGGCCGCTTGCAGAAGGGGAAGAGCCCCTGCATCGAGGCGTGACGTATGGGTGAGAACGCCACTACTGCTGCTGCTGTGGGTATATGGGTTCCTTGTTTGTTGCATGGGTGGAATCTGAAACAGTGGGGTTTATGGAACTTGCGGAATGGTGACCCGTGGGTCGTGTGATTGCAAGCAAATGGCTTACGAATGTATCGTGCATGACAAAGTACGAGGGTATTGCGTGAATGAGGACTGGAAGGGGATTTTGCTTGGGCATGCAGGGGCGTACGGTTGGCCCTTTGGGCGTTTTATTTTTGGCCACAATCTGATAGCCTGCTATGGTTCTGCGTGAAAGGCTGCTGCGCTGTGGCTCTCACATGATTCTGGCCGATGCGCGTGAATTCGATTACGACGATAGTGGTGACGGCACGTTTTGGACATGAATGATATGTTAAAAGCAACTGAGCTACAGAGCTGACACTGACCCCTGGTAGTGTGGGAGCAGCTGTGTTGAGGATACTGTGTACACGCGTTTGTCACGTGTCCTTGCTAGCCTGGCCATGCAGAGGAGGCAATAACGGGGCTTTATTCCCTAGCTCGGTCGTTTGGTCGCACACGTGTTGTCGAGTAAATTGGACGGGGTGTGATCTCACGTACACATGAGTCATGGCTGCTCGTTACCCGGTTTCGGAATCTGCCAATGGGCATACCGTGTATTGCATGGTGGTGTTTCCTGGGGGCTCATGTGGGTACTAGGGAGGGTTCTTGGTTTAGGAAAGGCTTCTTGCATAGGGGGTCGTGTAGTTTGCTGCTGCACAATGCGGCTCGCGGTGGATATACGTTTTCGTGCTGTCCTGGCTGCTGTGTGGGGGTTTTGGGAGCGCGCGATCGTGGTTAAGGGGTGGGTGCCTTAAGAATACGGTACGTGGGAGCCTAGCTGCTGTGTAGGAGGTATTGCATCCCAGCATTTCCTTATCTTCATATGAATGAATGGCCGTTGCAGTGATCAGTCATATTCTCAGATCCCGGTAGTACGGAAGCAAGAAAGGAAGGAGGGGGTCTGCCTTGCTGGCGTGATGTGCACATTGCATAGAGGGCTACTTAAGGGGGGTCTTGGGAGAGGAGCACACGTTTCTTGTGAGATGAAAGACAAGAAAGGGTGCTGGTGCGCTAGGGCGCGGGTTTTGTGTTGAAAGCGCGAGCTGAGCTAATTAACCAAAAAAGTAGGATAAAATGCCTCGTCGTCGTGGCGTCGTTGGATGTCCGTGTGTTTGTGTTAGCGTGGACCCGTGGTTCAATGGTGTCTTAATGGTGTCTTCGGGCCTTTTTGGCTACGCAGAGTTGTTATTCGGCATTGTACACTAGCACTGTTATGAGGTATCCAACTTGGGGTTGTGCCGTTGTATGAGAGGTCCGGAACACGCAAGGTCGAGCTATCTTCCCGCGGGGTGCCGCTCGTTACAAACGGCATTTGTGAGAATGCATGCCCGCTATGCTCGCACTGCTTTCGTACATTGCCTGTCTAGTCTTTTAGTCGGTCTGGTGGTCTGGTCTGGTCTGTTTTGTGGTTAAGGGCGTGCACCGCCGATTGTTGGATAGGGGAATGCTTGCGCCATGGGCGGTTGCGCCATGCGCGGCGCGTATCCTCTTACGCTCGTGCTTACATGCTGTAATAGCCAAAGCGGGTTTGCCGAGGGAATGCATGTCGGCTTTGGAGTGTGTGCATGCATGCGGCCCTGGGTCCGCGTCACACCGGTGGTGTTGCAGCTGTCATTATACCTGTAGTGTAGTGGTTGCACCCTAGCGCTTCGCTTGGAGGTGATCAGCGCTGTGGGGGATGTTGGTGGGTTGGGGTGTCTGCCACCTTGGTCGTCATGCCGTTCCTGAGCAACTGGTGGACCGGCCCCCTGGCGAGTGATAGTTCTTGCAAGCATTCGCGCGTGGGTCGTGGTTTTGATATTCGTTACTGAAGCATAATTTATTCCTACTTGTGCTGCTTCATGTAAACTGCGATTTTCTGGAATGTCTGATGTGTCTGAATTGTGTTTCATAGGATTGCGCGCGGGGTTCTTACGATACGATTTGTGGCTAAGCCACATGCAAGGAAGTGCAAATATGGGCAACGAAGGAACATGTGCCGGCCACAACTAACGGAGGGACCTGCCCGGCCTAGACAGGCAAGGCATTTTGTGGTATTCTAGCAGCATCTCAGCTGAATAACCCAGAGCATTCGAGCCCCCTGTGCTTGTATGGAGTCAGCGTGCAGGGAGCGTGAATAAATAAGATTAAAAGGTGAACCCAGAAGCAGCCTTGATTTCACCCTCGCTGCATCCACTCTCACCAGGTATGAATCAATCCGCAAGCCTACTTAGAACCCTGTCCCTAAACAGCCTGCCATTAGGAGTCTTACACTCTCTGTCACAGGACAACGACCTCACGCAACGCTGCGACCTCAACGGAGGACTTCCAACACTTTTCATGAACTCCAGGTACGAAAGCCACCCAAACTTCCTAAGAAGCCACCCAAACGCATGCATGCCTGCACGAACGAATGCTATTCTGTTCTAAATGTGAGTCTTACCATCCTAGCATGGCATGACTAAGCAGCCGCTGAGCCGCTGGACGCTTTTAAACTAACGGCGTCACTGCCAGTACTAATTACTAAATTACGTACGACACCCTGACATATCATGCAAGCGTGACAAACTTGTCACAAACTCGGAACTTCTTGCTACTCCGTAGCTGCTCCAGCACAGCAGCCATGTCGTCCGAATCGTCACCACTGCCACTGCCGCCCGCGCCTCCGCTGCCGCTTCGTCCTAGACCATGTGAGGCGGCGAGCTGCTTTCGAAGTTTCTTGAGCTTGAGTCGCCTCTCAGGAGCATCCGCAAGCAGCTGCCGTACAAGCTTCCGCCATTTGGGTTGCTTCTTATCAGCCCCGCCGTCCTCGCCTCCACCCTCGTTCGCATCTCCCGCCGGCTCCGTGCCAGCTCCGGCGGGGACATCCTCCTGACCGCTCTTTGTTTGCTTCTTCTTATCCTTCTTGCTCTTCTTGTTGGCTTTCCCATCCTCCGGCTCCGGCTGCTGCTGCTCCTCCCGTTGCTTCCGCTTTTCCGTCTTGGCAGCAGCTGCAGTTGCCTTCCCTGCGCCTTTCCCTGCTGCTGCTGTTGCCGCTTCTTGCCCAGCACTGCCGCCGCTGCTCTTCTTCTTCTTGTCTGCTACCGCATCTTGCCGCGTTGCTTTTGACTTGCTGTCTTTGCCGGGTTTGCCAGCAGCGCCCTCCTCTGCTGCTGCCGCCGCTGCGGCCGCCTGCTGCTGCTCCTTCTTTGACTGCACCACCACAATCCGGCCGTCGTCCTCGCTCTCGGAACCGGAGCCGCTGCAAGCAATTGCGTAACAGAAAACCGTGTTGGTGTAGTTCCACATAACGCAACAAACAATGCCCTTCACGACGGCAGCTACCGTTGTAAAAAATCAACCTTCATGTCTAAAACTCGTGTGCTGCACTATTGGTTGCCCTCTGCGCCGCATGTTCGCCAACCCAAACGCTGTGCCCTCCGCCCAGCTCACCTCCCAGACGCCTCCTCATCAGCCTCCTGCTCCTCCTCATCCTCCTCGTCCAGTTTCGTCTTGGTGCCGCACCACCTCGCTCCGGCGACCTTCTTGGGCATGTCACTGCGACCCAGGCCCTGCCGACCGTGCGCAGCTCCATGTTGAGCCTGCAGACGGTGAGAGGTTGATGCAGGTGGCATGTGAGGTGATGCATGGGCAGACAGAGGGCGAGACACGGGGGAGGCTGTATGGGAACAGCACGAGTGGGGACTAAACAGCACACTTGGCTATGTTTTGTGCAGGTATTTTGCCGTCCAAGGCAGTATTGCCATGTGCATGTGTCGCATCGCTTTAGTAACGCTAAGCAGCATGACAGGCTGCGGCATTGTGGTTGCTATGCGCGTGATTTCGCGTGCGTCAAGACCTACCCAGCGCGGACGGTAAAACCATGCAAGGTCGCTTGGCCCGCTTCTATAATTAACACTTGCATGTCGCATCGCTATAGTAACGCTAAGCAGCATGACAGGCTGCGGCATTGTGGATTGCCATGCGCGTGATTTCGCGTGCACGAAAGCCCACCCAGCACGGACGGTAAAGCCATGCAAGGTCCCTTGGCCCGCTTCTTGACTTTCACTAGTTGTCGCATCGCTTTAGTAACGCTAAGCAGCATGACAGGCTGCGGCATTGTGGTTGCCATGCGCGTGATTTCGCGTGCACGAAAACCCACCCAGCACGGACGGTAAAGCCATGCAAGGTCCCTTGGCCCGCTTCTTAACTTTCACTAGTTGTCGCATCGCTATAGTAACGCTAAGCAGCATGGAAGGCTGCGGCATTGTGGATTGCCATGCGCGTGATTTCGCGTGCGTCAAGACCTACCCAGCGCGGACGGTAAAACCATGCAAGGTCGCTTGGCCCGCTTCTTGACTTTCACTAGTTGTCGCATCGCTATAGTAACGCTAAGCAGCATGGAAGGCTGCGGCATTGTGGATTGCCATGCGCGTGATTTCGCGTGCACGAAAACCCACCCAGCACGGACGGCAAAGCCATGCAAGGTCCCTTGGCCCGCTTCTTAACTTTCACTAGTTGTCGCATCGCTTTAGTAACGCTAAGCAGCATGACAGGCTGCGGCATTGTGGTTGCCATGCGCGTGATTTCGCGTGCGTCAAGACCTACCCAGCGCGGACGGTAAAACCATGCAAGGTCGCTTGGCCCGCTTCTATAATTAACACTTGCATGTCGCATCGCTATAGTAACGCTAAGCAGCATGACAGGCTGCGGCATTGTGGATTGCCATGCGCGTGATTTCGCGTGCACGAAAACCCACCCAGCACGGACGGTAAAGCCATGCAAGGTCCCTTGGCCCGCTTCTGAAGGTGTGCCGGCATACTCAAGTCCAACAACGCACACCCCTGCATCCCCGGCCCCTACCTGCTCGTACAGGTTCTCCTGATCCTCCTCCCGGAAGCCCGTGACGGTGATCTTTGCCTTGCCGCTGTCATGCCCTCCCTTGAGCTCCTGTCGAATGCTGCCCATACGGCCCGCACGGACAAACATGCCGGCCCACCAGGGCTTCTTCCCAGGCTCCCACTCCTCCTGAACCGGCTGAGACTGCTGCTGCTTGGCGGCCCTTGCCGTGGCAGCACCCAAACCGGTGCTGCAGAGGCAAAAGAGCATGGGGAAGAGCAGGAAGAGCACGTTCAGCCGTTTGCACACCCAGGCCACCAGCTGCCCAGATAGGCGGAGGCACGTAAAAGCAACTAGGAGGTAGGAGAGACAATTCGCAGAGAATACGGCTATCCACATGAACACCCAGGACAGGCTTAGGAAAAAGGAGACCCTCATTCTTCATCCTCACCTCGCAGCTCCACTCGTTTGCCGCTTAAGCTTCGCCTCTCTCTGCCCGTCGGTATCGCCCTCGTCCCCGCTGCTGCTGCTGCCGTCCTCATCGTCCTCCTCCTTGCGCGGCGCCGCTCGGACCTCCGCAATCACCGGCATGAAACCCATATCAACCACCGCACCCGCACCCGTGCCGGTCAAGCCGCCTGCCTTGCCTCCCTCTTCTTCCTCCTCCTCAGCCACGATCGCAGCCTTGTTAGCCGAGCCGCCTAGGATTGCATCCAAGTCGGAAGCGCTGTAGTTCTTGACAAACTTGGCGCGTTCGCGCTTTGAGTAGCGACCCACATGGGATGCTAGCTTGAGACGTTTGGCGGCCTGCGCTGCAGCAGCAGCTTTGCTGGACTCGTCGTCTTCCTCATCGCTACTGCTGCTGCCGCTGCTGGCGTCGCTATCGGATGACGAGGACGAGGAGGAGGGCGAGGCAGCACGCTTGCGTTTGCTGGTCTTCTTCTCGCTAGCGTCCGAGGTCTTGTCCTGAAGAGGGGTTAAGAGGAGGGGACGCAGCGTGGGGAAAACACATATGGGTCAGTCGCGAAGGACCATAGAACATATGAACCTCTCTTGAGCAACTCCCTAACTCATTCCTGCCCTTTCTGGAGGCGGGCCCTTTGTCACGCGAACCAACTACTTTGATCATGGACCCACTGGCTTCCAATTACCCTCCTTTCTTCGCCGCTAGCACAGCCATATCTGACGCACCTTCTTGGTGGTCGCCTTCTTTGTCGTCTTTGCGGCCGCCTTCGCCTCCTCCTCCTCGTCGCTGCTGCTGTCGCTGTCCGCCCTATCAGCCGCTTGACGGTTGGCCGTGACCTCCTTCAGGTTTGCGAGAATACGGTCAAAGCTGACCATACCCGTCGTCCAGTCGCGCAAGTTATGGGCAGTCTCAGCCTGCGGAGGAGACAATTTAAGCAAGTTGGCACATTAAGCGCCGACCATCACGATGAAACCGTTGCAACCTTACCGCGCCAACGCCCATGGCGTCATGCTTCTTCTTGACCTTCACGTGCTCCTTTATGCCCTGCTTTTTCGCGCCCTACAACAGTAGAGCAGCGGGAAGCCGCCGTCAAGCGCCGACTGCTATGCGAGCGACGGGAATGGCTTAGCACGTACCAGGCCTTCGCCCTCCTTCCATCCCATAGACGCAAGCAGCTTGTAGCCCGCTGATTTCTTATCCACGCCCTGAAAGAGCATGGTAGGCACCTGCGGACTCGCCATTGCTGTCATTCCAGACTATTCAGTAGGCGAGCCCGCCAAGGCACTATCGAGCTATGCTATAACTGCGGGCAAGGCAGCAAATTTAGAGGACTTCGGCGGCGATGCCGTACATTCCGTCTGTTTGTCGCGATATGCTGTGCGCTGTGCTCCCAAACGAGTTGCGGAGGAGGATCAAGTTTTTCAACCTTACCTTAAGGGAATATACAGCTTGTTTTGTGCCTACGTCACAGGTTTCAGACATTGCTCTTTTTGGCGTTGTGCTCCTTCAAACTTTTACAATTTAGGTACAGCCATTATTATAAGGAGCTTACATGGAGGTCAGTAACTTTGAAGGATAGGCCCCTAGGGCAGTGGCATACACTTACGCAGCTTGACTTAACTCCTTGCGCACCTTCAGGACGACTTGTATGGCGGGGATCTCTATGGAGACGCTGGGGGAGACTATGATGGCGGCTTTGGAGATGATGACCAGAACGCTGACTACCTGCCAGGCACATCAGGCCAGGTACATTGTTGCCGGGCGTCGGCACTATTGTTAACGCCTTCAGTCGCTCGTAACCGAGTACCGTGATGTAGGTTCTTCCGTCTATGGATCCTCTAGGAGGGAAGGGCGCAAGCAACGCGAATGCGGCCCCGATCCCGTCGGCGAGGTACGTTTCGACCTTACTAGCTTCTGTCTAGAGCGCCACCAGAGCACATAACCTCTCCAGCTATGTAGCCCGACCTTCTCGGGGTGGTACCCTCGACTACTTGCAGGGACCTCTTCTCTGACCCACCTGCTACCCGGCCGGACGATGCTCGGGTAAGGACAGTTAACTCACTGTACGTAGCCTTCCCGGCCACACCCCGCGGCCTCAGACTACCGTACTACTCTCACCCCATGGGTTGTTGCACTTTGTAGTCATTTTCCTGGCTTGGCACCAGTCCATCCACATGCTTCTTCCCCCATCGCCCACAGGATGTTAAAGCGCAGCAAGCCCAACAAGCAGCAGCTGATAGATGGCGCAGCGCCTTTAAAGAGGTTGCCAGCATATGCGGGCTGCACAGTGGGAATCGTGATCCGGACGTCCACACCGTCTTGGAGAGCGTACGGCGGATCAAGGCTTCCGAAGCGAGCGCGCAGGTGCGATGCGGCGGGCACTTTGTCCAGGATTGCAGGTGGGATGGTGATGCAAGGGAACCTGGAAAAGATTGCCCATGTAAAGTAGAGAGGAGGATTCATGGTGCTGGATACCTCGCTGTCTTGCGCGTGGCTAGCGTCTTGGGGTTAGGCACCGGCCGCAAGACACTGGGCTTGGCCCCGTTGGAAATGGCGGGGCACCGGTCGACCTTCATGGCTGCTGGCGACTGATAACGTGCACGGTGGTGAGGCGTCGAGGCTTCTTCTCTAATGGATGGAACGGTTGTTGTTGGATGTTGATGTGGGCTAATGCATGGCCACAAAGGTTGGACATGTCTGCAGTACACACCCATGGCGTCAAGGCGTGCCGGAAACACGCATCATCCCTAGCCGCTTTCGTAATACAAACAGTCATACCGCTATCGCCCTCATGGCAGTTAACCAGGAAAAACAGTTAAAAGTGGAGCCACCGCATGGCCTTGCTGTGCCTCACTGTGACTGACCAAGGCGCCTATTCCTAGCTTGAAAACAAAAAACACATCACGGGGAAGCCGAGGGGTATGTTAAGGAAACTGGCCGCGAGGGGTATGTGCGTGTGTTGTGGTTCATTGTTGGCATGCCTGGTGCGTGTACCTGGATGGCACGCGACGGCATAGTGCAATTGATATGGTGTTGTACCTGCTCGTATCATGTGTGGTCTTGCGTGCCTTCAGCTATTTCATATGCTGTTGTGGTGTGATGCGCTGCGGTCCGTGGGTCGTTGGTGGGAAGTGCGAAGGGTGTGCGATGTCGCGCTTGCCACTGATTGCTTGTACAGTAAATTGTTGCTGTGTGAACCATTGCCACAGACGTCTCTAGGGTAGTTGCCACTTGCCGGCTATTCACTAACCATTGAAGCTCCGCCTAATTTACCAACTTCCCACGGCGGTGCTCATCCCCTGACCTTGAAACGAACGAGCTGTTTGACCTCCATGCATGGTAATCCTGGCGTCTTCGATGCGGTTGTGTTGGCTGACATCCGCAGCGTGAGGAGGGCGCCTTAAAGGAAGGGGGCCCAAAGCTACAACGCATGGGTCCTGAACCCAGATGCAGGACACTCTCCCGGCCATCTCCTCGACTTGTGCTGATGCCGTCAGGACGGCGCCATCCTTAACCCTTACCGGCTTCGCTTACCTGGAAAGCACACCACTTTTGAGTAACCCGACGGCGCCTACGCCTGGTCCAATTCAGTCGCCGCCGGCCTCCCAGGCTGTCTCCGCTGCATGTAGCTCCACATAAGCGTCCCACGCTGCCGGAAACCCCATGTACCGCCCCAACCCCATTTCCCCGACCAACCACGGTACCAAAAAGAAGCAAACCCAAATCGGTCCCCATCACAGGAGGAGCTGCGGAAGCTCCGTCGCCGGGACGCCGCGCTTCAAATGCAGCTGGCGGACCGAAACCTGGAAGCGCTGGAGCTGCGGCGGGAGCTGGCGGCGGTGTCCGCAGCCGCCGACCCCTCTGTCGTACAACTGAAACAGTTGATGTTGGATCCGGCGGTTGCCCGGGAGTTTTCGCGGCTGAAAGGCGAGCTGGAGGCGGCTCAGGCGGAGCTGGCGACTGCGCGGGAAGAGCTCACCGCGGTGACGTTCACTCAGGAGAGCAAAGTGGGGAGGCAGCTGATGGCCAAGTGCCGCAGCCTGCAGGTGAGGTGGAGGTGGAGCAGGAATGGGGGGGCTGTGGAGGCGTGAAAAGATCGTTAGAGCCATGCGTGAAGAGGTTCATTGGGGCCATGCAGGGGTTGCGTCATCAGGGTACAGTGTGTGGAAGCGAAACGGACACGGTATGCTTGTCACTACTGTTAGCGAAGGCCCCCAACAGGTGCACGCACGCATGCATGCATGCTCGAAGAGAGCTCATGGGCTAGGCCAACCCATGCGCACTCTGCATCCGCTGTCCGTTCGTACTTTTTTCTTGACTGGCTGCTGGGCTGCTGCCGTTGTACCGGTACCTCCGCTGCTGTTGCTGTTGCTGCGGTGCTCAGGAGGAGAATGAGGAGATGGGTCGCGAGCTGGCGGAGGGCAAGGCGCACCTAGCGGAGGCGGCGGCGGCGCTGGCTCGCAGCCAGGCGGAGGACGTCAAGGCGGCCTTCCAGGAGCTGGAAGACCACTGCCAGGTGGGTGCTGGGTAGTACAGGTGGTGTCGTACAGGCGGATGGGTGTCACAGAGGTGTCGTACATGATAGAGAAGGGGCCCGGGGGCGTGCAAGAGGGCCGCAAGGGGCGACGGTACACTGCCATCATGGGCCTAGCGGGACTCCCAACTCTCCTGCGTCCTCTGAATGAATGCGCTCACTGCATGAGTCGGAGTATGGGATTGGGACTCGTTGCTACACTTGTCATATATCTTTATTCCCTCACCAGGTCATGGAGGATGAGGCGGAGGAGCTGCAGCGGGAGGTGTTTGCGCTGCGGGTGCGGGTCACGGAGCTGGAGCGGGATGCAGGGCTGCCCCTCAGCATTGGCGCTGGTGGTGGGGGCGGTGGCGGCATGGGCATGGGGGCCATGGGGGGAGGCATGGGTGGCATGGGCGGCATGGGGCCTGGCGGCTTTGGTGGGCGGCGTGGGTTTGAGATGGGCGGGGGGTTCCGGGGACGCGGGCGGGGACCTCCAGGAGGGCCAATGGGGCCGGGGTTCAAGCGGCCGTTTGGGGACCGAGATGGAATGGGGGTGGGCATGGGGCCAGGGCGGGGAGGTGGGTTTCTGCCCATGAAGCGGATACGTTGAGGAGAAGGTAAGGGGTTGGGTGCATGGCGCGGCGGGATGGGGTGTGGGTGTGCCGGCGTCGGCGATGGCGGGAATCCTTTGTGGGGTTGAGGGGAAATGAGTGGGTCATGTGTGGGGTTGTGTTCAGCGCATGCATCTCACGAAGTGTCATGAGGCAGATGTACGAGCAAGAAGGAGCGTGCGTGAACGTTGCTGGGTGGTTTGGATGCCGCGCCTCCCTTCCCTGCCGGACGCTGTCGTAATCAAATACAGGGGAGGTGCGGGTGTATAGCTGCGTGAGCATGATGAGGTTGGAATGGCTGGGAGGGAGCACGCGCGGTGTGCTTTGCAGCGGGTTTAGGCGGGGTCTATAAGGTGTAGCGGAAAGTGTCTTCTGTCCGTTCCGGCTGTCCTGAGGTGGTGGGGTCGTGTGTTGAGGTTCGCTTACAGCGTTACATGGCTACAGAGCCCTCGGGCATAGAGGACATAGAGGCATAGGTACGTCTCTACCGGCAGGACTGCTGGAATGAGGCGCGGGAGGCTTACCTAGACAGTGTATGTTGCACATGAACCGGTACATAACGCGCATGATGAAACAACTAAAGTTCCGACCCCCCATGAACGCTTGGACGCCCATGTGGCTGCTGTGCACGGTCCAAGACATTAACAAGATGTACGATCTGACGATGCGTACAAGTAACCGCTTTACAGTGCCGCGCGCAAAGCACCGGTGGGCCTCACAGGCGCACTGACGCCCTGCTGCTGCTTAACGTTAAGTTGGATGGCACTGGTGGCTAGCAGTGCCTGTGTGGACCCGTTCCCGTTCCCTCCCGTTGGGTACACCGGTACGTCCTGGGATTGGCTTTTTGCAATCTGTGGCCGCCAACGTTCAACATGAGCTCTGCAGCCGTAGCCGTGGTCCACTAGTCCACTAGTTGCTGCGGTCACATCGTCAGTTTGTCACACATGGTGTGACTACTGCTCCGTTTGTGTTCGGTAGCTGCGTTGACCCAACCAGGAGCACAGTCGTTCCAGGCACCGCTGGTCCACCTGCAACACGAGGGTTACCAAACAATGCAAAACAACAATCAGAAATGCAATCCCAGCAGTGGCAGCAGCAGCGGAACAGGAACAGCGCTTAACACACTGCATGAGTCATCACGGGCCCTGCTTGGGGGCGCGCGAAAAGACACGTGAATCGTACATTGCCGTACACATACCGTACCGTACCTCGTTAAACGCAGCCGGGTGGTCGGAGTCGACGTCTAGCACGGCCAGTAGACGTCCGCCTGCCGCCGCAGCATGCTGGAGCACCGGTACGACAATCTCGGATTGAGTGCTGCAGGTATCGGCACGTAAGGAGGGGTGGCGTGAGGTGAGGCGGGTTACAGACCTTCAGAGTGCCTGTTTTTCCGTGGGACGCTGCTGCTGCTGCTCCTCCGACGAGTACCGGTGTCAGCTACACATACGGCGCACATTGAATATGTTTATCACCGGCTTTTGAGCCGAGTATAGCGTGTATAGCGTGAAGAACGTAAGGGTCGCCAAGAACTACCGAAGCTACATGGCGCCATGGAGGAAATGCAGCGCGTTATTTTATACCGGTGTTATTGGTACAACGGGTACCCCGGGCCCAGCAGTCACGGGCCTCACCTTGAAGCGCACGCGATGTGGCCCGGGAACTGCGACACGTCGGGAACCAGCTGTGTCGTACGAGTGCGGGCCGCCGCACCGCACACGCCTCTGGAGTAAGGGATGCGCAGGCAGCCTAGGTGCCCCTGGTATGGCCCGATGACCAACGTCTCCTGACCCGCGGGTCCTGCCTGGTAAAACCCCTGACCGCACGACACCACGATGAGAGGATGTTTGTTGCGGGTAGCACTGGGGTGACCACTAGCTGTCGCAAATTGTTAAGCGTTGTGACGGGATGTGAGGCGCTGTGATTTCGAGCATAACCCACACTGGTGGAGTCGCAGCAGCAGGTTAAAGGAAGAGGTGGACGCCACAAGGGCTGTTCTCCGCCGTATAAACTGGCCCCAAACTATCCTCTGTGAATATTCCGATTACCGTAATACCGTTACAGCGATCCCCCAACCCTGTGTCGTACCGTCCAGTGGAAGTACTCGAAGGCTTCATGCAGTATGCACGCCACTGTTGTCATGGTAGCAACCCAGTCATCCTCGCCTGTGACACGGGGTTCGCTTGGGTTAGGGGCGGGGGTGCAGGGGCCGGCGCGACTCGGGAGATCGGGACCCTCGGAGAGAGTCAAGTCAGAACACCGTTCAAGTCGTCAAAACGTGCCCCCATGCCTTGTAAGTACTTTATACCTATGGACTGCTTGACATACCTTGCAGAAGGAGTTCGAGGGCGTGCAGGACTTGCTCGTAATGCCGAGCGCGATCTTCGGGTGTCGCGCTTAGTGGCAACGGCCGAATTTCAGCACCTAATCCGGTCATTATGAGTTCAATCTCTGGGAACGTGATTAGGGATATTCCTGAGCGCGCAAGGCGTCAACTGCTTTCATGCAACATGCTTGCTTGACCAGTTGCGAACTAACCAAAGCCTGGCCCAGTTACTTATGTTATGGCACTTGTTTACATATCTCAATATGGTTTTGCCGTTTTACTTGCGACCGGCCTAAGTGTCGTAAGTTACGTCGATTACCAGCCATACAACTGCATGGCGGCAAAGCCTCCCGCGCTTGCCAGATTCTCCTTTGCATCGCACGCCGTCCCCGACACACTTACAACCATGGGAGCGGATGCGTGCTGTGGCTGATGCCAAAATTGCGACCCGTGGTTCGCGACATGGGTGTTACATGTGATGAGGGCTCAGGTTAATGGGGAACTAGGTATCACCAGTTGAAGTTCCTTCATACTTCATGGCGCTTGTAGCCATTCATGGGCGCGAAACATCACGTATGCCAACAGCCTTCAATTCTATCGGCGCTAAATCCGGATCCACATTCAGCGTTGACCGAAACCTCACATGCCGTGCGTATCGTGTCAGCCGAACACCATGACACAACTCCCGCCCGCCAGCCGCCTAACACCTCTCCCACGCTGCTTGCCATGTGTGCACGACAGCAACAGCAGCCGGTCCCTACACCCGACAACCCGCTCACCATGCGTCTCCCTGCCGCACGCGGTCTGGTCACAGCGTCCGCTTCCTCTCCCTCGCGTCCCCAAAAGGCATGTCAAGTAACGCGAATCACGCGCTCGGACACAGAACCCCGCGCGCGCAGAGCCCCTCTCCATGTCGCACCTTGGGCCACTAACGCCACTGTCCCCCCCTCCGGCAGCAAGCAACAGCAAAAGCCTCTCTTGGATCTTTTCGCGCCATACATCAGCTAACCAACCACATACATGCATCCACAATGACCACATGCACGCCTTCATCCCAGTGGCCTTCCACTCTACCCGCCCTACATCACACGCCCCCCAATCCCACACACAGCTGCCGCTCCGAAACCGCTTCCGTACACACCTCTTCACCGCAGCTGCAGCTCCTCCTCCTTCCCCTCATCCTCAGGCTCAGGCGGCACCCCGTTGTGACTCCTTTCAGGCTCCACCCCTGGGGCTCCACCCTGCCCCCGCTCATCCTCCTTGCAACGCCACTTACCGGTTCCCACCTCACTCGAACACACAAACCCGCTCACTCAAACACAAACTCGCATGCGCCGTGCAGCAGCACCTGCGCCAGCCGCAGGAAGGCGATGTCCTCCCCCATGGACAGCAGGTACACCAGCGCACGGCGGGCGGCGCTGGCGCCCAGCTCGGCGGCGGAATCGTCCTGGGCCGCCAGCTGCTGGGCGCCGCAGTCGGCGAGGCACTTGGCCCAGGCGGCGTGCAGGGACTTGTCGTTGGGGATGTCATGGAAGTGCAGCTGGGGGCGCGGGGGAAAAAAGAAATTCCAAAGCGGGGGAGGGGAAAGGAAGAGGAAAGGGAGGGGGGTTAGGAAAATAGATGAAAATGGTAGGGTGGGGTGCCGTCTAAGGGTGTGTTCTTTTGAGCGTAGTAGCTCTGCAGGCTATCGTACCACTTAAGAGCGCGCCCTTGCAGGAAGAACTTAGTTTGAAAGTTGGAAACTGAGGCCATCCCCTTTAGGTGCATGGATGGAGGTGAAGAGGAAGGAGGAGGGACAGATAGGGGCAGGGTTGAGGGATGGGGTTTATGGGGAAAGGAAGGAAGCTAGTAGGGGCGAAGAGGGAAGAATGGGTTATAGAGTATGGGGGTATGGGAGGTGTAGCGAAGGGCTCGGAGGTGGTTGGAACGTGTAGGGGGGTTAGGCGGCAGCAGGGGTGTGGCAAACATCCTGGCGGACGTTTTCCCCGATCCTCCCGTACACCGCAACATGCATCCGGGCTGTCTGCCCCTTACCTGGAAGTGCGAGACGACCGGCAGGTACGCGGGAATGGTGCTCTTGTCCGCGTTCTCTCCGTACACCTCATCATACACTGCGCCCTCCACAGCTCCGAACTTCCCGAGGCTGTCCCGCACCAGCTGCAACAGCCTGCCTCGAACGTCCTCAAGGAAAGCCTTCGCTGCCGGCTTCAGCTCCGAGCTAGACTCGCTCGCTGCAACGCGACAAGTGAAAGAAGAGAAGAGTGAGAAGTGCTCAAACCGTGGCCTCATCACATGACCAAGCCATGGCGCGAACACATACCGTAAAGCTTGATGAATGCGTTCAAAATGTCCTGATGCCCAGCCAATCCGAGACTCCGTGACCAGCGGTTCAGCGCCAAGCGTGCAAGGCTCTCAGGCCCAGGGATGCCATTCAGACAGCTGGCAACTTCCTCCTCGCTAGGCAGGGAAGTAGGAGGGCTTGAGCTCAGCAGTGCTGCAATCTCTGGTTGTTGAGGCTTGAGGCTTCCATAAGCGTCACAAAGCACTTGCCGGCCCATGTCGAAAGTTGCGATCGTAGGTCAAGTTGGTGTTAGCGCTACCAATGACGCGAGCCAGGCCTTGCCTTTGTCCGTGACAATATGCACCCACAGGAACCCAGAAATGCAATGATAGCACTCTGCAAGTTGACTTCGATGCCTGTTCAACTGCTAAGTACGACATTTGCATGAAACTGAGAGCGCTCAACGGCTCTATATTAGAACTGCTTATGTTATGCTCAACACTGTAGGGGTAGCTGCTTATTGGCAATGATCACCTTGGTGTCGAACTTTTGCAATACAATTCATAACCGGCGCATTAGCAACGCTTGGGCCAATACCCACAACTGGTATTGGCTCAGCGAACCCCACTAACTGCAAAACCCTCTAAAACCCATGGAATGTAGGTCAGGCTTCAGCTGACCATCCATGCCAAACGCAAGGCATGACTTTGCTGGCCCTCACGCTCGCTCCTATGGCTGGGGTAATCAGTTCAGCAACCAGTAACCAATGTCGCCAAAGGCACACGTCGTCAAGACGCCCACCGGTCCGGCACCTGCATACGCGGCTTGATGGCAACAGGGTTGCGGCTGGGTTTGAGCAGGCACGACGGAGCACGTTGGTACCACCTGCGGGCAACCACCTAACGGTTAGTAGCGGCACAGGAGGTGCAGTGTCGTTCCGTGCTTGTGTTGCGTGCCACAAACACGGAAGAAGCTGCTCGAAGAAGTTTATTTCTATTTACACCACCAACACCACAGCAGACGGGAACATGCCCAGAGGTCGTCCCCCAAGGAGAAATCCTGTCCCCGCACCTGCAAATCCTTTCCTATGTACAATCCAATACCCGAAGCCGACGTCGATGGGAATGCGCTGCTAACTTCACATGTCCTTTCCGTACCCGCCAACATGACAGCAAACTCTCTTCCTCCATGCAAGGGCAACAGCTTGCATGCACAGCTCTTCAGTGCTTACAACAATCGCCTTCAACGACCACTTTCATGACACGCAATCATCAACCCCACCACCGTTCCTTGCGTTAAATAACCTTCATATGCGCCTTCAACTTTCTGCCAACAGTGCAACCATATATTGTTGAGAAACACATAACGCGGTCAACGCTTTCCGTTATTCCATTGAATCCCGTACAATAAAACTGACCCCATACTGCGGCAAGGTTGAACTCTGCTCCATCACCACCACCCCGCCGTCCTCCCCTCCTC